GGACTGGTCGGCTGGGAGTTTCATACATTGTCAAAGGAGATACAGTAGGACTGGTTGGCTGGGAGTTTCATACATTGGACTGTGAAAGGAGACTGTAGATCAGTGGCTGGGAGTTTCATACATTGTCAAAGGAGATATAGTAGGACTGGTCGGCTGGGAGTTTCATACATTGTCAAAGGAGATACAGTAGGACTGGTCGGCTGGGAGTTTCATACATTGTCAAGGAGATATAGTTGGACTGGTCAGCTGGGAGTTTCATACATTGTGAAAGGAGATACAGTAGGACTGGTCGGCTGGGAGTTTCATACATTGTCAAAGGAGATATAGTTGGACTGGTCGGCTGGGAGTTTCATACATTGTCAAAGGAGATATAGTAGGACTGGTCGGCTGGGAGTTTCATACATTGTCAAAGGAGATATAGTAGGACTGGTCGGCTGGGAGTTTCATACATTGTCAAAGGAGATACAGTAGGACTGGTTGGCTGGGAGTTTCATACATTGTCAAAGGAGATACAGTAGGACTGGTTGGCTGGGAGTTTCATACATTGTGAAAGGAGATACAGTAGGACTGGTCGGCTGGGAGTTTCATACATTGTCAAAGGAGATATAGTTGGACTGGTCGGCTGGGAGTTTCATACATTGTCAAAGGAGATACAGTAGGACTGGTCAAAGGGCTGGGAGTTTCATACATTGTAGGAGATGTCAACTGAGATACAGTAGGACTGGTCGGCTAGAGGACTTCATAGGAGTTTCACATTATCAAAGGAGATACAGTAGGACTGGTTGGCTGGGAGTTTCATACATTGTGTACAGTAGGCTGGGAGTTTCATACATGTCAAAGGAGATATAGTAGGACTGGTCGGCTGGGAGTTTCATACATTGTCAAAGGAGATACAGTAGGACTGGATACAGTAGGACTGAGCTGGGAGTTTCATACATTGTGAAAGGAGATACAGTAGGACTGGTTGGCTGGGAGTTTCATACATTGTCAAAAGGATATAGTAGGACTGGTTGGCTGGGAGTTTCATACATTGTCAAAGGAGATATAGTTGGACTGGTCAGCTGGGAGTTTCATACATTGTCAAAGGAGATACAGTAGGACTGGTCGGCTGGGAGTTTCATACATTGTCAAAGGAGATACAGTAGGACTGGTCGGCTGGGAGTTTCATACATTGTCAAAGGAGATATAGTTGGACTGGTCGGCTGGGAGTTTCATACATTGTCAAAGGAGATACAGTAGGACTGGTTGGCTGGGAGTTTCATACATTGTCAAAGGAGATATAGTAGGACTGGTCGGCTGGGAGTTTCATCAAAGGACATTGTCAAAGGAGATACAGTAGGACTGGTTGGCTGGGAGTTTCATACATTGTCAAAGGAGATACAGTAGGACTGGTTGGCTGGGAGTTTCATACATTGTGAAAGGAGATATAGTAGGACTGGTCGGCTGGGAGTTTCATACATTGTCAAAGGAGATATAGTAGGACTGGTCGGCTGGGAGTTTCATACATTGTCAAAGGAGATACAGTAGGACTGGTCGGCTGGGAGTTTCATACATTGTCAAAGGAGATATAGTTGGACTGGTTGGCTGGGAGTTTCATACATTGTGAAAGGAGATACAGTAGGACTGGTCGGCTGGGAGTTTCATACATTGTCAAAGGAGATATAGTTGGACTGGTCGGCTGGGAGTTTCATACATTGTCAAAGGAGATACAGTAGGACTGGTCGGCTGGGAGTTTCATACATTGTCAAAGGAGATATAGTAGGACTGGTCGGCTGGGAGTTTCATACATTGTCAAAGGAGATACAGTAGGACTGGTTGGCTGGGAGTTTCATACATTGTCAAAGGAGATACAGTAGGACTGGTTGGCTGGGAGTTTCATACATTGTCAAAGGAGATATAGTAGGACTGGTCGGCTGGGAGTTTCATACATTGTCAAAGGAGATATAGTAGGACTGGTCGGCTGGGAGTTTCATACATTGTCAAAGGAGATACAGTAGGACTGGTTGGCTGGGAGTTTCATACATTGTCAAAGGAGATATAGTAGGACTGGTCATAGCTGGGAGTTTCATACATTGTCAAAGGAGATACAGTAGGACTGGTCGGCTGGGAGTTTCATACATTGTCAAAGGAGATACAGTAGGACTGGTCGGCTGGGAGTTTCATACATTGTCAAAGGAGATATAGTAGGACTGGTTGGCTGGGAGTTTCATACATTGTCAAAGGAGATACAGTAGGACTGGTTGGCTGGGAGTTTCATACATTGTCAAAGGAGATATAGTAGGACTGGTCGGCTGGGAGTTTCATACATTGTCAAAGGAGATACAGTAGGACTGGTTGGCTGGGAGTTTCATACATTGTGAAAGGAGATACAGTAGGACTGGTTGGCTGGGAGTTTCATACATTGTCAGAGGAGATACAGTAGGACTGGTCGGCTGGGAGTTTCATACATTGTCAAAGGAGATACAGTAGGACTGGTCGGCTGGGAGTTTCATACATTGTCAGAGGAGATACAGTAGGACTGGTTGGCTGGGAGTTTCATACATTGTCAAAGGAGATACAGTAGGACTGGTTGGCTGGGAGTTTTCATACATTGTCAAGGAGATATAGTTGGACTGGCCAGCTGGGAGTTTCATACATTGTGAAAGGAGATACAGTAGGACTGGTTGGCAGATGGGAGTTTCATACATTATCAAAGGAGATATAGTAGGACTAGGACTGTCGGCTGGGAGTTTCATACATTATCAAAGGAGATACAGTAGGACTGGTCGGCTGGGAGTTTCATACATTGTCAAAGGGAGAAGTTGGACTGGTCGGCTGGGAGTTTCATACATTATCAAAGGAGATACAGTAGGACTGGTCGGCTGGGAGTTTCATACATTGTCAAAGGAGATATAGTAGGACTGGTCGGGTTGGGGCTGGGAGTTTCATACATTGTCAAAGGAGATATAGTAGGACTGGTCGGCTAGGAGTTTCATACATTGTCAAAGGAGATACAGTAGGACTGGTCAGCTGGGAGTTTCATACATTGTCAAAGGAGATATAGTAGGACTGGTCGGCTGGGAGTTTCATACATTGTCAAAGGAGATACAGTAGGACTGGTCAGATGGGAGTTTCATACATTGTCAAAGGAGATATAGTAGGACTGGTCGGCTGGGAGTTTCATACATTGTCAAAGGAGATACAGTAGGACTGGTCGGCTAGGAGTTTCATACATTATCAAAGGAGATACAGTAGGACTGGTCGGCTGGGAGTTTCATACATTGTCAAAGGAGATACAGTAGCACTGGTTGGCTGGGAGTTTCATACATTGTCAAAGGAGATATAGTAGGACTGGTTGGCTGGGAGTTTCATACATTGTCAAAGGAGATATAGTAGGACTGGTCGGCTGGGAGTTTCATACATTGTGAAAGGAGATACAGCAGGACTGGTCGGCTAGGAGTTTCATACATTATCAAAGGAGATACAGTAGGACTGGTTGGCTGGGAGTTTCATACATTGTGAAAGGAGATACAGTAGGACTGGTTGGCTGGGAGTTTCATACATTGTGAAAGGAGATATAGTAGGACTGGTCGGCTGGGAGTTTCATACATTGTCAAAGGAGATACAGTAGGACTGGTCAGATGGGAGTTTCATACATTATCAAAGGAGATATAGTAGGACTGGTCGGCTGGGAGTTTCATACATTGTCAAAGGAGATATAGTAGGACTGGTCGGCTGGGAGTTTCATAAATTGTCAAAGGAGATATAGTAGGACTGGTCGGCTGGGAGTTTCATACATTGTCAAAGGAGATATAGTAGGACTGGTCGGCTGGGAGTTTCATACATTGTCAAAGGAGATATAGTTGGACTGGTCGGCTGGGAGTTTCATACATTGTCAAAGGAGATACAGTATGACTGGTCGGCTAGGAGTTTCATACGTTATCAAAGGAGATACAGTAGGACTGGTCGGCTAGGAGTTTCATACATTATCAAAGGAGATACAGTAGGACTGGTTGCTTCGGAGTTTCATACATTGTCAAAGGAGAGACAGTAGGACTGGTTGGCTGGGAGTTTCATACATTGTGAAAGGAGATATAGTAGGACTGGTCGGCTAGGAGTTTCATACATTGTCAAAGGAGATATAGTAGGACTGGTCGGCTAGGAGTTTCATACATTGTCAAAGGAGATACAGTAGGACTGGTCGGCTGGGAGTTTCATACATTGTCAGAGGAGATACAGTAGGACTGGTCAGATGGGAGTTTCATACATTGTCAAAGGAGATAGAGTAGGACTGGTCAGCTGGGAGTTTCATACATTGTCAAAGGAGATACAGTAGGACTGGTCGGCTGGGAGTTTCATACATTGTCAAAGGAGATACAGTAGGACTGGTCGGCTGGGAGTTTCATACATTGTCAAAGGAGATACAGTAGGACTGGTCGGCTAGGAGTTTCATACATTGTCAAAGGAGATACAGTAGGACTGGTCGGCTGGGAGTTTCATACATTGTCAAAGGAGATACAGTAGGACTGGTCAGATGGGAGTTTCATACATTGTCAAAGGAGATACAGTAGGACTGGTCGGCTGGGAGTTTCTTACATTGTCAAAGGAGATACAGTAGGACTGGTCGGCTGGGAGTTTCATACCTTGTCAAAGGAGATAGAGTAGGACTGGTTGGCTGGGAGTTTCATACATTGTCAAAGGAGGGTCTCCATGTTAAAACTTCACATGGTTTGTGGTGGACTAGCAATATGACTGTAAGATGTCTGGACCAACACAAGCAGTCATACACATACTTGCATGCACATTGATATGTAAGTGCAGTTATCTTGAACATGACACTAAAACCCATTTCACTTTACCTTTAATCATTGGTATGAAGTTTGGACTATCTTTGTTTTTCAGTGTATGATGATTTCTTTCAAGAGTCGCAACTTGCAAAATTAAAACACTCATGGCACCTTTGAATAATAGAGTTTTTCCACCAATGTGATAGAGAATTATTTTTATGAACTTTTTTGCAGGGGCAGTTACATGGAAGACGTAGGTGTTTCCTGTGCCCAAGTCTGAAGGGAATGATGGAAAATGTACCCACATCACAAGAAGGCACCTTAGCCCAGGATTTGCCCTATGTTGTGCAGTCCTGTTCAATGAGGCACTCCAAAGGCCAAGCCAGTGGCAGGCAGGAAGGCAGCACTGAAGCCAGTGGGGATGGAACTTCCTTGAATATGAATATTTCCGAAGCTGAACCCCCTTTGAAAAAGGCCAGATACTGTGACGTAATAGAGGGGTTTAACCGTGCCACTCATACTCAAGAAATGCCAAGTGGTGAGAAATTTCTAAGAGGGGGAGTCCGAGTCCCGAAAGCTGGTGTGGGTGGTGTAGAAAACTCTTCTGGCTCAAGATGTACTTTAGAGCCACTTAAACTTCAACATACAGAATCTGATGTGGTCATGGTAAACTGTACTAGTGATAAAACAGTAACTGCGGGTGATGATATGGGTAATCAAGAACTTGCAAGGACTCCTCTGTCAGGGCTCTGTCATAGTTCCTCAATGATTGCTCAACAATCTGACCATGGGGATTCTTCCATGTCATATCCTAATGGAAGTGGGAGCACTGATACCACTGATGTTTCAGATGATGACATTACAGATGCATCCAACCTGGTCTTGTCAGTTATCAAGACTAAGGTAGATATTCAAACAATGAAGTTGTGTTTGCAGCATAATGCAGAGTCACGTTCCAACCGCCTTTCAACAGCTGCTCCATCAGTTCAAGGGGCAGTAACTGATGCCTGCTCATCGGTAGATGGCAGTTTAAATTTAGGAAGTCTAGATATACAACCATCTACCTCTTCTGGATCTATCTCAGGACACTGTATCAATAGTATGGCAGATGTAGAGGAGCCTTCTGCTGGAGCATCCCAAGGTCAGTCAGGACAGAGTCTAGTACCTAGAAGAAGTCCACAGAGTAGAAACACCTGTATTTGTAACAATGTTCATTGTCGCATGTGTAATGTGCGGAGACAAGCCCAACTTTTCAATCCACCAAATGTTCCTGATAGTCCAGATCAAGGTGCAGGTCACCTTGAACATTGGCAAGACCAACACACAGCCAAGGCTATTGTTGATAATGCCATAAACAGAACTATTGAAGAAATGGTCATAGCTCCAGATCCACCAAATGTCCATCTGAGAAGAGCAGATTTTGAAAATGAAGGTGTTCTTCTAGCTATCAGAGATCAAGGTCTATCTGTCAGAAATCAGCAACCTATTCAGACTTTGCATGATCGACTAGAACCTGTTATCAATCAGCTAACTCAAGCCTCTGAACTTGTCTTTGCTAGGAATATTGAACAGTCTAGAACAACCCCAACAATCGAGCGACAATCAGAAGATACATCATACCAGAATTCTGTTGTGCACACTCACACAACACCAGAATCCTCTTCTCCACTTGGTTCTGCATTAGATACAGATGAAGACTGTCAGCATGATTATAATGGAAGCTGTAACTCAGATGTTGAGTTTAGAGCATCAGTTGAGGGAAAGCAGGAGTCTTCTGTTTCCAATCTAATCAATGCTGACACTGTGGCATATGGTCCCGGAGCTGAGAAGAACAACATTATCAGTGAGAAACATTCCCATGTTACATCTATAGCCAAGGATTCCAAAGAAGATGCTGGTTGTATTCAGATGGACCAAGTGAGTGTTGAGGCTGATGTCCCCTGTGAATTGTTTGGGGAGATGTCTTCAAATGGAACTGTCATTGATTTTGCTGTAGATGCTGCTATTGCCACATCTGGTTTGAAAGCGAAACAGAATGAAAGCATTTGATATGAAAATGTTTTGATTTACTACACATGTTTCCTGCATGACATGTACTCTGATTACAGCACTTGTTTGACTTAGATTCGATTCAGTCACTGCCTTCAACAAAACCAACTTGACCTTGGATTGCTTGATGTTTATTGAATAACTTCAGTTAGGAATTGTGTCTGAAGATGCCTCATGTGACTTTGTGTGTATATTTGATTCTAGAAATATTTTGATGCTATATTGATCTCTCATACTGTCAAAGTCTCAATACTTACACACTGGATATAGTGCCTTTAGTGATGTTACCAAAGTTTTGTAAGGTTGCTTTTGAGAGGTTTCAAGTTGCTGGTAGAAAGTATCTGTGCCTATGTCAACATATGCATGGTCTTAACGTCCAACTTTGTTATTTGTATGCTCACAAATTGTGTGTTTATTGACATTAAAATATGCAGGAAGATGTTGGTGTGATGTTTTATGTATGTGTCAGAGATGACACATAGGACATGTTCAAATCATTACCAGGAAGTAGATGGACTTCAAAATGGAAACTGCTGTTTCTAAAGGAGGTTGTGCGGTCAGTATGTCCCCTTCATCTTGTGCTGTTCTTTGCTGTTCTCATCTTTGAAGTTTTTACTGTCACAGTGATGTCGCCACATGCTAACACTGTCATGTTAGAAATTAATACACGTACTTTAATTGAAACGTGATAACTTTTTAGCTTGGAATGTACTACTAGAATAAGCATGTGCCTTATGGTAAATGTCCGATAACCCTTTTCACTACATATTTAGATGACTAAAGAGATTAATCTGATTAGCATGTATGAAATTTCAAATTTTACTTATTTTCTGAAAATAGAATCTTCAACATGGTGATGTCAGCATCAAATAAGTGTACAGCCCTAACCCTGCACAGCATGGCGTCAGGGGAGTGAGGAAGGGGTTATTTTCACAGCAAGCCTGAAATATGAAACCCTGAATGAAACTTTTAACCCATTCACATGCTTGTTTCTATGGAAACGCACCTGACTGATAAAGTGGAAAATTCAAATCTGGATTTTAAAAAGAGAAATATATTTTTAAAATGTATGTTTTGTAGACTGTCTGCATCCATACATTTTACCATGAGCCTCAATAACATACTTCTTTACACTATGGCTTAATTTCATCATGAACAGCAAGTCAATTGTGTAACATTTCATGGAATGTACTGGAATACTGCATTGCTTTGCATCGAATGACAGCTTTGACAAGGCAAGAAGGCCACACTCCATCTGTGTATAGGTTTGAACCCAGGCCTTTAAGCAATCAATAACAAATACACACTATGAAGACTATCCCTTTTTTGTCAAACCCCACGAACCATCGACTGAACCACCTCTGGATCTGAAGTCATGTTCCTAAAAGCAAACCAACTAAGGTAGTTGGGGAAACGCAAATAATGATAAATCATGTCTAAAAACAGAAATTTAAGAAAGATGTGTGATCACGCATGGGCGGATCGACTGTGTGTGTGTGCGTGTGCGTGTGCGCAGGGGTGCTACATGTCATTATTTTATCTTCATGGTTTGGTTACAATGTTTAATTATTGTTCTGCCACTATGGAACGAAGAAGGTTATCAGAGGGCAAGAGATGTCTACGTATTGGTATGCATAACTCCGACAATTGGTTGGTAAATGAATGTCCACTACACAGTTGTCAGTCGTTTGGTCAGAAAATACAGGGAAACCAATGAGATGAAGGATCGCCAACGTTCTGGACGGCCCAGGGTGACGTCAGATCGTGAAGACAATGCACTAGTGAGGCTCACAAGAAGACGGCAACCATTCGCCACAAACACTGTTGTGAAGAGCCACTGGCCAGTATTTCGCAGAGTCGCTACGAGTGATCACCAACAAGCACGTTTGGTCTAATGATAGCCGAGTAATTTTTCATGTAACAGGTGGATGCTTGAGAGCTTGGTGTTAGTGAAACACAGCATTTGCAGCAAAAATCATTAAATCAACGTTTGCCTTTGGTGAAGGTTCCGTTCTGGTGTTAGGATGTGTCTCCCCTGACTGTAAACTTGATATGGTAACAATGAGTGGGAATTTGACGGGTGTTTCAGTATCTCCAGGAAGTGCTGGATCCAGTTGTGCACCATTTTGATAATCATACTCTTGCTACAATTGTAGACCTGTAGCTATGGATAACAACGCTAGGCCAACCCCTTCTTGTGCAGTGACACCTTTCCTTCAGAATATAAACCATGCTTGCCACAAAAGACGACTATGCTTGTCGTAAGAGATCGGGTGGTCAGGCTCGCTGACTTGGTTGACACATGTCATCGGTTCCCAGTTGCGTAGATCGATGCTCATGCTGTTGATCACTGGATTGTCTGGTCCAGACTCGATTATTTACAGACCGCCGCCATATAGCTGGACTATTGCTGAGTGCGGCGTAAAACTAAACTCACTCACTCACTCCTTCAGAATAATGCAGTGACTCACCTTCCGTGGCCCGCCATGAGTCCAGACCTGAACCACCTTGAGCACATATTTGACTTTATTGGGCGACAGATACAAGCACGTGAACCACTTCTCTAGCTCAAACCTTGTAACATGTATCATTTTGAGCCAAAACAAATGATTTGTGTATTGTGCCATATCCATCATGAAAACGTTGAACGAAACTGTCCTTTTGGTTTTTCTTGTAGTCAAGACATGATCTTACAGCAATGTGAATGTAGTGGTGTTGGAACGACGGTGGTTTATTGACAGAGGTCGCCGACAGTGTGGATTGTTGCCTATACTCACTGGTTTGTCTGGTCCAGGTCCAATTATTACAGGTTACATATCAAACAACTGTGCTGGGAAGTTTATTTGAAAGTCTTTCTTCTGAATTCACCTGGTAACTACTATAACTATTATACACGTGCTGAATACAATGCCATTGAATATCCATATCCTGTTTGATTCATTTGCCATAGTCAAACATTGTTTCTTTTCCGGCAATTCACGATAAATGAGGAAGGAAAACAGTGCTTACTCGATAAACAGTCAGAAACTATAGAGAGGGTACTGTGAATTGTGCCACCGGACGAAGATCGAGGCGATTGCTTATACCTTTAACAACGGAGTTCAGTTGTGACCACAGACACGTCTGCCATACATGTAAGTACGCTGATGTGTCCAGCATTAAGAATACCAGATCAGAACAGGGCCGGGTCATCCCATGCTTGTTGAGAGTCTATGAACTATGTGGTTTTACTCGGCGCTTTGACTGATCCTTCTCCATTTCGTGATAACACAATGAAGTTATGATAAACTGGATAATAACGGATGGACACTGATTTGTTGCATTTTCTTGTTATATCGTTCGGATTGAAAGCTTACCACTAATAATGACAAGTGTCACTTTCAGGACTTGTGTCAGTGAAACATATTTATAGTGCATTTTTTCACTGATAGATGACACTGTTTTGCAGAGGTGTGGAGGAAAGCTGCTACCATGACCAACCACACTCCGCCCGATGTTCACCCTGAGCCCGTCGGTCACTACATCCACTGGCCAATACTGCTGTATTTCATTGTGATCTTCATTTGTGGCTTGTCCGGGAACACGCTGATACTCTACGCATATCGTTACCGAATGAAAGAAACTATATTTGGCTTCTTTGTTCAAATACTTGCAACTGTTGACATGACAACGGTTGTGATATCACTTCCTTGCTCGTTTGTGTTCCGATATTTCTCTGTAACTTTGGACTTAGCACCGATGTGCAAGTTTCTTATATTCATGAATCACTTGAACGCCCTCGTGTCAGGCCTTCTGTTGTCAGTCATCGCCTTCCAGCGCTACAGGAAAGTATGCCACCCACACGGTAAACAAATAACAAAGGCCCTGGCTTGGAAACTGTGCCTCGCTGGGATGTGTCTGGCATTTTGTCTAAGTCTTCCGATCATATTTATCGTTTGAGTGTCCAAGAGTCCTACTGTAGTTGGTAACGAAACCTACGGTGTGCCAACCTGTGACTACGAAGATCACCGAAAACAGAAAGGAGAGTCCATAGTATACGCTGTGCTTGTGGACGCGGAGTTTGCTGGAATTGCTGTCTTTCTCGTCGTAGTCTACTCCCTGATTGGAAAAGCCTTATACAAAAGGATGAGAGCAAACGACAATGGAATTAACTCTGAAAACACCTATCACGTAAAGAAAACTACCAAAGTGTTTTTCATGTTAACAGTCGTGTTTTTGGTGTCAGTGTTACCCCTAATGATGATATCCACGATCTTTAGTGTATTCCCTGACCCTCCAAACTTCTCGGAGATTACACTCACCTTGTTCGACTTCGGAGTGTACCTCCCTCATGTCAACTGTGTCGCCAACCCTGTGATTTACAGCTTCACATCCAAACAGTTTCGCGCTGAATGTCTGTCTCTGTGTCCTATGTGTCGGAAGCGCCATTCCAAGACCCAGGGTGGGGCTTCGTCCGATTCCAGAACAGCAACCACATCCTTGTAGCAACAGGACAACAGACACACCCTTGCAGTATCCAGGACAACAGCTACATCTTTGACAGTGTGGTTAGAATTGGTCTGTAGCACTCCATGCTTGTCGTAAGAGGCGACCAAGGTGGTCAAGTTTCGTTGATTTGGTTGGCACTTGTCATCGTACCTCAATTGGGTAAATCGTGATGTTGATCTTCATTGTTGATTCAGGCATCATTTGGATTGGGTTCTCAAGCACAGTGACGTGGTTGTTTGCTTGACATTGTACACAGATGACGTGTTTGTTTGCTTGACATTGTACACAGATGACGTGTTTGTTTGCTTGACATTGTACACAGATGACGTGTTTGTTTGCTTGACATTGTACACAGATGACGTGTTTGTTTGCTTGACATTGTACACAGATGACGTGGTTGTTTGCTTGACGACGTGGTTGTTTGATTGACATTGTACACAGATGACGTGGTTGACATTGTTTGCTTAACATTGTACACAGATGACGTGGTTGTTTGCTTGACATTGTACACAGATGACGTGTTTGTTTGCTTGACATTGTACACAGATGACGTGGTTGTTTGCTTGACCACGTGACGTGGTTGTTTGCTTGACATTGAACACAGATAACGTGTTTGTTTGCTTGACATTGTACAGAGATGACGTTGATTGTTTCTCACAATATCCATCACTGGATTGTCTGGACCAGACTCACGTATTTACACCCCATTTCATGTAGTTGAAAGTTTGACGAGTTTGTTGCGAACTATGAAGCAAACAAAATTTCTATTTTAATTTTTGTTCCAGTGTATTATTGTTTTGTTTATATTCAGGGAGGACACATAATGTATTTTCGATCTATGTTGAAAATTAAACCACATCCTTGTAGCATCCGGGACAGCATCCTTGTTGTGATGTGGTCTTGCAGATTGTATTCAGTGTGTTATCTCCAGTCCGCGAAAAAAACGATAACAGTTCTGTCATTCTGTTCATTCCAAGTAGTGTTCTCCTGCTTAACATTTCATCTTACTTCTAATATGCAATTTAGAGACTAGTTTTACTTACTTTTAAAACCGTTGTTTTCTTTAATGCTTACTGTATACATTTATATTCACTGCATAACATCCGTTATACAGACAGGGAGACTGTAGTTTTGTAGAGATGATCGTTATAGCTTGTGAAGTTTGTTGTGAATTTTCTCAACATCTGGGCGACTTGCGTGTCTCAAACACCGATGAAGCATCCTGCCGATTGACTGTATGATGTAGCCTTTTAGATGTGTTTCAATAAACTTAACTTCAATTATTGAAAGTATTTCGTTTTTAGATATTTGCATCGCTCAGGGCACGAGTTGTGTGCGCCAGCCACACCAGGATTCTATAATCCACATTCAGATGATGCACCATGATAGGACTGTGTTCACACAGTGCATCAGGGACACTCAAAATGAAGACTGCAATAACAATTAATATTTATTATCTAAAGTCTCCTTTGTTAATAACACCGACAGTTGTTGAAACATATTCGCCAGTGATCAACTGGGTATATTGAATTTATGCTTGATACAATCGAAATAGGAGAGACTTGAATTCATTATCAGCGAGGCATCATTACCACGCATATTTGTCATGGCTGTCACAGCTAGGTACATGTCAAGTAAAACATTCCATGAGATGCCATCAATCCCCCTATGTAGACAAATAAAAGAGCTAGTGTGATGTATGCCCTGTGTATACGGGGCTTCGTTCTCATGAGGTACCGCCATTCCAGTCGCGCGGGCAGAAAGAATAGCCAATAGCGGCGTGATTTGGGGAGTATTTTGTGCCAGCGGTCGATCTCAGTTGATTGTCGTCCAGGGGAATCTTGCTGCTATATACATCAGGTTTGACCATTCATGCAGCTATATGGTCCTGAACTGACATTGCAACATGACAACGCCACGCTCTTTACTGCAGTTCTGACGAGCATTATCTTAGTAGGGACGAGTATAGTACGGTGTTGTTGTCATGGATTGGCGTTCCCGAACGAAAACGTTTGGGATGAGCTGGGAGACGAATGCGACAGCAGATGAATCAACATTGCTGGCACTTGGACAATCACATGTTGACCAATGTCGTGTTGCCGAAACGGCTGCTGCAGGAGGTCATACTCGTTAGTGACAGTTGTATCTGTGTGAAGTTCGCGTTCGGGAGTCATGGAACGTCATGCAATATTTGTCCAATCAAATGATGCTGTGCAGCACAATTCACATATCACCGTGTGTATTGTTACCCGGATGATAGCAGTATGATACACATCTTTTTCTATTGTTGGATTCAATTTAACAAGTGTCAAGTTTATGATTAAGTTATATCCTTGATGACATTATATCGCGAACACTATATCGAAACCCAAAACGTCGTGTGCATGAGTATGACATTTATGTACAAGGAAATACAGAGCAAAACATCAACAACTGAAGGCAACAAGCTGGCCTATAGCTCACTTCCTTCTTGACGTACAAACATGGCACTTTCAATGGGATTTGATAAATTGAATTTGAAAGCTTGACAAAACAAAAAGAATTTCTATTGTTTGAGGACGAATTAGAAGGAAGTATCTCCTAGTGTAACATACAACAAAGGGGGATGTTATAAGGGGAACCTCATTTGACTTTGCCATTCTTGGTTGCGTTGAACTTTAACATGGATGATAAGTTTCAATTTATTTTGTGCACATGTTCATGATATGATCTTTTGTTCTAGTGATTGCATCAAATATGATTGTTTGCCTTGATGGCCTGGCGCCGACTGCTGGGTTGTTACGGATCGATGACAAGATGTCGACTGATAGCTTGTTACTGACCGATTGCTCGTTACCGACTGATGGCTAGTTGCCGACTGATGACTAGACGGTGACGGATTGCTTGTAACTGACTGATGGTTAGACACCGACTGATGGCTAGACGGTGACACATTGCTTGTAACTGACTGATGGCTAGTTGCCGACTGATGGCTAGACGGTGACGGATTGCTTGTAACTGACTGGTGGTTAGACAATGATTGATGGCTAAATGGTGACGGATTGCTTGTAACTGACTGGTGGTTAGACAATGATTGATGGCTAGATGGTGACACATTGCTTGTAACTGACTGATGGTTAGACACCGACTGATGGCTAGATGGTGACGGATTGCTTGTAACTGACTGATAGTTAGATGGTGACGGATTGCTTGTAACTGACTGATGGTTAGACACCGACTGATGGCTAGATGGTGACGGATTGCTTGTAACTGACTGATAGTTAGATGGTGACGGATTGCTTGTAACTGACTGATGGTTAGACACCGACTGATGGCTAGATGGTGACGGATTGCTTGTAACTGACTGATGGCTAGATGGTGACGGATTGCTTGTAACTGACTGATGGTTAGACACCGACTGATGGCTAGATGGTGACGGATTGCTTGTAACTGACTGGTGGTTAGACACCGACTGATGGCTAGATGGTGACGGATTGCTTGTAACTGACTGGTGGTTAGACAATGATTGATGGCTAAATGGTGACGGATTGCTTGTAACTGACTGATGGTTAGACACCGACTGATGGCTAGATGGTGACGGATTGCTTGTAACTGACTGATAGTTAGATGGTGACGGATTGCTTGTAACTGACTGATGGTTAGACACCGACTGATGGCTAGATGGTGACGGATTGCTGGTAACTGACTGATAGTTAGATGGTGACGGATTGCTTGTAACTGACTGATGGTTAGACACCGACTGATGGCTAGATGGTGACAGATTGCTTGTAACTGACTGATGGCTAGATGGTGACGGATTGCTTGTAACTGACTGATGGTTAGACACCGACTGATGGCTAGATGGTGACGGATTGCTTGTAACTGACTGATAGTTAGATGGTGACGGATTGCTTGTAACTGACTGATGGTTAGACACCGACTGATGGCTAGATGGTGACGGATTGCTTGTAACTGACTGATAGTTAGATGGTGACGGATTGCTTGTAACTGACTGATGGTTAGACACCGACTGATGGCTAGATGGTGACGGATTGCTTGTAACTGACTGATAGTTAGATGGTGACGGATTGCTTGTAACTGACTGATGGTTAGATGGTGACGGATTGCTTGTAACTGACTGATGGTTAGACACCGACTGATGGCTAAATGGTGACGGATTGCTTGTAACTGATTGATGGCTACGACTGATGGCTAGACGCCGACTGGTGAAGTGTTGCTGACTGATGGCTAGACGCCAACTGATGGATATTTGCTGACAGACGGCTAGACGCCAACTGATGGCTACACGCCGACTGGTGAATTGTTGCCGACTGATGGTTAGGCGCCGACTGTTGAGTTGTTGCCGACTGATGGCTAGATGGTGACGGATTGCTTGTAACTGACTGATTGCTTGCTACCGACTCATGGCTAGACGCGGATTGATGGATAGTTGCCTACTGGCGCCGACTGGTGAGTTGTTGGCGACTGATGGCTTGACGCCGACTGACAGCTTGCAGCTCGTCGCCAAGATAAGGACTTGTGCTGTAAGGAATTGTGTAATTTGTGATATAGCTGTACCATTTACGCTTACATTCGGTTATGTAGACTGCACTGTGGTTGCATTGCATATATACTGAACCACAAAAGAAACGTCGCGTTTCAAAACCAAATGCAAATTTTGTTCTTACAAGGTGGTGTTTATATTATAATTAACGGTTTTGTTAACATGTTTTTCAATTCAAATTGACAGTTATTACCAACATCAGTGTGTTTTCTGATGAAAAAGCATATCGACCAAACGCACCGAAAAAAGGCAGACATGTGAAAAGTTTCATGACATTCGTGAAAATGAAAATGCACGTGCATATTGTGACAACCATACCAATGAAAGCGAGTCCCAAACTCGCCTGAAATCATTTTTGTTTTGACACAATCACCATGCCACGACTTACGTGAGATCAGACTAATTAAGTCTTGGGACGACTGCAAGTTGGCCAGACTGCACGGAGGGTACACATATACTTGAACGTATTTTTTTACCACCAATTCCAGATTTTCACAGAAAATCTGAGCTTTCCAGACCTAGTCGTTACAGAGGACATGTGAAAAAAAAATATATACTGTAAGCCATTAAAAACGCAATTTGACATTCATACTTTCTTTACTCACACCAATTTCAACATATATAAACCTAACTGGCAGATATGTTTTAAGTGAACATCTGTGAATAATTTCATCTGAAAATGTCCAGTCAACAACAACACCAGTGACGCAACAACGACATCAAACAAAGGAGGGGTCACTTGCAGTCAATATCGTGTGTGTCCACCGTGCGCTGCAAGACATGCTCGCAGTCTTTGGGGCATTGAAAGACACACATTTCTCAGGAACAGCTGTTGGATGGTCTGCAGCCTCTGATGGTCTGTGGTCTGATCATGACACCACCCCCTCCAAAACGATCATGTTCAAGGACACAGTTTGGATTCATCTGACAAAATGACATCTGGCCATGTCCTGTTGCCAAGATTGGCCCCATTTGCTGCCCATCGCTGTCTGGCAAGTCTGTGGCGATGCAATAAGGTTGGACCACGGTACGGGTCACGACACCGGATGTTGAAGGCAGCGAGGCGTCCTTGCACCTTTTGGGCGCTGAAATGACGTTGACTTGTCCCAATTGTCGTCCTTGCCTAATCATCAGCTGTTTGGGACCGATTTCGAAAGTGTGAAACTCGGATATTGCGGTTTTGTCGAGCTGTTATCACAGGTGGTGCACCAGGTCGCGGACGATCAGCAACACTTCCGGTAGCCCGAAAACGTTGTCTGAGTCGACTTACAGTGGATGGATGCACATTAAAGTGCCTGGCAATCATCACATCTGAAGCACCTTGGCTGACCATACCGATAACCGGATTCCTTTCGTCTTGTGTCAAGTGTGGCATTTTCTCGAAGTGATTGAGTTCCACAATTCCTTGTGCTTTTACAGGGCCTGGGTGCAGGTAATGCATGTGCACAACGTGTTTCATGAATGTGGTTGTGTTTACGAGAAATGTCAAAGGTTCAGTTTTAAGTATCAAAGTTCATGTGAGAGGAATGCTCCGGGACTCGAACTCGAAATGAGCCAGAATAACAGCCTTTTATCCCTACATCCTCTGTATCGCAGGCAAAAATCTTCAATAGAACTTTTGTGAGTTTCAGGACAACAAATACCAATTGCGTTTTAATGGCTTACAGTATATAAACCTAAATGATGGACAGAAGACGGAAAACTCGTGTCACCACTTAGGCTCACTTGCCTGTCATTAAGGTATCGCAGATCGCTGACAACAGTAAGTGTGAGGCCACGTACCAGACGAGATGGACACGTCTGTTTGGGAAGATCAAGCTGTCTCTGCTGGCTTACGTCTCATTAGGTTAACTGACCGAGTTGGATTTTATGCTGCTTTCATAAATATTCTAGCAATAACCAGGGACACCAGAAATTGGCTTCACACTTTGCACCAGTGTATGGAATCGAACCCGGGCCTTCGGCGTGACGAGCGAACACTTTAACCACTGGGCTACCTCACCGCCCCCATTGGGTTAAAACGTGAATCCAACATGTTATTCCATGTACGTATTGTTTTGTACGGTTTCAGTGTCTTAATAAGGAAACCCTGCCAGTTTGGTTGTATTAACTGAGTGTATCTGTCACTTGTATATTAGTTCAACTCTTTGTTCGTTTATTCATCTAATCACAATAAATTCACTGGCACGTTGGGCCGAGCGGTCACTACAGCAGGCGCAGGTGTATAGTTGTCAACAACCAGCTTATGAAACTGTCAACTGACACGATATGGACCTATTGACATTTTCCACGCACGAAATAGGACAGGGAAATATTATCTACAAGGGTACAGCAGTGTCACTGTTTTCCTCTTCCAAACATAATTCGCTGCTGATAATCAGTTTGCAATCAGTAATACCGTCCTGCCAAGGGAAGAGATACCACTTGTCAGGGGAACCCTTCCCAAACAGGTAACTTCAAATATGCTCCTAAAATGAATTTACCGCGAGATAAAGTACTATCGGTTATGCGTTAATAGATGTTAATAGATCCATTTTATCGGTAACGATTGCCAAAGGTGATTCTTTTATTGTATATTTCCATGTAAGACAGACATTTATAAAATTCATATCTTAAATTCAATTCAGAGCTCCAGATTAGATTTAGCTCATGTGGGTACTGTACCCACTGTATTTTTTTAGGGTGGGTATTATGAATGTTGAGTGGGTATTTCATTTTCCGTTACCCACTGCTTTCAAATATGTGCGTATTTCAGTCATTTTACTCACCTAAGTATTACGTCATTGAGTAAGTTTACTAAGCAGGTATGTTCTGCTTTATGTCATACCTAATCAAAACCAATTTAAATAAAATGGAAATGATTTCATAAAAAATCACTCATCCTATACTGACAGTACAACACATGTCCTATACTAACAGTACAACTTGATAGCAATCGATGTCTTTTTCATTACGCAAGCGATTTTTATAAATATATTCCGTGCGCATTCGTTTTAAACTTTTTGCGTATCTAACATTTTAAATGCGTAATAAGTACGCAACAATTATTTTTCAATGCGTAATTGGAAATTTTCTATGCGTATTTTACCCGGATACGCAGCTTATCTGGGCCTCTGATTAACTCAATTTTGCAGAAAACGGGAACTGAAACCCACGCCACAGGTTTTTCTTCTTCCCTTACAATTACATCATGTGCTTCTCTGTATCTAGAGGGGTGGGGTGGGGTGGGGGGTAAGTGTCATCTGAAGATACATACAGTGCTCTTTACACTTCAATGCAGCATTCAAGACGACCTGGACCAGACAAGTCAGTATACTTGTACTGTCTCTAAATCGACAGACGGACCAGCAGTATGGGAAATGATACCGCCGTCTGCGACCTGCCAGCGTCCCGGCTAGGGATGGGGAGTCTTCACTGGCCAGTTCTCCTCTACACCCTGGTCCTCTTTGTTGTGGGCGTCACCGGAAACAGCTTGGTCTTCTTTATCTACCATTGTCATTTGAAGAAAAATGTATTTGGATCATTTGTCCAGATACTAGCCGTATTGGACATGGTCATTGTGTTTGTCTGTCTACCATGTACTTTCTTGCTGCGTTTTGCTTACGACATCGACATCGTTGATGCTTCCGTACTTTGTAAGACACAGACGTTCGCCAAGCACTTCAGCGCAGCCATGATGGGCGTGGTGCTCTCAGCCATTGCCTACCAGAGATATCAGAAGGCTTGCAAACCACTTGGATATCACATGACGAGGTACTTTGTCCTGAAACTATGTGTCAGTGGGATTTGCTTTTCATTAATAACCAGCACTCCCATAATATATCTGATCGGAAAGACAACAACCATTGTTAAAAAAGAAAATGAATACTATTGCGTACCCACTTGCAATTTTTCAAGAAAACATTGGTTTCCCTTGGCCTATGCAATATTCGTGGATGTCGAATTCATTGCATTTACAATGTTCTTGGTCGTTACTTATTTCAAGATTTGGAAAAGCCTAGGTAAAAGTTTTGCTCAAACTGGATCAAGAAGAGTATCAACCAGAGTATTCTTTGTATCAGCAATCATTTACATCGTTTCAGGACTGCCCATCATGGCCATTGCAACATGGTTCAGTGTTCACGAAAACTTGCATACATTTTCGCCCATTCTCTTGACAGCGTTTGACATTGGCCTCTACCTCCCGTATGTTAACTGTGTTGCCCACACAGCCATTTACAGCATGGCGTCCAGCTTGTTCCGTGTGGAGTGTCGTGCACTATGTCAGTGTACACAACCTCAATAAATCATCATTGATAACGATTACATCAGCTGTCAGTTCATGTTCATACTTGGTTACATTATATTTCAACTATACACGTGGTTTGTGTATTGCATATGCTCTTAACACTGACTGAAGTTCTAATTCTAAACTTCTTAAGGTTTCATTTCTTTCATTGAACATCACATTCACCAGGTTTGCGTTAGTACTTCATTCAACATTATTACATCCTGTTTCATGTGGCAGGAATGCCCTGCAGGTGCCAGAGAACCTTTCAACTCACAGCCTGGCTCCCAGTGTCCAGCTCACAAGAGGAGACATATTCTGCATGCATATCTTCCCTGCCATCACTCACAATTGTTAAAAAACGAGTTAGTCATACTTGTGTGCTGCCTCTTAAAAAGAAATATTTATATCACAAAAAACTGTATAAATCACATGATTGTAAAGTTCCTACATCCAACAACATAACTGATCTAATCCCCCACACACAGACCATCTGGACACACATCTTGGGTACTTTCCAAGGGTGCTGAAACCCCAATGATTCTATAACAAATTCAAAGAGTGGTGTTTTAGTTAAGGTACACAGCAATTGTTTGTTTGATGCTTTCTAGCTCAGTCAACCATATTCCTGAAATATGGTGATGGTCAGGTCTTGACCTGACAATCCAGTGATTAAGATCATGAGCATCCATCAATGCAAATTGGATACAATGATATGCATCAACCAAGTAAGCAAGCCTGATCCCATTATTCACCACACACTGAAGGGGAATATATCGGTACTTCTGCTGGTGACCTGGAATATCTGGAAGCCTGAACTGCAAACTGACATAAAAGCTACTACAAACTGACATGGAAATAAATACTTTAAAAACATTTATACCACTGTTTGCATAAGTGCATATATGTCCATACAAATGTATTCTGTATTTATTACAAAATATATCACAATTAAAACAATGGCTTCTCTCACGATATCATTGACTGAAAAAATTATGGAAATCTACATTTAATAGTTTTCCATTCATTTACCATATAAAACCTATCTCAGATTCTATATCACTATCATATAATAACACAACCCAGCAGTAAACCAACACTAAATTACACAACCATATATAAAATATATGCTGAGAAACACAGTAACATCAGGATGCATTATATGGAAACAGTACCAGGGAAGCAGTGTTATAGAAATTCCAGGCTTAGCCCTGTGACCACACATGGTTAAATGCCAGTGCATCATGCTATAATGCTCCTGTGGTGAAGACATGTAAGGTAGGAGAAAACATTCCTATCTCAACCTGGGAAACTCTGGTTTAAGTTTGAAGAATATTTATGAAATACTTTAGATGGAACATCGCCCAAATAGTTTTGTGTAGCTGGTAATATGACTACTATATTGGGTAGGTTTAACAGGCAAGATATCCTTGTGGCAGGTGCCATATCAAACAGCCGGCCACAAGGCAAGGCCAGGCAAGGTAGCCCTGTGGCAGGTGCCATATCAAACAGCCGGCCACAAGGCAAGGCCAGGCAAGGTAGTCATGTGGCAGGTGCCACATCAAACAGCCAGCTGCAACATTGAGCTCTTGAAAATCACAAAATTTGCAAAAACGCCACAAACTCTTGGATTATTTTGTTTTCCCAAAACATACAGATACAATTATGTACAACAATTTTGTACTACTCGATATGAATGAACCACTTTCATATAAAAGTATAGTTACATGGCAGTTATTATCACACGAAGATAACATAGTAGTGCAGTGATTTCAGGAGACACAGAATATGCATCACATGCTGTTTAGGAAGACCTGTCACTTATAAAGGCAGTTAAATACAATAATGGCTCACAACTAGTAAACAATATTTAAATATATCTGTGAATGATATACCTGGACAAAATCCTGAGATACAAAACACTGTAACAAATCAACAGAACATCAATAAACTGGCATTGTCTTCTGAAAGATTTCTTACATAAACTGAAACAAACAAAGGAACAAATCTGAAACAATGCTTTCCAATACACATTTCTGGATGTGAGTTTGGTCAACTATGTAAACCTGAATGTGTGAAATAGTTACCAACAAATAGTCCAACATCACAAACAAGCTCCTCCTTTTAACTTCTCAGTAGTATGAGGAGCAGCAGCATTAATGGAGGTCAGCATGTATTTAAAAATCTCCTTCAATACCATGTGTTGCAAATCACCATTTCATCATCTAAGATCATTTTCATAATATCACAGATACTCCATTGGTCAAAGAAAACTTGAAGATAAAATCCATACAGTTGTTCTGTAGCTGGCTAGTTAGTAGCCAATGAATGTCACTGTCTTGTGATTGGTCGACTGATTACCAATCAGGGCTTTAGCTTGCAGCAGCTGTGAGCTCAGTTTGTCCACCGATTGGTTCAGATTGTTCACCAGCCTGTTCCATAATTGGGAATGTTCCTGTAACATTGGCTAGGCCTGGACCATCAAATATATTCTGGATATTTCTGGTTGCTCTGGCAACAGCTACGACAGCTTCTGTTGCAGTCTGAAACAATCATTTGAAGCATGTAAGCATCTCAGCATGAATCTGAAGTTATTAAATAGATGGTTCAGAAAGACAGAAGGCCACCAGAAAGACACATAGTCTACTGACAAGGAAGACACATAGTCTACAGATACACACAGGACACATAGTGTTCATTCTAGGCAGCGCCCTTGAGCCATTCGCGCACTGAAAGTTCATATTGCACACTTTAAAAATACTGGCGGGCCGCGTGGGCGCACTCAAGATATTAAACATAAATCTGAAATGCATTACGAGTTTGTTTTCAAGCGTCAACACAAGCAAAATTCAAAACGCAGGCTTAGTTTAACTGTAACAAAATGCGCTACCTTCTCTCACTGAAGCGAGCTGTTATTGTTTTGAATGCCAAAAACTCTGCACATCACTTTCAAGCTGTTTCAAACGGACAGTGCGAAGCCTACAAATCGGTGTTATGAGAAAATCTGATGCGCTTTGTAAAACAGATTCCGATTGGTCGGTTTCTTTGAGTGATCCAGTCACGTTGCATGTAGCAGTTTTATACTTTTGTTGCCATGGGGACACACCAGCTGTCAAATGCTGATGTCAATCGAAAATTCATTCCTTTTTTGCCCAAAAGCAAAAACTTTGTCATGATGGCGATACAGAGAGCACAACCAACCGCGGCGATGATAACCTAAAAGAGGATGGGTCTGAGGAGAAATGCCAGGGCGATGTATCATGTCCACAGGTTTTTCAAAATACGTGTTTGCAGCTTTACCCATGGGTATCGTTCGACAAAGAGGCAAATCACATGTGATGTACGGTGTGTATTACCCATCCCAAAAATAATGTGTTTACAGGGAATGGCACAGACAATTATCGGACCAGTAAGTGAACTCAAATTAGTAACTAATTAGTAGTGTATGTCTAACAAGTCACAGCAATTTGACATGACCCACACTATTTTCTAAATGGCCCACCTAACTGTGGGCTGGTGGGCCATGGGCCGTCTTTTTATCAAGGCTAGAATGAACACTGGACACATGGTCTACAGACAAGGAAGACACATAGTCTACAGATACACACGGGACACATGGTCTACAGATACACACAGGACACATGGTCTACAGATACACACAGAAGACATGGTCTACAGATACACACAGTCTACAGATACACACAGGACACATGGTCTACAGATACACACAGGACACATGGTCTACAGATACACACAGAAGACATGGTCTCCAGATACACACAGGACACATGGTCTACAGATACACACAGGACACATGGTCTCCAGATACACACAGGAGACATGGTCTCCAGATACACACAGGACACATGGTCTACAGATACACACAGGACACATGGTCTACAGATACACACAGGACACATGGTCTACAGATACACACAGGACACATGGTCTCCAGATACACATGGGACACATGGTCTACAGATACACACAGAAGACATGGTCTCCAGATACACACAGGACATATGGTCTACAGATCCCTGAGGACACATGGTCTACAGATACACACAGGAGACATGGTCTACAGTCAAGGACACATGGTCTACAGATACACACAGGACACAGTGTCTACAGATACACACAGGACACATGGTCTCCAGATACACACAGGACACATGGTCTACAGATACACACAGGACACATGGTCTACAGATACACACAGGACACATGGGACACATGGTCTACAGATACACACAGGACACATGGTCTACAGATACACACAGGACACATGGTCTACAGATACACACAGGACACATGGTCTACAGATACACACAGGACACATGGTCTACAGATCCCCACAGGACACATGGTCTACAGATACACACAGGACACATGGTCTACAGACAAAGAGGACACATAGTCAACAGATACACACAGGACACATGGTCTACAGATACACACAGGACACATGGTCTACAGACAAAGAGGACACATAGTCAACAGATACACACAGGACACATGGTCTACAGATACACACAGGACACATGGTCTACAGATACACACAGGACACATGGTCTACAGATACACACAGGAGACATGGTCTACAGATACACACAGAAGACATGGTCTACAGATACACACAGAAGACATGGTCTCCAGATACACACGGGACACATGGTCTACAGATACATATAGGACACATGGTCTACAGTCAAGGAGGACACAGTGTCTACAGATACACACAGGACACATGGTCTCCAGATACACACAGGACATGGTCTACAGATACACACAGAAGACATGGTCTCCAGATACACACAGGACACATGGTCTACAGATACACACAGGACATGGTCTACAGATACACACAGAAGACATGGTTTCCAGATACACACAGGACACATGGTCTACAGATACACACAGGACACATGGTCTACAGATACACACAGGACACATTGTCTACAGAGACACACATGGCACATGGTCTACAGATACACACAGGACACATGGTCTACAGATACACACAGGACACATGGTCTACAGACACACTGTTTAAATGCACCTGAGAGATGCACACAAGTCTACCTTGAGTTTCCTCCTGGCATTGAACTCCTTGATGTTGTCAAAGGTGGACTCCATGTGGTGGATGCGATTGGCCTTGCCCATCACCCATGGATGTCTAAGAGCGTTTGCAGCAGTCACCCGCTTCTTGGGGTCTAAGGTCAGCATACTTCGTACAAGGTCCTTCAGTAAATGAACATGTCAGATTCTCATAATCACAACTCCCTTGGGTAAATTCAGAGCACCATTTGTCCAGATACTCTTACATTATGTATTTCAAGTTCAGGTGGATGACAGTATGAAGTGCACTTTATTACCATGCAATGAAGATGTGGAGAACCTAATCACTACTGTTTCAGCCTGGATGCCTTAAACATTGCAGGCAAATACGTATTAAGTGACAAGTATGAGTCTTGAATGGCAGGGATTTAGGGCAATATATTATATACCTGGCATCATTAATGAAGGGTCAAACTATGGGTAACACTATTTCTTAAAAGTTGCAAAATCTTGTTTGAAAAATTGTTTGAAATATATACAACTGAATGTTTTACAAACTTTTTTAACAGTATGGAAAAACACATCAGGCCTTTGAAATGTCATTATTACATTCTTTAATGTCCGATACATTCTGTTACAAATGGCACATGTTTTATTCAAATTATCAATATAGAAATCCACCTGCTACTCAATGTCAATGATTTGACGTGCAAAGCGCGCACTATGCATGGAGTCAGGTACCTGTTTGAAATCGCAGCTTAAAGTGAGACGTTTTTTTACACTTGCTGAAAGGGGCCAGGCTATAGGGCTATTGGAATCTGGGCAAACTCAGCGGCAGGTTGCTGTCCGCTTTAATGTGAGTCAGAGTGCTATTAGTAGACTGTGGCAGAGATATCAAGCTAATGGGTCGGTGGAATATGCACGTCGACCACAGGTCGCCCGAGAGTCACAACAGTCCAAGATGATAGGTACATGATTAACACTGCGTTACGTGACAGATTCCTCAATGCAACGTTTAAGGGCAGCCGGACTCTGCTGTAGGCGACCTGCAGTTCGTCCTCTATTAACACCATGTCACGTTTGAGATGGAGTAGACATCATGGCCGCTGGAATCAACGTCAATAGTCTTGTGTGCTCTTCTCAGATGAAAGCAGATTCAGTTTGTCCTTCAATGATGGTCGGCAGAGGATTTATCGTCGCAATGGAGAGCAAATCACAGATGCAACTGTGGCCACACATAACAGATTTGGCGGGGGGTTCGGTCATGGGATTCTCCACTGCATATGGTCGGCAGTAATCTTACCAGACAGTGTTATCGGGACGAGATTCTGGCTCCTATAGCAGTACCATTCCTGCAAGCTCTGCATGGCTTTCATGGTTGACCCTCTTTGTGCAAGACAACAACACTAGGCATCATAGGGACAGGATTGTCATGGAATTCCTTAAAGGCAGCAGTATGTAGAGCGGATGGAGAAGCCAGTCTGCTCATCAGACCTCAACCCAATTGAGCATGCCTGAGATGAACTCAGTTGACGTGTGTTAACACGTCACCCAGCACCAGTGGATCTCCCAGGACTCTGCAGAGCTCTAGTAGAGGAATGGAATGTGATTCCACAAGCTTTCTTATGAACTGGATAAGGTGAGGTGAGGTGAAATTGGGTTTTACGTCGTGCTTGAGAATATTTCGCTCACATGACGACTATGAACTTGATAAGGAGCATGACAACAAGGTGCACCTGTGTCTTGGACGCGCGAGGAGGGTACACAAGATATTGAATGACCGAGTGTTTCATGTTTGTCATTTTCATTTTGGGGGTTGGTCTATGTAACAACTGATGTTTGCTAGTGCTGTTTGAACTTTTTGTCTGTATGTCACAATGTGTCATGCTTGTCAACACATTTAACATTATGATGACACTCTTAGTTCTATTATGTCTGAGAAACTTTACGTTACCTGAGATATATATATATATATATATATATATATATATATATATATATATATATATATATATATATATATATCATTTGACCCGTTATTAATGACGCCTACTATATATCTGTGAAAAGGTTCAATGTGGTTTCAGTACTGTCACTAGAAGATATCCAGTTCTACCTCAAATCTCCACATAATTGTTTCATTGGAGGAACTGTGAAAAGCTAGAGAGTGGATGAATAGTCCAGAGTTAGACAGGTTTACCTTAGCGTTCTCTGACACTTCGTCCCACCAGGGAGAGTCGAACTGGTAATCTGCCTTAATGATACGCTTGTACATCAGGCGGTCGGTGTCAGCGCTGAACGGCTCATAGCCACACAAACTGAGGGGCAGCAAGGGCAGCATTAGTCAGGTAGGCACTCCTCAACATCATCATCACAACAATCAGCAGGAATAAAACGGAGTGACTTTATCATCTTACAAACATCATTATTTAGAAAACATTGGCAAAGGTAAAAATCCTATTAACCATTTTAACATCTTAAAATACTGGTCAGACAAGACTTACAGTATGTGACAGGAATGAAAGCAGTTTCTAGCATGTTGAGGTAAACTACAGTGGAGCTACTACATTCTACCTGATGAGCATACCATATGTTATAAGACAGGACTTACAGTATATATGTGATGACTCCAACACTCCACATGTCAATAGCTTTGGTGTACTTCTTTCCACTTAGAACCTCTGGAGCTGGAATATATAGAAACCTCTGCAAATATCTAAATATTCTTGTAGTTTCTTGCATCTTGCTGTTGGTACACAGTGACAATATCAGTGCGAGTCAGTACAGCGTGAAAATAACAAATCTTACCACAATATCCTGGTGTGCCACAAACTGTTGTCATTGTAACTTCTTGTCCTATTATCTTTGACAGCCCAAAATCAGCTGAAATAAAATATATAACATTTTTATGATATGTCATGTAGCTTCAGAGAAAGAGTCTTCATTAATTCTTTTGAAAAAAGTTGTCTAACATTGTTCATCATCCTGCTGGATATGTTTACAAGTAATGGAGACACCTTCTGCATGACACTAATGACCTAAAAGCCAACTGTATCCGCTCTCTGGACTAATGACAAAAGCCTACTGTATCCGCTCTCTGGACTAATGACAAAAGCCTACTGTATCCGCTCTCTGGACTAATGACATAACAGCCTACTGTATCCGCTCTCTGGACTAATGACAAAAGCCTACTGTATCCGCTCTCTGGACTAATGACATAACAGCCTACTGTATCCACACTCTGGACTAATGACATAACAGCCTACTGTATCCGCTCTCTGGACTAATGACATAACAGCCTACTGTATCCACACTCTGGACTAATGACATAAGAGTCTACTGTATCCGCTCTGGACTAATGACATTACAGCCTACAGACATAACAGCCTACTGTATCCACACTCTGGACTAATGACATAACAGCCTACTGTATCCACACTCTGGACTAATGACATAACAGCCTACTGTATCCACACTCTGGACTAATGACATAACAGCCTACTGTATCCACACTCTGGACTAATGACATAACAGCCTACTGACTAATGACATCCACATCCACACTCTGGACTAATGACATAACAGCCTACTGTATCCGCTCTCTGGACTAATGACATAAAAGCCTACTGTATCCACACTCTAGACTAATGACATAACAGCCTACTGTATCCGCTCTCTGGACTAATGACATAACAGCCTACTGTATCCACACTCTGGACTAATGACATAACAGCCTACTGTATCCGCTCTCTGGACTAATGACATAGCAGCCTACTGTATCCACACTCTGGACTAATGACATAAGAGTCTACTGTATCCGCTCTCTGGACTAATGACATAACAGCCTACTGTATCCACACTCTGGACTAATGACATAAGAGTCTACTGTATCCGCTCTCTGGACTAATGACATAACAGCCTACTGTATCCACACTCTGGACTAATGACATAAAAGTCTACTGTACCCACACTCTGGACTAATGACATAACAGCCTACTGTATCCACGCTCTGGACTAATGACATAACAGCCTACTGTATCCGCTCTCTGGACTAATGACATAACAGCCTATAGCTTTCTGTATCCACAATTTCATTAGATTAATTAACATTATTTAACATAACATCAGAAAATAACATGCATGTTAAATCATTGACCTATTGTTAACTGTATACATTCAATAGTGGAACATTTTCAGATACGTTTGTCACGTTACAATACACATCAACATGAACAGTCCTTCATGTGGTGCACTGCCTGCTGACATCATCCAGTAAAACCATGTCAGTATTCAGACATAGGGGTGCTTCTGTTGGCAGTGTATTTCAACCAGTCATTAATGAGGTTGATAACTACCAGTACATACTTGGGTTGTAGTGGTTCCGTGCCTTTTGTAACAACTATTTTAGAGCCATGGACAATGAAAAGTAACCAAGGTCAGCCAATTTCAGCAAAGTCCAAATTCAGGGGGAGAGATACTCTCTCTGAATACGTTACTGAGGAGATATTTGTAACCAACATCAAAATAGATTTGAATCTTGTTAACTTAGTTTGTTGAGAAATAGATTACTTTAACAGTTGCACATGCAAATGGGGTATGATCTTCAAAGGATCCAATTTCCCATGGTAAAATAGAGATCAACTTTGTGTTTTAAATAGGAGGTATCCTAACTTTAGCTGAAATACTTGGTTCCCGTTGAAATACTAGGAACTAGGCTACAGGAGCACTACCTCTAACTTCTGTAGTGTAGAATTATCTCCAGACTATATCCACCCCATGTTTATCAGTGTATGTAGGAAGCTTATTAAATCACCAATGCTTTAGGCATGTTCACTAACAGACAGAACCAAAAGTTGCAACTTGCCTATTTTCAGCTTCGATTCAGGTTCCAAGTTTTCATACAACATGTTTTCTGGCTGAAAATAGAAACATGAGCGTCACATGTACATTCACAGACTAATGAAGTTTTCCTGAGTCACATTTCACAAGCTATCATCCTTTATACAACATTACTTGCGAAGCCAATAATGTGACTTCGAAAATTGTCACTTGTGTAAAAAACAGATCATAATAGCTGGTTGGCCCTTTCAATTGACCTTTGTAATTACTGAATGAACATTGAGTGATCTTCAATCTTGATAAGCCCTGGGGAAGTTCCCTACCTTTCCCACTGTCCCTTCCACATTTCCCCTTGGAAGGTTTGATACCCTTCCACATTCCCCATAGGGTGGCTCTATACCCTCCCACATTTCCCCTTGGAAGGTTTGATACCCTTCCACATTTCCCATAGGGAGGCACTATACCCTCCCACTGTCCCTTCCACATATCCCACAGAGAGGCTCTATACCCTCCCGCTGTCCCTTCCACATATCCCATAGGGTGGCTCTCCTGTCCCTTCCACATATCCCATAGGGTGGCTCTCTGCTGTCCTTCCACACCCTCCTCCCCACTGTCCCTTCCACATATCCCATAGGGGTGGGCTCTATACCTCCCCACTGTCCTTCCACATATCCCATAGGGGCTTCTATACCCTCCCCACTGTCCCTTCCACATTTCCCATAGGGTGGCTCTCTATACCCTCCCTGCTGTCCCTTCCACTCCCATAGGGTGGCTCTTCTATACCCTCCCACTGTCCTTCCACATACTCCCATAAGGTGGCTCACTGTCCCTTCCTTCCACATATCCCATAGGTGGTCCCCACTGTCTTCCTATACCCTCCCACTGTCCCTTCCACATCCCCATCCCATAGGGTGGCTCTATACTCCTCCCCTCCCCACTGTCCCTTCCACATATCCCATAGGGTGGCTCTATATACCTCCCTGCTGTCCCTTCCACATACTTCCCATAGTGAGGCTCTATGTACCCTCCTACTGTCTCTCCTTCCACATATCCCCATAGGGTGGCTCTATACCCTCCCCACTGTCCTTCCACATATCCCTCCCGGTGGCCTCTATACCTCTCCCATTGTCCTTCCATATCCATAGGGTGGCTCTATATACCTCCCGCTGTCCCTTCCACATATCCTATAGGGTGGCTTCTATACCCTCCCACTGTCCCCTCCACATATCCATAGGTGGCTCTATACCCCTCCCACTGTCCCTTTCCACATATCCCATAGGGTGGTTTCTATACCTCCCCTGGCTGTCCCTTCCACATATCCCATAGGGTGGCTCTATACCCTCCCCACTGTCCCTTCCAATATATCCCATAGGGTGGCTCTCTATACCCTCCCGCTGTCCCTTCCACATATCCCATAGGGTGGCTCTATACCCTCCCCACTGTCCCTTCCACATATCCCATAGGGTGGCTCTATACCCTCCCGCTGTCCCTTCCACATATCCCATAGGGTGGCTCTATACCCTCCCCAGCTGTCCCTTCCACATATCCCATAGGGAGGCTCTATACCCCTCCCCGCTGTCCCTTCCCACATATCCCATAGGTGGCTCTCTATATTCTCCCCCGCTGTCCCTTCCACATATCCCATAGGGTGGCTCTATACCCTCCCCGCTGTCCCTTCCACATATCCCATAGGGTGGGGTGGTGTCTATCCACCCTCCCATAGGGGTGGCTCGATTCCTGTCCCTTCCACATATCCCATAGGGTGGCTCTATATCCCATTCCTCCCACTGTCCCTTCCATATATCCCATAGGGTGGCTCTATACCCTCCCCACTGTCCCTTCCACATATATCCCATAGGGTGGCTCTATACCTCTCCTGCTGTCCTTCCACATATCCCATAGGTGGCTCTCTCCCCCACTGTCCCTCATATCCCACAGGGTGGCTGTCCCTTCCACACATATCCCATAGGGTGGCTCTATACCCTCCCCCACTGTCCCTTCCACATATCCCATAGGGTGGCTCTCTATACCCTCCCACTGTCCTTCCACATATCCCATAGGGGTGGCTCTATACCCTCCCACTGTCCCTTCCACATATCCCATAGGGAGGCTCCTATTTGTCCACTGTCCCTTCCATATCCCTATAGGGTGGCTATACCTATACATTCCTCCCGCTGTCCCTTCCACATATCCCATAGGGTGGCTCTATACCCTCCCCACTGTCCCTTCCACATATCCCATAGGGTGGCTCTATACCCTCCCGCTGTCCCTTCCACATATCCCCAGGGTGGCTCTCTATACCCCCTCCCCGCTGTCCCTACGTTGTCCTTCCACATATCCCATAGGGTGGCTCTATACCCTCCCCACTGTCCCTTCCATATCCCATAGGGTGGCTCTATAATCCTCCTGGCTGTCCCTTTCACATATCCCATAGGGAGGCTCTATACCTCCTCCACTGTCCCTTCCACATATCCCATAGGGGTGGCCTACTTCTATACTTTCCTCCCCACTGTCCCTTTCCACATATCCCATAGGGTGGTTTCTATTTCCCCTCACAGAGAGGCCCTGTCCCTTCCACATATCCCATAGGTGGCTCTCATATACTCCTCCCACTGTCCCTTCCATCCCACAGAGAGGCTCTATACCCTCTCCACTGTCCCCTTTCACATATCCCATAGGAGAGGCTCTATACTGTCCTCCCCACTGTCCCTTCCACATGTCCCATAGGGTGGCTCTCAGTGTCCTCCATTTACCAGGCTGTCCCTTCCTCACATCACATATCCCACAGGGTGGCTCTATACCCTCCCCACTGTCCCTTCCATATCCCCATAGGGTCACACCTCTTTCACATGGCTCACACTGTCCCTTCCACATGTTCTCCCACATATGTCCTTCCCTCCCACAGGTGGCTCTATACCCATCCTATCCCACAGAGAGGCTCTATACCCTCCACTGTCCCTTTCACACATCCCCACAGAGGCTTCTACTGTACCCTCACATGCTCCTGTCCCTTCCACATCCCACTCCCACAGGGAGGCTCTATACCCTCCACTGTCCCTTCCATATGTCCCTTCCAAATTCCCACAGGGAGGCTCTCACTGTATACCTCTCTATACCCTCCACTGTCCCTTCCACATATCCCACAGGGAGGCTCTATACCCTCCCACTGTCCATTTCACATATCCCACAGAGAGGCTCTATACCCTCCACTGTCCCTTCCATATTTCCCACAGGGAGGCTCTATACCCTCCCACTGTCCCTTCCACATATTTCCCACAGGGAGGCTCTCTATACCCTCCACTGTCCCCTTCAGGGGAGGCTCATGTCCCTTTCACATATCCCACAGGGAGGCTCTATACCCCCTCCACTGTCCCTTTCACATATCCCACAGGGAGGCTCTATACCCTCCACTGTCCCTTTCACATATCCCACAGGGAGGCTCTATACCCTCCCACTGTCCCTTTCACATATCCCACAGGGAGGCTCTATACCCATCCACTGTCCCTTCTTCACATATCCCACAGAGAGGCTCTATACCCCCTCCACTGTCCCCTTTCACATATCCCACAGAGAGGCTCTCTATACCTCCACTGTCCTTTCACATATCCCACAGAGAGGCTCTATACCCGCCCACTGTCCCTTTCACATATCCCACAGAGAGGCTCTATACCCTCCACTGCTCCTTTCACATATCCCACAGAGAGGCTCTATACCCTCCACTGCCCCTTTCACATATCCCACAGAGAGGCTCTATACCCTCCACTGTCCCCCTTTCACATATCCCACAGAGAGGCTCTATACCCTCCACTGCCCCTTTCACATATCCCACAGAGGCTCTATACTATTTCCCCTCTTTCACTGTCCTGTCCCCTTTCACATATCCCACAGGGAGGCTCTATACCCTCCACTGTCCCATATTCCCCACTGGGCTGAGGAGGCTCTATACCCTCCACTGCCCCTTTTCACAGGAGGCTCTATACCCTCCCACTGTCCCTTCCACATCCACACTGTCCCTTTGGACAATTCACATATCCCACAGAGAGGCTCTATAACACCCTCCCCACAGGGAGCCATCCACTGTCCCACATTATTGTCCACAGAGAGGCTCCATCCATTTTCTATACCCTCCACTGTCCTCTTCCATATTTCCCACAGGGAGGCTCTATACCACTGTCCCCCTTCACATATCCCACAGGGAGGCTCTATACCTCCACTGTCCCTCTCCATATCCCACAGAGAGGCTCTATACCAACCCACTGTCCCCTTTCACATATCCCACAGGGAGGCTCTATACCCTCCCACTGTCCCTTCCACATATTCCACAGGAGGCTCTATACTCCTACCCCTGTCCCTTCCATATCCCCACAGGGAGGCTCTATACCATCCACTGTCCTATATTTCCCACAGGGAGGCTCTATATCCTCCAACTGTCCCTACCACATATCCCACAGAGAGGCTCTATACCCTCCCACTGTCCCTACCACATATCCCACAGAGAGGCTCTATACCCTCCCACTGTCCCTTCCACATACCCCACAGGGAGGCTCTATACCATCCACTGTCCTATATTTCCCACAGGGAGGCTCTATACCCTCCCACTGACCCTTCCACATATCCCACAGAGAGGCTCTATACCCTCCCACTGTCCCTTCCACATATCCCAAAGGGAGGCTCTATACCATCCACTGTCCTATATTTCCCACAGGGAGGCTCTATACCCTCCCACTGTCCCTTCCACATTCCCCTTAAGAATGCTCTGCCGTCTACGCTCAAACTAGCCCTTTCACATACGTGTAGTAGAATAACAGATTATAGATAATCAAACCACTCTGACATACCTTCAAGTCTCGGTGTACCACATCGTTTTCATGCAAGTACTGAAAGAGAAAAGAGAAATATGTTACTGAGAAAATAATCTTTTCCTTCAGTGGAACAACTGCTCCCACGCCAACCCACCTGAGGTTACTGTTTTCATGGCCCCACAAAATACATGTATCATTGTAACAGAAAACCAGGATCTGTATCGTAAATGGTCATTCCCTACATAATGTTCAGATTAATAACGTATTTGAAAACAATAGACCGCTGTCAATTTGGCATGTCTCCACTATGTAAGGATATATCCCACAAGTGATGACACACAATATACACTTTGTATTAACATTAAGCCATGGTGCTCCCTAGTGAAGAAGTATACACTTTGTATTTAACATTAAGCCATGGTGCTCCCAAGTAATGAGGCACAGTATACACTTTTTATTAACATTAAGCCATGGTGCTCCCTAGTGAAGAAGTATACACTTTGTATTTAACATTAAGCCATGGTGCTCCCAAGTAATGAGGCACAGTATACACTTTTTATTAACATTAAGCCATGGTGCTCCCTAGTGAAGAAGTATACACTTTGTATTTAACATTAAGCCATGGTGCTCCCAAGTAATGAGGCACAGTATACACTTTTTATTAACATTAAGCCATGGTGCTCCCAAGTAATGAGGCACAGTATACACTTTGTATTTAACATTAAGCCATGGTGCTCCCAAGTAATGAGGCACAGTATACACTTTGTATTAACATTAAGCCATGGTGCTCCCAAGTAATGAGGCACAGTATACACTTTGTATTTAACATTAAGCCATGGTGGTGAGGCACTACAGTATTTGTATTTAACATTAAGCCATGGTGCTCCCAAGTAATGAGGCACAGTATACACTTTGTATTTAACATTAAGCCATGGTGCTCCCAAGTAATGAGGCACAGTATACACTTTGTATTTAACATTAAGCCATGGTGCTCCCAAGTAATGAGGCACAGTATACACTTTGTATTTAACATTAAGCCATGGTGTCTCCCAAAGTAATGAGGCACAGTATACACTTTGTATTTAACATTAAGCCATGGTGCTCCCAAGTAATGAGGCACAGTATACACTTTGTATTTAACATTAAGCCATGGTGCTCCCAAGTAATGAGGGCACAGTATACACTTTGTATTTAACATTAAGCCATGGTGCTCCCAAGTAATGAGGCACAGTATACACTTTGTATTTAACATTAAGCCATGGTGCTCCCAAGTAATGAGGCACAGTATACACTTTGTATTTAACATTAAGCCATGGTGCTCCCCAAGTAATGAGGCACAGTATACACTTTGTATTAACATTAAGCCATGGTGCTCCTAAGTAATGAGGCACAGTATACACTTTGTATTAACATTAAGCCATGGTGCTCCCAAGTAATGAGGCACAGTATACACTTTGTATTTAACATTAAGCCATGGTGCTCCCAAGTAATGAGGCACACATTATACACTTTGTGTATTTAACATTAAGCCATGGTGCTCCCAAGTAATGAGGCACAGTATACACTTTGTATTTAACATTAAAGCCATGGTGTCTCCCCAAGTAATGAGGCACAGTATACACTTTGTATTTAACATTGGGCCATGGTGCTCCCAAGTAATGAGGGCAAGTATACACTTTGTATTTAACATTAAGCCATGGTGCTCCCTAGTGATGAGGCACAGTATACACTTTGTATTTAACATTGCCATGGTCAAGCAATGAGGCACAGTATACACTTTTGTATTAACATTGGGCCATGGTGCCCCCCAAGTAATGAGTTACAGAAGCATACACTTTGCATTTAACATTAATACATGGTGCTCCCAAGTAATGAGGCACAGTATACACTTTGTATTAACATTAAGCCATGGTGCTCCCAAGTAATGAGGCACAGTATACACTTTGTATTAACATTAAGCCATGGTGCTCCCAAGTAATGAGGCACAGTATACACTTTGTATTTAACATTAAGCCATGGTGCTCCCAAGTAATGAGGCACAGTATACACTTTGTATTTAACATTAAGCCATGGTGCTCCCAAGTAATGAGGCACAGTATACACTTTGTATTTAACATTAAGCCATGGTGCTCCCAAGTAATGAGGCACAGTATACACTTTGTATTTAACATTAAGCCATGGTGCTCCAAGTAATGAGGCACAGTAATTTTGAGTGCTCCCAAGCAATGAGGCACAGCATACACTTTGTATTAACATTAAGCCATGGTGCTCCCAAGTAATGAGGCACAGTATACACTTTGTATTTAACATTAAGCCATGGTGCTCCCAAGTAATGAGGCACAGTATACACTTTGTATTTAACATTAAGCCATGGTGCTCCCAAGTAATGAGGCACAGTATACACTTTGTATTTAACATTAAGCCATGGTGCTCCCAAGTAATGAGGCACAGTATACACTTTGTATTAACATTAAGCCATGGTGCTCCCAAGTAATGAGGCACAGTATACACTTTGTATTAACATTAAGCCATGGTGCTCCCAAGTAATGAGGCACAGTATACACTTTGTATTTAACATTAAGCCATGGTGCTCCCAAGTAATGAGGCACAGTATACACTTTGTATTTAACATTAAGCCATGGTGCTCCCAAGTAATGAGGCACAGTATACACTTTGTATTAACATTAAGCCATGGTGCTCCCAAGTAATGAGTGCACAGTATACACTTTGTATTAACATTGCCATGGTGCTCCCCAAGTAATGAGGCACAGTATACACTTTGTATTAACATTAAGCCATGGTGCTCCCCAAGTAATGAGGCACAGTATACACTTTGTATTAACATTAAGCCACATGGTGCTCCCAAGTAATGAGGCACAGTATACACTTTGTATTAACATTAAGCCATGGTGCTCCCAATGAGGCACATGACACACAGTATACACTTTGTATTAACATTAAGCCATGGTGCCCCCAGTGATGAGGCACAGTATACACTTTGTATTTAACATTAAGCCATGGTGCTCCCAAGTAATGACACACAGTATACACTTTGTATTTAACATTAAAAGCCATGGTGCTCCCAAGCTAATGAGGCACAGTATACACTTTGTATTTAACATTAAGCCATGGTGCTCCCAAGTAATGAGGCACAGTATACACTTTGTATTTAACATTAAGCCATGGTGCTCCCAACTAATGAGGCACAGTATACACTTTGTATTTAACATTAAGCCATGGTGCTCCCCAGTGATGACACACAGTATACACTTTGTATTAACATTTAACCATGATGCTCCCTTGTGAAGAAGTATACACTTTGTATTTAACATTAAGCCATGGTGCTCCCCAGTGATGACACACAGTATACACTTTGTATTAACATTAAGCCATGGTGCTCCCCAGTGATGACACACAATATACCCTTTGTATTTAACATTAAGCCATGGTGCTCTCAAGTAATGAGGTACAGTATACACTTTGTATTGAACTATAAGCCATGGTGCTCCCTAGTGAAGAAGTATACACTTTGTATTGAACTATAAGCCATGGTGCTCCCCAGTGATAACACACAGTATACAAACTTACAGCAACGGCAGTCAACATGTCCTTTACTGCCTTAGCTGCTTCCTTCTCACTGTAGAAGCCTCGGGCCACAATTCTGAAACATCATAACAGCAGTCATTTTCTTGCAGATTTTTACATTTACTTCTGAATGAAAGACAATCAACTACAGTGTAAAACAAAACCAGCACATGGTATCAACGTATTGTGCAAATAAAATATCATAAAATTAACCAAACATCTTTCTATGCACTCTTTCTTTAGAGTGTAAAACTAGCATCTAACAGGCGATGAACTCAGGTCTGTAAGAGGATTCACTGAGGTAGAGCCGATGATTCACTCGGGTCTAGATGGGGATTCACTGAGGTAGAGCACATGATTCACTCGGGTCTAGATGGGGATTCACTGAGGTAGAGCAGATGATTCACTCGGGCCTAGATGGGGATTCACTGAGGTAGAGCACATGATTCACTCGGGTCTAGATGGGGATTCACTGAGGTAGAGCAGATGATTCACTCGGGCCTAGATGGGGATTCACTGAGGTAGAGCAGATGATTCACTCGGGTCTAGATGGGGATTCACTGAGGTAGAGCAGATGATTCACCGGGTCTAGATGGGGATTCACTGAGGTAGAGCAGATGATTCACTCGGGTCTAGATGGGGATTCACTGAGGTAGAGCAGATGATTCACTCGGGTCTAGATGGGGATTCACTGAGGTAGAGCAGATGATTCACTCGGGTCTAGATGGGGATTCACTGAGGTAGAGCAGATGATTCACTCGGGTCTAGATGGGGATTCACTGAGGTAGAGCAGATGATTCACTCGGGTCTAGATGGGGATTCACTGAGGTAGAGCAGATGATTCACTCGGGTCTAGATGGGGATTCACTGAGGTAGAGCAGATGATTCACTCGGGTCTAGATGGGGATTCACTGAGGTAGAGCAGATGATTCACTCTGGGCCTAGATGGGGATTCACTGAGGTAGAGCAGATGATTCACTCTGGGTCTAGATGGGGATTCACTGAGGTAGAGCAGATGATTCACTCACGGGTCTAGATGGGGATTCACTGAGGTAGAGCAGATGATTCACTCGTAGAGGTCTAGATGGGGATTCACTGAGGTAGCAGAGATGATTCACCTGGGGTCTAGATGGGGATTCACTGAGGTAGAGCAGATGATTCACTCGGGTCTAGATGGGGATTCACTGAGGTAGAGCAGATGATTCACTCGGGTCTAGATGGGGATTCACTGAGGTAGAGCAGATGATTCACTCGGGTCTAGATGGGGATTCACTGAGGTAGAGCAGATGATTCACTCGGGTCTAGATGGGGATTCACTGAGGTAGAGCAGATGATTCACTCGGGTCTAGATGGGGATTCACTGAGGTAGAGCAGATGATTCACTGGGTCTAGATAGGGATTCACTGAGGGGATTCACTGAGGTAGAGCAGATGATTCACTCGGGTCTAGATGGGGATTCACTGAGGTAGAGCAGATGATTCACTCGGGTCTAGATGGGGATTCACTGAGGTAGAGCAGATGATTCACTCACTAGAGTCTAGGGCCTAGATGGGGATTCACTGAGGTAGAGTAGAGCAGATGATTCACTCGGGCCTAGATGGGGATTCACTGAGGTAGAGCAGATGATTCACTCGGCCTAGATGGGGATTCACTGAGGTAGAGCAGATGATTCACTCCTGGTCTAGATGGGGATTCACTGAGGTAGAGCAGATGATTCACTCGGGTCTAGATGGGGATTCACTGAGGTAGAGCAGATGATTCACTCTGGGTCTAGATGGGGATTCACTGAGGTAGAGCAGATGATTCACTCGGGTCTAGATGGGGATTCTGACTGAGGTAGAGCAGATGATTCACTGAGGTCGGTCTAGATGGGGATTCACTGAGGTAGAGCAGATGATCACTCATTCACTGAGGTAGGCACTAGATGGGGATTCACTGAGGTAGAGCAGATGATTCACTCGGGTCTAGATGGGGATTCACTGAGGTAGAGCAGATGATTCACTCGGGCCTAGATGGGGATTCACTGAGGTAGAGCAGATGATTCACTGAAAGGTAGAGCAGGTCTAGATGGGGATTCACTGAGGTAGAGCAGATGATTCATTCGGGTCTAGATAGGGATTCACTGAGGTAGAGCAGATGATTCACTCGGGTCTAGATGGGGATTCACTGAGGTAGAGCAGATGATTCACTCCTAGATAGGGTCTAGATCGAGGGGATTCACTGAGGTAAACACATGAGCAGATGATTCTAGAGCAGATCCGGTCTAGATGGGGATTCACTGAGGTAGAGCAGATGATTCACTCGGGTCTAGATGGGGATTCACTGAGGTAGAGCAGATGATTCACTCGGGTCTAGATGGGGATTCACTGAGGTAGAGCAGATGATTCACTCGGGTCTAGATGGGGATTCACTGAGGTAGAGCAGATGATTCACTTCCGGGTCTAGATGGGGATTCACTGAGGTAGAGCAGATGATCACTCGGGTCTAGATAGGGATTCACTGAGGTAGAGCAGATGATTCACTCGGGTCTAGGGGATTCACTGAGGTAGAGCAGATGATTCACTCGGGTCTAGATGGGGATTCACTGAGGTAGAGCAGATGATTCACTCGGGTCTAGATGGGGATTCACTGAGGTAGAGCAGATGATTCACTCGGGTCTAGATGGGGATTCACTACATTACTCCCATTCAGCCAGGGACCTACTTTAAGGTCCAGCATGGATTATGGAGCTCTCTAGCATGGATCTACTAACATCTTGGCTGGATTTACATCAATCCTGGAGGTAATGGTCAGACAACTGGACCCCACCAGGTGAGTAGGATTACCTGTCAAACAGTTCCCCGCCAGTCACCAGCTCCAGCACTAGTGTAATGTCTCTGGGTGTCTCGAAGATCTCTTTCAGTCTAATCTGCAGAGACAACACATACACCTCTACAGTATCATACAGGGTATGGTAGTTTCAGTAGTTTCAGTAAAAAGCAACATTCAATCAGAGTGAAAAAAGGTTTAACTGCCAAAACTATCTGGCACACATAACTATTCAAACTCACCTTTAATTTCTCAAGCAACTCAGCAAGAATTAATTCTGAATGTATTTCAAAGGACCAGCATGAAGGAAAATCTACTGGTTCTGTCTCTACCTGATACAAAAGCTGGTATTAAAATTTATATATTTTATTGTTGAGTTTACAGGTTATCTATCGATTTATCACTGACCCTGATTTCACCTTTTTCCATATTATCGGTCCTAAGGAAACAGAGACTAACGTATACAAGGCTCCAGATAAGATGTATCTGCGTAAAATACACATGGACAATTCAGATATATGCATAAATAGTCAAATCAAGTAGTGAAAAATAAGCACAACTTTCTCAGATTATACGAATCAGATTTAGTTTACATGCGTGAACCAAACATTGTTTCAGTCCTACACATTCGATCTTAAGATCTCAAATAGTGTTGGTTGTCTGTATTGAAGCAAAGATTTCGAGTTTTTTTTCAAATGATCTCCGTTAATATTTCTAAACGATGTTCAGGGCACGATTTGTTTAAAAGCTAGCCCTTAAACAGCGTTACTATCACAACATGTAAGGTCCATATTATTAATAATACAGCTTTAGGGCTATTGTTGATTACGTGATGGCCTTAAACCAGCGTCGGAAAACATTTAATTCCCAATAACTCAACGTGCACTGTCATATATTTCCTGTCATCTGCAGTAAGAATGGCTAACCAAAAGAAACTCGTCGAGTTTTTTTAAAGGAAAACTGCTTCAATTAGCAAGGAAAAGTTAGTGTCTGACATTATCAACGATTTAATTGACAATGTAGCTAAAATCTGTATTAAGAATAAACACGATGGGAATAGGTTTCAATGTCAAAACAAGTTCTGGTTGGATTAGTCAAACTTCTCATGGTTGCATGTGGTTATAAATCAGTGTATGAGTGTAGACCAAAAACAAGTTGAAAAAAAAGCTGCTAAGTGTTATGTGTTTCTGTGAAAATGACAAAAGCATGCAACCTGTGACATACTCCTCCGTTTATTTATATTTGGTATTTTACTCCTCAATTTTAAGTTAGAGGAGTGAAATACCCCTGAGTCAAACTAATTATCTGGAGCCCAGCATACAGTCCCAGAAATAAATTGCTCTAGATTTGAGTAGAGTTGTTTGTATTTATTCTCTAGGGTCTTAGAGACAGCCTAGGGGGCAGACTCCAACTAAATCACTGTCGGAAATAGTAAAAAACTGCTTTTTCACATTTATATCTACAATTTGTGCAGTTAAAATATGAAAGTGTGAAATATCTGTTAAACTAAGTTAGGCTAACTACAGTCTCAGTGGTAGGGAGATAGGAAACGTTAAAAAAAGGACTTCACTGAGGAGAGACTGGTGCAGAAATGAGCAATATGGTCCAAAGCAACTTATTTGGAACAGACCATGGCTTTATGCAAATTAGTGTGCGGTGATATTGTATTACAAAGGACATTTTTTAAATGCCAATTTTGAAATTAGACTTAGATTCATTATAAACAATAGCTTGCATAAAAAATAATAACTTTAATACTGAAACTATTAAGGATGTAGCTACCATGGAGTCTCACTATCATTATAACCACAAACAGGTAGGAGAGGTCGTCTCATGCCAAGTGAGGTGGCGGTCCCTTGTCATACCTGGCTGAGCGACCTAATTGCCATCTATAGTCTGATCTATTGTTTTCAGCAGCTATTCATATTTTTTCTCTTTTTTGCCTGATTTTACAAGTAAACATGCTTTTCTGGATATCCTTTTACGCATCCCACTAAACGCCAAGTTAGGCCGATGTGGGTTATTTCAACATATTATTATTATTATTATTATCATTTATTTATTTTATTATAGGATATTTATATAGCGCACATATCCACGCACTAGTGCATGCTCAAGGCGCTGGTATTTTTTCCCTCGATCACTGGATGTCAATCTAAACGGCACATCGCATTATCAATCTCAACTCCCTGGGGAGTATAATATGCTATTTGCAATTGTATAAATTTTAGGGATACAGAGTAACAGCCTAAAAACAGGGTTTTTTCTATTTCCGAAAGTACTTTAGTGTTGAACACTGAGATGACACACTAGACTCCAGCTAGTGGACCAGCGTCAGTAGGACATAGAATATTGCCAAATTTCTCTGTTGCTCTAAGTACCTGGAATTCCTTGTTTTTTAACCTATACTTGTCCATTTGTACAATTCAGAATGCCTTTGGACAAGGACTGAGAAAAAAGTACTTTTCTATAGAGATTAGCTTCTGAGTTGAAACAGCTAAGAGCAGAGGTACAGATAAGCTGCGTATCTGCGTAAATTACGCAATTGTTTTTGGGAAAACTCAATTCCTATTAAGTCTATTGCGTACAAGTACGCTTGATTTTTTGTAAATACTCAATAAATGTGATCTTACATGCGTACACACAAAAATGTCAAATCTTAGCTTGGGTACCGGTGGATAGATAAAATAACTGAGGTATATTGAGAGGTTCTATTTCAGGACATGAACATGACAACTTGCAGTCTTTCTTATCATTTTTCATATTACAGATGAAACATAAATAACAAACACTAACATTTAAACTTTATTATATTTTTAAAATTAATGGAAAATGGCAAAATACCCAATTGAGTTTGAGTGAGGAGAGTACAATTTACTTGGCTGCTCAAAGAAAAATAAGGATACCCAATTGAGATGAACACAAGCGAGTACATAACTCAATGACCCAAAAAGTTATCTGTAGCTCTGTAAGAGGCTAGATCTAATGGGATGTTGTCTGGGGGTGATATGGCAGGTTTCAGTATGAAGGACACATTTGTCAACCATGGCTACTTTACTTACAATATTGGGATGATTTAACTTCAACAGGATTCCTATCTCTGTGCGCACAACTTTTTTTTCAACCTGTAAAACAAATATAGTATTAACTTCAAGGACACAACATATGTATTTGTTACAACATTGGAAAGCACAGGTCTAGTCAGTACCAAACGTTATTACAAGATATCAGGTATAATTCTAAGCATGTTGGTAGCAATGCCTTTCACCAGCCCAGCATACTAATTACTGTGACAAGCTGGACAGTAATGCGAGTCATGTTAAAAAGTCATGTTAGTGATGTGAGATTTAACACTGTGTCAAGTTCAATAGCAATGTGAGTCATGTTACATAGTAATGTGAGTCATGTAACATAGCAATGTGAGTCATGTTAGATAGCAATGTGAGTCATGTTACATAGCAATGTGAGTCATGTTAGATAGCAATGTGTCATGTTATATAGCAATGTGAGCCATGTGATATAGCAATGTGAGTCATGTTATATAGCAATGAGTCATGTTATATAGCAATGTGAGTCATGTATATAGCAACGTGAGTCATGTTACATAGCAAAGTGAGTCATGTTGCATAGCAATGTGACTCATGTTACATAGCAATGTAAGACATGTTACATAGCAATGTGAGTTACTGTAAACGTAGTATATTTCGCGCAGGTTTTATTTTCTCGCTTTTCGCGCAAAACATTTTTAGCGAAAATTTATACACATGAATAAACCTGTCATTCATTCAGTCTAGCCACTCTCGCCCCTGAGTTACCATAACACATCAAGTTTGAAGACAGAAATCTACGGGAATCTTAAAATGACGACTGATAGTAGCATAAAGAATCAAACTTAACTGTCGCTGTAATGGATTTCCCAAAACATAATTAAATAGTGAGCCAAATCCCATCGCGAATTAGTGAAAACAGCAATGTGTGTTGTGGCGCCATGGAAATTGGTCACATGACAGATGTTTGATACAAAACAGATTAACGAAGCGACTTCGGAAAGAAATAATACAGCAGTATTTTATTTATTCATTTAGATACAAGCGTATCATCATGAAGCGAATAGTCACTAACACTCAATCATCTCATTCACAACAACCCGGCTTGTTTGAAATCACAAAGAGCTTCATTTACAGTATAAGTTAATTAGTCAGATCGTCAGAATTCGGAACATAATATTGATGTGTTTTTCATCTCTTCCGGGAGTAAACGGGTTACTGTGTACTAGTATATCGCACAGATAGGGATTTCCTGTGAGTAAGTAATAAATGCCGCCTGACAGGTTCAGCCACTCTGTTTGTTTTCACTGCTATTAGTGGCGGCCAAAGAGACAGCTGGCAGTTCCGGCAATTACTGATTGCGCGAATAATTGACCGCGCGATGTAGTCTAAACAGTCAATTCCGCGAAAATTGCACCACGCGAAAATAAGTACGTTTACAGTATGTTATATAGCAATGTGAGTCATGTTAGATAGCAATGTGAGTCATGTTAGATAGCAATGTGAGTCATGTTAGATAGGAATGTGAGTCATGTTAGATAGAAATGTGAGTCATGTTCTATAGCAATGTGAGTCATGTTCTATAGCAATGTGTGTCAAGTTCAATAGCAATGAGTCATGTTATATAGCAATGTGAGTCATGTCAGATAACAATGTGAGTTATGTTATATAGCAATGTGAGTCACATTACATTGCAATGTGAGTCATGTTATACACCATTGTGTCTTGTTAGTTAGCAATGTGTCAGGTTGGATAGCAATGTGAGTCATGTTATAAAGTATTGTGTTTTACTGAACAGCAATGTGTGTCAAGGTTGATTAGGGTGCTATTTTAGCTATGGTTTGTTGTTAATTATGTGGAACCTCAGAGATATAGCTAAATGTGGTCTGGGGGCAACATTCATAAAAAACATAGGATAATATCAACTGCTTTCAGTCTTGTCTGACAACCACTCTCCTCAACGGTGAGAGCATTCCTGAGCATGAATCTGGAGATGCTAAAAAAACGCCTGATTTGATTGACTGCTTTAGTTTCGAATCCGAGATAAATCCATGGACAATAATGGATAATTCATAATGGATAATGGATATTTCATACTTACATGTTTTTTTATTATTTTGGCTGCCCATGGAACACCAGTACCCTTGTGTTCACACTTGTGCACAAATGATGTAGCACCCCTGGAAAAATGCATGGCAAATTGATAGAGTCAGAGAAGCCATGTAGCTCACCTGTATTTATATGCCACCACAAACAAAATGTAAAATAACTTGAGAGCAGGATCTAAGATTCCACATAATTTCTCTGATGCACCTCTATGTATGTATATCCGATTAGTGAACTATTGTTTGTACTTGTATATGTCGTATAGCGAACATCTGGTGTCCCCCGCCGTGATATTGCTGGAATATTGCTAAAAGTGGCGTAAAAAACATACATTTATATCTAATAGTACAAATTATGTGCATATTTTTCAAATGTTCTACTGTTTTCACTAGCTGAAATGTGAGCCATTTTGCTTACAAATGGACAACTGAAAATGGGAAACTGATGAAATGAAAGTAAAGATGCAATGCCAAAAATTACAGCAAAATACATTTCAGACGTATAGGTCAATATTTTGTGTGTCCACCATGTTGGGCGATACATGCATGGCACCAAGATGTCATACTGCTGATAATATGCATATAGCTGCCACTGGTATTTCCCACCTTTCTGCTTGATCAGCTACCCCAAGCTGGTGAACACGGTCTGCCTGTAAAACAGTGGCTCCACCTATGACATGACCAGGGGCGGTGGGGTAGCCTAATGGTCAAAGCATCCGCTCGTCACGCTGGAGACCCAGGTTAGATTCTCCACATGGGTACAATGTGTGAAGCCCGTATCTGGTGTCTCCCGCCGTGATGTTGCTGTAATATTGCTAACAGCGGCATAACACCATACTCACTCATGACATGACCCAGGATTTAGTGGACCAATATCTATGCCTTCACTTCTGAGATAATCAGTGATGACCAAAACAAGATGTGTTGTGGCACTGTAAGTTCAAGTTCCTGATATGCAGAATATTGATGCAGAATCACCGTCAACAAGTAACGTTCACAACACAGAATATTTCACATAGAATTTTCCTCAGTTATCACATAACATGTGATGTCATATATTTTGCCTCAAAAGGATTTTTATGATCACTGCTGTAAGTAGTCATTCTAAAATTAGACTTTCACTTTGCCATTGAATTTGGATTTCACATGTCTAATACAAAGCTGACATGTTCTTCCCAGATAGCATTCAGACGTTGGCCAAACACTGGCAATGGTTTTGCTAACATTGCCAACGTTGGGCCAACATCCGAATGGTATCTGGGTTGTTCTTCTTTCTTAGTTATGCTGCAACTATGTGTAATCACAAAGCAGCTTTAGTTGGAAATTTCTACCTTCTCAGTTTTGTACCTTTCTTTTATCTATCATAAGCATCACTAACAGTCAAGTGTGCCATGCCAAACATTGTGTGCAATGCAAAGTTATCACTTTGTACATCAGTACACCATGTACGAGATACTGATAAATAGGTCTCACACAAATGTTGAGAAATATACTTGTACATTGTGTTTCTCCAAATTATGAACACCTTTATCTGTGAAACAGTGTAAATAGTAAGCTGAGACATACAATGCAATGAAAATTAGGATGTTTACAGTGAAATATAGAAGCAGCTGTTCGAGTAATGCAAATATTTTTAAGTTTTAATATTTGATAAGACCAGCTACACGAATGTGCCTGATATTCCACTGAGTGTAAAACTGAGTGTAAAAATAGCAGACCATTGAGAGAATCCCGCGAGGCTACTGCCTTGATAGAACACCTAAAGTGTATCATGTACAAGTAACAATACCTGTATGACACATGGAACTTCCAAGCAGACCATGGTTTTCATTTACACTGAATCTTAGCTACACATAGCGGGATGTTTATAGTGCTTAGCATAACCAGTGCTTGTACCTATTCAATATTCAGTAAAAGCTAGACATTGCTCTGCATATTTACATGCATAGAGGTGTGAAATACACGGGGCCACACGTGATTGTTACGAGTCTGTAGTACTACACATGTAGCTCGATGAGTGGCATGTCATACTGACACTGAATATGTTATCTTGTAACTTGCAGTAAAAAAATCAATCCAATGACAACACAACAAACTCGGGTCGAAGAAAGCTCAATCTGGTTCACTTACCTCCCCAATTCCTTGCCCACGTTATAGAACGAGTCAAAAGATTCGTTCTTAATGCTTTCATTCACCCAAAATTCTTCTCTCTTTCCTATCGGCATCTTGATTTGTTTACAAGCTAGTGTGTGTGCTCGCTGCCCAGGTCCGTTGCTACACTAAACCGCCATGTCCAAACGTTGCGATGTGACGTCACAGAGGTCAGAGGGCGCGCACCTGCTTCCCTGTGTTGAGGTCAGGTCAACTTCACGCGGGCGGGTAATTCGAATGTTATTTTTATACGGAAGGTGTTTTAAAGCGTCTAACTGAAATGTTATGCTTAGTGGCTTCTATACAGTTCTATACATAATCACTATATGTTTAGGGTAACTATGGTGTTAGTTAAATGACTTAATAATAGAGTGTATTTGAATGCATAAATGAAGGAACATTTGTAGATGTTTTCCGGCATTACTTGCCTTGCACGACGTTGTGCACAACAGAGAACTATATCTGAAGCCGTGAATCCATGTTACTCATGTATTCATGTTACTGAATTCATAAGTAATCCTCGTGGTTCAGTTTATATGTGTCGATCTGTGTGTTATTTTCAGTATTATTTTCAACATCATTTATCTGGTTAAGTGAAACGTGACTCACGTGACTATTGGCGCGGACACATTTCAACCAGCACCGAGTTTCCTGTGGTGTTCATTGCAGCATATATTATATTTTATTTATTTTATATATATTGCCAGTTTAACGTTTCGCAAACCAAATAATGGATTAATATCTAGATATAATAACATATCTCCCCCGCTAATGTTTGTAAAGGAAACAACTTCAAAGAGGTTAGTATAGGCGTGGAATTAACCCGGTAACTTGACATTCGTTTTCATTTCTGGTCATTTCGTTTTGCCGAAAAATTCATGTCATTCTTAAAAACAATCTGTCTTCTAAAATATTTTTTTCACATCTACCACAAACGCAACTGGCTAATTAGCATGTATGGATAATTCGACTCTGCCTAACAGTAACATGGCTAACACTAAATAAATAATTGAGGCTAAATTATGGCCAGAGGGTTGATTTTACAGATTTTCAGGAAGCTGTTTTTCTAGCATTCGAACGAGAGAGAGCATTTGATATGAACTAATTTTCTTGTACAATACTTGCTGAATGAGTGAGTGATTAGGGCTTCACGTCGTCTTAACAATATTCCAGTTACATCACGGCAAGTCAAGCTAATTGTGGGAGGGAAGCCTGAAGTGATGCATATGCAGGGGCGGATACAGGAGGGGGAAGGGGGAGTTCATTTTCACCCGTTTTAACGAGCGTTTTAATAGTATTCAATAAAAATGGGGGGGGGGAACCCTGCACACAAACCCACCTACACCCACGCCCACGCCCACGCCCACGCCCACGCCCACGCCCACGCCCACGCCCACGCCCACGCCCTACTGGACCCGCCTATTATAACATAGTCCTTCTTCCAGAGTCTTGCGATTAAAATTAAGAAAGGAGTCCAAGTCAAGTCCAGAATATTTGCTCGAGTCTAGATTGCCCGTAATTAAGAATGGTTCCCTGGCTCCTTTTGCATTCTGTCTTTGGAAGATATATATTTTTAAGACAACTTTATTTCTAGGACTAAATGTCTGTCTGGCGGTTACCACTCTGGTGAACCCACGTGCACAGGTATAGTTCTGACAAACCTAGAAACATAACCGAACTCGTTGTCATTGGTTTCTCGCGTGTCAGAGGGACGCAGGTCTGCAGTGAACTGCGGCGACTGTTAGCCGACTGGGGAACCCGTTTTCAAAATAATTAAGGAAAAGAGGCCTGGCTCCCGTAACAATCTGACCATGCCATTAAAATATACCAGAAAGGAAACCATGTTTTGGGGAGTAAATCGTCAAACATTTACTCCGAAGTTATATTATTGTTATTTTTTCAGCGGATCCGTGAACCAAATAAATAGAAATAAATAAATCCAACGCCTAAAAATGTACTGGTAATTAAAATACAGCAAGCGTAAAGTACCACCAAATGGATTCAAATACATATTCGAAAAACTCTGTTATAAATACATATGAAGAAAATGTCATAAGCATTAGAAAAAAACTACACATTTAACTAGACAGGTCTGTTTTATGAGAGAACATATACCGTATAACTAGATAAACAGTCTCTAGATTGGCCTTACATGGCTGAAATTAAGGCATCGTAATGTTGCCTCACTGTATCTTTGTAAAAATAACTTAGTCACCTAGGTGCGGGAACATTTACTGGTAAATTATGAAGGCATCACTCAATACTTTTGTAATGACGTGGTCACATATGCGCTATTTTAGTGTCACGCATGTACAGTACATGTCTACGGTTTATCCTCGTTTTGCCACCACCCTGAAAAGGAGTAACAGCTGCTGTGTTTATACAAGCCCATGGGTCATGTCAAAGTTACTCACAGCAGCAAGTGAGTGAACTGAACTCAGGCTTAATGAGCATCCACGATAATGTTAACAGTGTTCATTATATCTACGAAAACTAACTTGTGAGTAACATGGAGTACATGGAGTATTGTTCCGGTCATATGATCGCGTACATGTACAAGAGGCACTCCCCTTTACTCGGGGCTATTGATGCATGTCGAGTTGACCTACAACTCGTGGGGACGGTGGGATTTCCCAGACAACCTACGACGTAAAATGCTGGAATATTGTCTCTATCCAACAAGACATGTAACAAAGACACAGGGCAATATTATCACATAATGTATATTCTACAATGTAAAGTGTAAATAGTGCAGATGAATATGTGAACCTTGCCTCAGTCCTCGGAATTACAAGGTCGACATGAAGACATTCACAGTGAAGGTAAGTGGGCACGGTTTATTCGCAGTAGATCATTAGTAACGACTGTTCTGTATCATCTCATAACCGTTTGAAAACCACATGAAATGAAACGTTATGTAGACTGATAACTGTTTCTGCGTGAATCATTTCAGTTGAACAACGACTGGCACGTGACGGAGGCACAAACTGATTCACATTGTAAGTGTCGTTCGTCCTGGACTGACTGACTGAGTTTGGTTTTACGCCGCTTTTAGCAATATTCAAGTAATATCACGGCGGGGGACACCAGAAATGGGCGTCACTCATTGTACCTATGTGGGGATTCGAACCCGGGTCTTCGGCGTGACGAGCCAACGCTTTAACCACTAGACGTACCCCACCGCCCCCGTTCATCCTGAAGATAACCTAGGTGAAGATGCTCGCGTGCCAAAGATTCTTGTGTTAGAATCCATGATTATCGAATCCTGGCGCGGCAAAGAGAAGCAGCCACAACATGGAATTACTCGTGGTACTCAGACAGTGCCTTCTGAGCAACTGTTGTATTAAGATAATAATTATTGTTGACGCCATTATGATAATGATAATAATAATCACCAGTCCTTCTGTCTGTATGTACGTTTATATTTTATACACCTGGAAATGATTTCAGCCAGACCAATGGTGATTGCGAGTAGATCGATAGACACGCATGTAGATGTAAACATGGTTACTTCCGGGGACGTGTAAGCGAAGCCGAGGCTGTTCTACATAAAATCGTAGATCAGCTGACACATAGTTACTGCCGCTTGGCAGTCCACGGGCCAGTCAGATATTACAACATTCAGATAAAATGGTATATACGTCTATATCCATGATGTTTTGTGTGCGTGGGATTTATGAAGGGATGTAGTAAATGTTACGACGACTTATATGTGATATAGATCACGTAGATTGAAACCGCACGAGAGAGTATGAATACCCACATCATATGACCACCACGTAACCAGAAGAGGGTATCAATACCTACTTCATGTGTAAATATATTATATAAATATATAATATACATTATATCTCACGTCACCATATAGCCAGGAGAGTGTATCAAATATACCTAATTCACATGTAAATACATTATATATCTCACGTCACCATATAGCCAGGAAAGTGTATCAATACCTACTTCACATGTAAAAACATTATATATCTCACGTCACCATAAAGCCAGAAGAGTGTACCAATACCTACTTCACATGTAAATACATTATTTATCTCACGTCACCATATAGCCAGGAGAGGGTATCAATACCTACTTCACATGTAAAAACATTATATATCTCACGTCACCATATATAGCCAGAAGAGTGTACCAATACCTACTTCACATGTAAATACATTATATGTCTGACGTCACCATATAGCCAGGAGAGGGTATCAATACCTACTTCACATGTAAATACATTACATATCTCACGTCACCATATAGCCAGGAGAGTGTATCAATACCCACTTCACGTGTAAATACATTAAATATCTCACGTCACCATATAGCCAGGAGAGGGTATCAATACCTAATTCACATGTAAATACATGATATATCTCACGTCACCATATAGCCAGGAGAGGGTATCAATACCTATTTCACATGTAAATACATGATATAACTCACGTCACCATGTACATGTAATCAGGAGAGTGCATGAGTACCTACTTCACGTGTAAATACATTATATCACATGGCACATTGACGTATCTGACACGGATCTGACTCGTGAACAATAACCACCTCTTTGTATCAGAGTGTTCTCCCATCTAAGTGGGTTTTGAGAGATGACTTGATTCTTCTTCATAAGAACTGGTCATCACTGAGCGGAGACATCCATTACTCCCCGCATCAGCAAATGAAACAGTCCTTATAAGTCCTCAATAGATACATTTCCTTGTGTTGAAATTCAACTTTGTTGTTATTTGCAACAAGTTGTAACTATCCCACCTCTTCTATTTTTCAGACATCTCCAAAGGCAGTGGTCGATGTGCGAAGCATGGAGAAAGGCCAACACCATTAGAGGATATGTAGATATATGGTTAATACCTTTGCTGGCTACGTTTAAAAGACAAGATGGCACGAAGAGTCATGAATGAACTAGAGAAACGGGCACTTCAACAGCTCACTTGTGATTTTGTCGAGAGACTCGATCCAAAATACCACGTAATTGACTTTCTGTATTCCAAAGAACAGTTGACGCAGCTTGAGTACGAGGAGTTGTTCGAGATAACCAACAGAGCAATACAATGCCGGACCCTGCTCGCCATGGTCAGAAGGAAGTGTTCAATGGAGGTGTTCATGAGCTCGCTGTGTCTCAACAATGACTATACGTTCCTTGCAGACAAAATACAGGAAGTGCTATGTCAGCTGGAGAGGGAGCAGGCAGCACACGGAAGATGTAGTAGGCCTCAGAAAAGGAGGAGAACTTATCAACTCTGTGATGTTGAAGAAGATGAGGATGAAGTTAACCAAGAAGACAACACGCCATCCTATAAGAATATCTGTCCAATGTGCAAATGTCCGGCAAGAATTAACACCATGACGAAAAAGAAGAGGATTCTCACAAAAATGCAGCAACATTTAAAGTTTCTTTGTATGGAGGGAAACTCAACAGATCACGAAACTTTCCTTGGAAAACTGGGCTCCAAATGGAAGAAAGATGCAGACGTCCAGTTCATCATCCTGGACGCTCGGGCGCGAACCATGAGGGTTTCTAGTTCAGACGTGTCGGGTGACACTGACTCCTTCAAAGAAATGGAGTCCTTAATTCCGTATACTTCCGACCCAACATCCTCAAGCATGATTTTCCTGGCTCGTAAAGCGTCACTGTTTGACGTGAAAGGACGAGCTGAAGATGGCTTCACCGTTTTAGGATATGCCAAAACTCACGCCGATCGGGTTGTCCCATGCAGGGATACCGGTCTAGTCATTTACATGGAAATCAACCTTCTGCTGAAAGAATATGAACTTAAGCCGACCGAGGAAACGAAAAATCAGATAATAGAAAGAATAAAGGAAGCAATTGAAGTTCACTTCAGTCAAGAGGAAGACGATGTGAAAGAGGATTGTTCTAGAATGCTGTATGTGAAGTTGGCCTGTTTTTATCTAGGAATTGGGCTTATGGGAAACAAGATCGCTGATATCAGGACTACAGTGAGCGATATCAAGACCGCCGAATGCGTTCTAGATCGTGTTGAATCGAAATGGGAGAACATGGATGCCAGGAGAAAGATGTTCTTCTATTTAGCTAAAGCCGTCTTGAGTCAAGAGACGGGACAGATGGAGAGAGCACTACATTTTGGAGAAATCGCAAAACAGATGGGTGAAAGAGGAAAGTTTGAACGCGAACTAAAACACATTGACCCTTTGACTCGAGACCTGGCTATTGAATATGATCGGATGTTGTCTATGAGAGGTGAGGAGATTATTCGGGAGTTCCATGATCTGAGTAATGATGGGGAAACTGCCAGAGACATCCCATAGCCTTCATCGTTAATGTCGTGTGGATATTGGTATTTCCCGGAATCTTTCCAACTGATCCTTTCTAAATTGAGATTATCCAACATTAATGATTTGTTAACTGTGACATATTTCTATTTAGTGTGAACAATTGTAATTGTAAACTGGAGTATCATATGAGGGAGCAATCAGTCACTGTACGAGCGATGCTGGTGTTTATATTTCGAAGTGATTGGAAGTGGTGCCAAAATATGTCGTGCTGAGCGGACAGAGATTCGGAAGTATGGAAGTGACCATCACCGTGATTGCCGCGGATGCCGTGCCAAATTGTTAAAGAAATTGCCACGGCAGCCACGGTACTAGTGAGAAACCTGGTAGACCGTATTACAACGGGGGGAACGCAACAAAACGTGACATCACGTAATATAGGCCGTAACAAAACTTGTAGACTGTCCGTAGTGGGTTCGCAGTGGGACGGTAGGCATGTGTATTCCCCGGCATCTCATGATCTTTCAAGTTGTCACGTTCGGCCACGTTTGTTTGGCTTTTTGCCACGGTTGTTTCACCCTTGCTGCCCTTTTTGTCCCGGTTCTCACGACAGGCTTGGTTGTATGGTTGTCGATTCGTCTCGTTCTATCACGGAGCATTCAGGCGTGTGACGGTTTACAGGGCAGGCGAGATACGGCACATTGCGTTCTCTGGCATTCCGTCTCAGCAGCTGATGATCGCCTTCTTGCTGACGCAAGGGCTCGATGTATGCCCTCAGCAAACATACAAACACAAAATCTTCTTCATCTTGGGGATTTTATGCTGCTCTTGTGACTCAGGATACAATGCCTGTCATTGCTTGGGAGGCCTTTTTTATACCGTGGGCACAAACGTGGCCCAAAGCTGGCCGGTGTCCACGTTTCGTCGGTAGAAAGTCTTGACAGAACGCGTAAAATGTGTCAAAACCTTGATCAAAACGTGGTAACATGAGGGAACCCATCAGGACGCGACAGGCAGGGAGGAAACGTAGTGGCATCCGTAGTGGACTGCGGGCAGAACCGTAGTGCGCCTTTGTGCTTTCGAGACTCAGCAGCCTGTTTTTCCCAACGGCCCATCACGGATACCGTGACAGACCGTGAGAAAACTTAGCATGGCCTAACAAAACTTGTCTTTGGAGAAAAAAATGACCCAAATCCCACGGCGCACTACGTTTCGGGGAAACGGGGTTGCGTTGCCGCCGGGGACATAGTGTAACCCTAGCATTAGGTGAATGAATACATTTGAACCAATCATTTTTAGTTTTAAATTAAATGGAAAGTGCAAGGGTGAAGTTGGCAGAAAGAAATATATAGTGTTTGGTTATAAACACTTGATAAATATGTATTTAGGAACATTCTTCGTTACGATTACTCAACGATATTTTACATCCCTTCTTGGATTCGTGTACAAATTATACATACTCCATGAGCTTACTCTGTTTGAGATGTTTCGTGTGCAATATCTGTACTGGCATTGGTGCACAGTGCATGTGCCTTTTCCAAGAAATGAACTAAAACTGAGCCTATCTCTAACATGGCTCTATTCGCGTTGCATATTGAAAGAAATGAGCGATATGATCGTAAAGTGTAGAAGCTGTGCGTTAGCCGAGTGATGGAAATGCTTGCCCGCTACACGGAAGGCCAGCGTGGATTTCCTCTATAACTGAAGCCCATTTTCTGCAGTTCTTGCCTTGATACTAAGTTTGAACAAACTCAGTAAATGCACGATGTTGTTACTGGATATTCATTGTATGGTTTCACCAATGGCCGCCGTCACATGGCCGGAGAAGTGCTGTCCAGCGTCAGGCAATCAATATACTCTTCTTTCTTCAAGCAAACTGTGTGATGGGTCGGACATGTTTACTCTTCTCGAACAAAGGTGTCATCAAGGCTTTCAATGATCCAGTCATATATATTCATCAATGTGTTGTATTTTGAGAAACCATGGGGCTGTTTTGGCTTTATGGTCCTGGCTGATTATTTCCTTGGACGGAGTTCATAGTTTTACATATAGAATATTTATGTATTATTGTATTACGTGTTATCATTCCTCATTCTGTCGTTACTGTGTTTTACTACATGTATTTTGATATTTGTATATTTGACCGATTTAATTCTGTATAAAAAAATTCTCGACATTTGGTTTGTTAAGTGTTTTAATTTGGAATGCTAATTAACTCTGTCAAAGAGTATCTGTTGGTTGAAGAAGGGAGATCCGCGTAGTTTTCAAGGATACACGTATAAACCTAAATTACATCCTTACTCCTAGATGTACATCTAGTCTCTGAACTGACCACATTTTACAGAAAAAAGTTCTTAGATGTCATTTAATAAAACAAAAACGAGCCAACAGAGTTCCTTCATTTGCATAACTCGATCGTGATCTAGACTACGGTATTGGATATACCTGTGTCAGGACCGGTATGGCAGACTTCCCAACTTCAATAATTTGACAAAACATTATTGTGTTCCAAATATTTCAAAATGATATTCCAGAAGTATTTTCAATGTATACATACTATGTGAGCCAGTGTGTACAGTAACCTATGCATATTAAAGCATACGTCAATAGGAAGCGGTTAAAAAACTAGATGTGAAAGTCATGATCATTGTATAGCTTGGCACTCTTACATCTCCCATAATGAATGTTCTCTGGGACGTTATCTCATTACCATATAAATAGATAGTATTGTCATTTTCTTTCGTTCTTGCAATAATATGGCATCCAGACCTGTTTCAAGTTTAGTATATACATGTCATGCGTACATTATGTAATTACGCTGCATCATGCTCCTGAGAAAACACATATCACCATCATATGAACATCATAGTTACAGTGATTACGTACTGTAGGCTATCGACACATTGTAGATTTACATATCCAGGTCCACATAAGTCATTATTGAGCTTCTAAGATTCATGGCATGGATGCAAAGCTAGTGAAAGGTAAACTTACACAGTATAGGATGGACATAGTATTTTCATTGTGTGTATTTATGTCTAAGATAATTACATACTTTACAAATTAACAGAAAAGGGTATTCGTTTTTCGACAAGACTCGTGTTGCAGTTTTTCATCTCGTAGGATATTATGATAATGTAATATCATTATATTGTGGAGGAGAACTGCAACTTAACGGGAGAGTGCAACGACATTTATCAATACTGATACTTTGAAGATATGGTTAGACACCAAAATTCAATTTTAAATATTGAAAATACACACATTTTGGGACTATTAACTTCTGAATACTACTCTTGTTCGTGTATATATGTTAATCTCGATTAAAGATGTAAATATCTTTGTATACGAAACTGCTTGTTTTTCCCTAAATAGCGTAGCTCAAGCCAAATGTATATGAGGTATTTTTAACCTCGGATACTCAATTAACCATTTACAGTTCATAACTCTTTCTTGGGTAACGACATCTAGACATAGATTTTACCTTACTGTAAACAGTGACTTGTATGATGAAATGTACAATGGATATCGCCTCTTACGACATGATCAAGTGCCGAAGACCTAAAAATTGTTTGCACGTTTGCACGCTAAGATAAGGATTTTTTTTCTTTAGATTTATACTCAAAGGCTCACGTTATTGTGACACAAATGCAACAAACAGAATCAGTGTTACACCTTTACTACCGCGAATGAAATGTTATTACATGAAAAGACAAATATTTGAAGATATGGTAATCAGAACAGCCCTCCTGGCGTATGTAAAAGAGCCACAACAGAAGAGGGGGTTCACAAGCATGTTCACATGGTCAGTAGCGAGAGTGTCCGCCTTGTGCATTGATGCAGATCTGGCACCCTCGCCTCATCCAGGCCACTAAACGGCAATGAACGCCCTGGAGGAGATCCCTGAAACATTGGATTCCGATGACGTCGCAACATCGTGCCATTTAATTCCAGACGTGGAATGACAAGTCAGGGGATCTTACGAGCCAGAGAAGCACTTTAACTTTGTTCTGATTATTCCATCCTTTTCCAACATCACAACTTTAGTTTTATGTATGTTTGCAGTAAGTAAATATCTATGGCAATATTTTTAAAGAACATCTAGAGGTTTCTGTTGATCAACTACAGTATCAACAAACAAAATGACATGTATACAGTACTAGAAGTACCAGGGGAAGCTCTGGGTGGATCTGAATGCCTGGTTAACATCATGGTTCTGGTAGAGCCAAGTCATTTATGAACCAAAACCAACTAAAACACAACTTTGACTCCAACATTATACGGAAAAAATCTGAAAGTTCACTTGTATATTTAACGCAGGAGATAACATCTTTATAGATTGAACATGTTTATGCATCTTTGGTGGGCACCGTGGTCGACAAGGCAAATCTCCAGATGGGAAATCTATGAAAGGTGTGTACAAGTTACCTTTCTTTTTAGAGTTCTTGTATGGCAGAATGCAGTATAAAAATATTGTCAGTAGTAGAGAAGCGGGTATGGGTCGGGTATGGAATAAGTTTTATCTTGTGACTCATCCCAAAACTGCAGTCTCTCAGTTACTACTGTAGTATAGACTGTGCTATGAGTATTGTTATACCTCTGTCGTTGGCTGGTATGTCAGTATCACCTTTGTGGAGAGGGTAACAAATAGTGAGTAACTGAGTATAGTTTTACGCCGCACTCAGCAATATTCCAGCTATATGGCGGCGGTCTGTTAATAATCGAGTCTGGACCAGACAATCCAGTGATCACTGATCAACAGCATGAGCATCGATCTGCGCAATTGGGAACCGATGACATGTGTCAACCAAGTCTGATCACTTGATCCCGTTAGTCGCCTCTTACGACAAGCATGGGTTACTGAAGATCAATATTCTAACCCGCAACTTCACGGTTAGGAGGGTAACAATAACCCCATGTCACCATATAGAGGGGAAGAGTGCCGAATGGAACATTGTTATAAAGGATATCGTCAGTATTACACATAATACACCCTGGGCATATTTAAACATGTCAGCTGTTTGTTTACGTCCACCAGCTGATTTACCACTTTTCAAAGAATTTATTGACTTATTAGCCTTCTTTAGGAGTGCGGGAGAATCAAGGATGCAAGATGACAAACCAGTGTGTACACTACTGACATGTAGTTCCCATATATGTATTTTGATTTCCTAGGCGCACAGTTTCGTATGTGGTTAGTGTAATCTTCCTAATACGAGGATTGACTGTGTATTTCTTTCGTTGCATTGAGGTATGAAACTAAAACCAATGTGCAAACTGTATGAATCCGCGTAGCAGATTCTTACAAAAGATTTGCACATTGGTTTTGAGTTTCATGTGCCTCCGCAATACAAAAGTTTGCACATTGGTTTTTGTTTCATACTCAATGCAACAAAGAAATACACAGTCAATCCTTATAATTAAATTCAACAACAAATACTATAGGCTTTCAACAATATTTTATTTAAACACAATCAAATTCATCGAAACAGATATCTTTGTTACCACCGATTTACGGATTAACATTTTCGGTGTAAGAATTCGGTAATGGCGTGACATGACTCAGGTGACTCATTTACATAAAATGACACGCCTACCAAACCATTAGCCAATCAGCATAGAGCACCCCCAAACAGCTGTCAATCAACCAAGCTAACATCGGGGTTGCGAATCAGAGCGGAACAAGACAACGTGACGCATGCCGGTAACGGCAAAGTTTCAAGTTCAAACATTTGAATTATTACCAGCGAACTGAAAGACACAGTTTGAAAAGTGAGAATTGGAAATGAAGCCCGATGACATGAAGTTAGTGGAACTGAGATTGTTAGTGGCAGCAGTATTTGCGCAAGTGGAAAGGGGCTGTGATGTGACTGGGATTGCGATGCCATGAACTGATGTTCCAACGTGCGCATGCTCTTGTCGAGGCGTTACAATGGCGGAAAGCGTCTCGCTAATTCTTAGTTTTTGAGTAGTCGTTGTGTGGCGACTATAACTACGCACGGAACTTTCATTCCTATGGCCACTCATAAACATTATGTGACGAAGTTCAAAGCCAGCGTCACTCATGGCTTGGATTGCTGTGGCGCGAAGGCAATGAGCAGTGTATGACTGACTACATTGGGCATTGCGACATAAGTCAGACATGAAACGAGTGAACTGGTATTTTTTGACTGGGGTTGCTGTATACCAAATGTTGTGTGCGTCTGGAGAACTAAGTGCATCTTTATTACAGTGCGAAAAAAGTGATCCGGCATTTGGGTCACTTTTGTCAAGGAGCTGGCGAAGTGCATTGACGGGACATTGGTTTATATCATTCGTCGCGTACATTCGTTTGTCGCTTTGCGCTTCATCGCTGCTGAGACCACCCTGGATGTTTTTTTGTTTCGTTTCGTGGGACAGTGTGACATATTCAACATTGCTATCATCTACCGCAAATTCAAAGGATGTGGGCGTAAGCTGCTGGTGAAATTCAAGACCACGACTTACAAAATGGATGGCCAAGTCGTACCATACTTTGTACCGGAGGATAACAGGATTGGATGCCGAATGCAGATAAGTGCTAATTTTCATCAGATCACTTGTTTCAATGATTGATTTATGTTGTGTGGGACGTGACAAGCCATGTTGTACATTGTACTTTAATTTGGCATCAAGCATATCATTTGCAGACTTAAACTGCTTATCTCTTACAATGTCAATATCTCTCCCGATATCATTTAAGTGTCTTTTCAGGGCAGAACGAACATTTTTTTAAAGTGTTCTTGTGATACTCGGCAGCATGTGCAGCCGGCATATTTTCACATCTTGTTTCCTGGTTTTTAGGCTGTGCCTCAGTGTAGAAAAATCTCAACTTTGTGTTAAGTTCCTCTGGTGTAATTGTTGAAAAATCCACAGTCCTCCCCTCGCTCTCGAACGACCAATCTAAATAAACAGAACGAAAACAATATCTAGAAACCTGACTATGACAGACCCAACTATGTAAACTTTGAACTAGGTAACTCTATAGCAAATCATTTTTCTCGGTTAGATCTACATAACTTAATCTCATTCTGATAATTGTTCCATTTTTTAAAAATACAACTTTGTGCTGATGAACGGTCTTTCGTTTTGAGAAAATATACGTAGGATGGAATTTGAAAATAATATTTATATGAATTGTGTATATCTATCTTGGAATAGTTTAACACCCCATTTTGTGTTTCTTTTTGTGGATGTTGATTGTCTGTAGTCGTCCATTCGAAGTAAATCATTATTTGATAAACGTTTGAAACGATGTGTTTGGGATGGCTTATCATCGACTTGCATTGCACTAGTCATCTCGTGATTTGCCGATGTTTTTGTAGATCTGGTTGATGCTGTTATCTCTAACAAAGTTTCAATTTCTTCCAGGTCTAAATCATCCGGAAAATCAATGTTATCCGTGCTAAGAGTTGCAACGTTTCCGGTAGATTGATCTTCGAAAATCGACTCAAAATTCCCCAGATCGAAACTTCCGTACTTGGAATCGGCCATCTTGTTGGAATGTAAACAAGACAAGTTGCAGACGACCGTTCGCTGACTGCACGTGGTAACCACAGTAACCAGTCAAATAATGTATTATGACAAACACTTTTTTATTAAATAAACACTTTATTAACGTTCACGGATAATTTTGAGTTGTTTGTTTATGTTAACCACAATGTATCACTTCAATGTTTATCCAAAGTTCATTAAGGTACCCGAGTGCAAGGGAATTCCCTCGCTGTGTAAAGGTATTCCCCGACATTCCTCAGGTCCGAAAGTAGTCCGGTTCGGTGGGCGTGGCTTATTTTTTTAGATTCATTGGGAAATGAAATCAAAAGAAATGTTCCCAGTTAACCAATCAGATTGCCAGAATTTTAATGAACACAATAAAAATTTAATTATTCTTCCACAAACGCAGGGGAAGTACCTTTCTAATTTACGACTAAAAATTTGGGAGATATATCGGAGTCAATCAATGTGGATATGATAATAATGAATGTCTTGAGAATGCATCACCACTTTTATTTCCTTATGACCATAGTTGTTTGTACAGTAATCGTTCTTGAAAGAAGACTGGTGTATGACGTGAAATTTGCATGTGTACGATTTTCATGTTCCTAAAAAAACGGCTAGAAACAAACACTAACAACTGTGTGATGCAAAGGTCTACAGCGATTTATCGATCTTCTTGAAAACCGTCAATATCAAGAATGACACCCCATGCACGTGTATGGGGCTATAGCGTTGTGTTTAGGTGTGGTAATAAAGAGAAATGGTGTTGTCTTTGAAAAGTTTGTTAACGCTTATACTTCCTATCCAAATCGAAAGTTCAGGTTCCCCTACCTTTTGTTTTAAGAGTAAAGATAATTTTCATCATGTACGAACATGTTTTGCAATTGCAAGCACCTTATAATAATCCACATGTAAATTCAGAAAACGAACCTATCGTTAGGGCACCGCGGAATATTTTAACACCCATTGTGATGTTTGGGGATCTTTTGTGAAGACATGCGAGGGATAGCCCAGCGGATAAGTGATCAAATTGTGCACATTGTGTTACAAGCATGGAATTTGGCATGATTGCTATTTTCGTCATAACTTTAAAAAAAATTCTCCAGTTCTCATAAGTCATATATCAAATTGTTGGAAATTCATAGCTCTTCTATAATGTGTATGGTGTCTATCTTCTGACCAGTGGAACAGATGTCCACATCATCTATATTTGTCCTATTTGAACATTACTGCATTCTATAATGTTTACAGTGTCTATCTTCTGACCAGTGGAACATTACTGCATTCTATAATGTGTATGGTGTCAGAAGACTGCATTCTATAATGTGTATGGTGTCTATCTTCTGACCAGTGGAACATTACTGCATTCTATAATGTGTATGGTGTCAGAAGACTGCATTCTATAATGTGTATGGTGTCAGAAGACTGCATTCTATAATGTGTATGGTATCTATCTTCTAACCAGTGGAACATTACTGCATTCTGTAATGTTTATAGTGTCTATATTCTGACCAGTGGAACATTACTGCATTCTGTAATGTTTATAGTGTCTATATTCTGACCAGTGGAACATTACTGCATTCTATAATGTGTATGGGGTCTATATTCTGACCAGTGGAACATTACTGCATTCTATAATGTGTATGGGGTCTATATTCTGACCAGTGGAACATTACTGCATTCCATATCGTGTATGGGGCCTATTTTCTAACCAGTGAAACATTACTGTTTTTCTATAATGTCCATGGAGTCTTTATTCGTCTTATTTGCACATTACTGCATTCTATAATGCCTATGGGGTCTATGTTATGACCAATGAAATATTCCTTCTATGTATGTAATGTCTATTTCATCTGTCTTCATCCTAATTCAACATTACCAATGTCTTCAGTCCAATACAAAATAACAACCATTTATAATGTATATGAGGTTAATTTTCAGTCCAATAAAACATTCCTGTTTTCATAGTTGTGGGGGCTATGTTAAGCCCATTTAAGCATTACTACATTGTCACCTTCTTTGATAGAACTTGTATTCATCCGCGCTTGTAAGAGACGATCCTGTCGGCAGACTATTAACCTATGTGATCCATGTCATCGAATCCCAATCGCATAGATAGATAGATAGACTGCCATCACATTTGAAGGTAATTTTCTCTCCGTCCTTTTCATAAGGATTCGTTCAGCTTATATTGATTGTACCGTAACCACTGCAGCACAGTGACAGCATATGCTTTGATCACATGTCGCTAGAAGTGTTCATATTCAAATGAGAAGCAGTGCGCACGAACAAGTGTCACCTGGTCACCCAGTTCCGCCCAATACTGAATATTAATGCTTCTAGGTACACAGTGTGTTTAAGGGTTCAACATTCGTTAAGTCTCAAATCAAGTGTTTGGCAACGCCCGAATAACTGCATTCAGTGCTTGACTGCTCAACATCCTTGCTGCCCTAAAGCATTTATATCTTTTATCACCCAACCTGTACACAGCATCAAGCTGTCACTCAGTGTATCCGGGTTTGGTCCAGGTACGAAGCACGTCAACATCACTGGTGATAGTTCCTGGTTGTACAATGATATCACCAGTGTACGATCAGAGCAACGTCACATTTGGTGAACCTCTGTTTACGTTGCTCAGCGGTGTTTGAGCAGGAATCAGGAACACGCAACCGTAATTCCGCTGGTCATGTAAGTATGTACCACTGAAAAAACATGACCTATGAACTTTCTGCTGTATTAATACCTGCACATACACAGAACACAGCATGATATTAATGGCTAAGAAGCAATGCAATATCTAGTATCATCTAGTTTCACCAACAAAGGTTTGTCAAAATGTTCGGGATCATCAATATGGTTATTAGTAATTAGTTCAGTTGTGGTGTTCAGAAGTCGGACACAAGCATTGTCTTAAAATGTTCTATACGAACAACAGTACACGACGTACTCGTCCGCGTCTCCCCACAGTGTGAAGAACGAATTGTCTCTGCGACATGGTATAGATGGTATCACAGAGGCAATGTCTGTTAGAACTGTTACCGATAATTCCTGATTCCGGAATGTTTTTACTTTAATGGATAAAAAAACCTGGTATACCGGTACGGAATATTATTTAACAATCACTTTTAGAATAAAGTTAGACAATTGAAAATGAGATTATGTTTAGTTTGACCACCGTGTGTTTTTAGGACAAAACAAGTCGTCAAATGAAGTGCCTGAGGAATACATTTGCGTTCTATGTCATATTTATAGTGCATTGTTCAAGAAGTAATCGGAATAAACGGATGAAAATACTCACTGCAGCGTTGATTTAGACTGTCATAATTTATGTTTACTAATATTTTCATTTTTGAAACATATATCCATATTTTGCAGACATTTTCTCTTACAATAACTTTGACAATATTTGGGGATATTAACCTTTCGAAACAAAATTCACAATAGTCAACCATTGTAGATATAACAAGAGAGACTGTGGCCATGTATGCCCATATTTTGGGTGAATATTGCTTAACGACGCACAAGCAATTTTGCAACTATTCGCGGCGAGCCTGGTTTTGTTATTATCTTATGACAAATCATTATTACAGCTGTGGACAATAAAAACTTAAACGCTTTCAATATTTTTTATAAAACAGATTATTGTATCATCAAGTTAACATACCTAAGACTGGATAATCGCGGAAGAGAAGCTCTTGCCTATATACAGGCAGACAGATTTTAGTCAGCAATATTGGCCCACTGGCCCATGTGACAATTGTTGTCACGTAATAAGAAAATAGAAAAAATAAATTTAAACACCGTTTGAATTTTTTGTTGAAAATACACACTTTAGAAATATGGCTATTGCTTTAACGATAAATCTTTTGTGTGAATTCAATAAATTTAACATTTGGGATTCACATACATGTTTGCCATTGAGGAATGGTAAATATTTTATTCTCAAATCACTGTATTCTGGACATTGGAGTAAAATGTGAAACTCATCCTGATCTTGTCCACAATGGTTTACATAAAGTATGCTGTGTTTCAGATCCTTGTTTCGTTTGGTTGCTTTCACATTCAAATTATGTAGAGAAATTCGGAATTTACAAAATATCTGCAGTAACGTCTTATCATGAAACAAGCATGTAATATAACGCTTGAGGGTAAAATCCTAATTTTACAAAAACTATAATTACTAAGAAAATGTGAAGCTTGTATATTGCCTTGCCAATTCTGGCCATAAATATCCACTAATCTTTGCTTAAACACATACAAAAACAAGTTTTCATCTCCAACATTTTTGTATAACCATACATGTGAATACCCACAGGCAAACAATAAAAGACCGATATCTGAAACCCAGTTCATTTTATCTCTATCTTCCAGTCCTTTTAACATTTTATAACATTGAAGTGGATATCTGTTTACACCCATTCTGTCCACTAGACTACGGGGGTAGACGCTCTGTCCACTAGACCACGGAGGCAGACTCTGTCCCCTAGTCCACGGAGGCAGACTCTCTGTCCACTAGATCACGGAGGCAGACGCTCTGTCCACTAGACCACGGAGGCAGACTCTGTCCACTAGACTACGGAGGCAGACTCTCTGTCCACTAGACCACGGAGGCAGACTCTCTGTCCACTAGACCACGGAGGCAGACTCTCTGTCCACTAGTACCACGGAGGCAGACTCTCTGTCCACTGTCCACTAGATCACGGAGGCAGACTCTCTGTCCACTACACGGAGGCAGACTCTCTGTCCACGGAGGCAGACTCTCTCTGTCCACGGAGGCAGACTCTCTAGTCCACGGAGGCAGACTCTCTGTCCACTAGTCCACGGAGGCAGAGTCTCTGTCCACTAGTCCACGGAGGCAGAGTCTCTGTCCACTAGTCCACGGAGGCAGACGCTCTGTCTACTAGTCCACGGAGGCAGACTCTCTGTCCACTAGACCACGGAGGCAGAGGATAGAGCACCTGCTCGGAGAAACAAAATACAATAAGAACACCAATTTCACCATCCCACAACCTCTGGTTAGAGACATATTCCACAATATATTGTTTAAATATCGTTAACTGCATAAGCTTCTACGTACAATATTGTAATCAGATCGTCGAACAATTAGGGGAGAAAATACGGAAGTCAACTGCGATTCCCTTTGCACAGTTTAAAGTAAACTGGGCAGTTTTTAAGGTGTTTATTAGTGAAATATGATCAGGGTTAAATGAGGGGCTAGTATCTTAAAAATTATATGATACGCCTTAACAACTTCCGGAAACAACAAGGAAAAAGCACAATAAATTACAATCACATTAACTAATACCACTAAAATAGGGGTAAGTATATTCCAACAGTATCATATCAGTGTGTAATTATTGCCTCAGTCACACTGCCTTCGATAGTCACCCTTCCTCTGATCTTAACAAGATTTGCACCCCCGGAAAACGTATATCGAATCCACATTAAATGTTTTACATGTGCACGCTCCTCAATCGGTCGTATCCGTGGCGGTGTGTTATTTAATGAGTGTCCATATTTGATTAACAATATCCTTGGTGGTGCGCATGATGTTCTGTTAACGTTCAGTCAGTAGGTATTGTATCTTGGTAGTCTATGTAGTCTACCAGGTGTTGAGATAATGTGGAATGTGTACATGTTTGATGAATCATATCCGTGGTGTCCACATGGTATTGAAGTAATGTACGTGTGGAATGTGTACATGTTTGATGAATAATGTCCGTTATGTCCACATGGTATTGAAGTAATGTACATGTGGAATGTGTACATGTTTGATGAATCATATCAGTTATGTCCACATGGTACTGAGGTAATGTACGTGTGGAATGTGTACATATTTGATGAATCATATCAGTTATGTCCACATGGTATTGAAGTAATGTACATGTGGAATGTGTACATGTTTGATGAATCATATCAGTTATGTCCACATGGTATTGAAGTAATGTACATGTGGAATGTGTACATGTTTGATGAATCATATCCGTGGTGTCCACATGGTATTGAGGTAATGTACATGTGGAATGTGTACATGTTTGATGAATCATATCCGTGGTGTCCACATGGTATTGAGGTAATGTACATGTGGAATGTGTACATGTTTGATGAATCATATCAGTTATGTCCACATGGTACTGAGGTAATGTACGTGTGGAATGTGTACATGTTTGATGAATCATATCAGTTATGTCCACATGGTATTGAAGTAATGTACATGTGGAATGTGTACATGTTTGATGAATCATATCAGTTATGTCCACATGGTACTGAGGTAATGTACGTGTGGAATGTGTACATGTTTGATGAATCATATCAGTTATGTCCACATGGTATTGAAGTAATGTACATGTGGAATGTGTACATGTTTGATGAATCATATCAGTTATGTCCACATGGTATTGAAGTAATGTACATGTGGAATGTGTACATGTTTGATGAATCATATCAGTTATGTCCACATGGTATTGAAGTAATGTACATGTGGAATGTGTACATGTTTGATGAATCATATCCGTGGTGTCCACATGGTATTGAGGTAATGTACGCGTGGAATGTGTACATGTTTGATGAATCATATCCGTGGTGTCCACATGGTATTGAGGTAATGTACATGTGGAATGTGTACATGTTTGATGAATCATATCAGTTATGTCCACATGGTACTGAGGTAATGTACGTGTGGAATGTGTACATGTTTGATGAATCATATCCGTGGTGTCCACATGGTATTGAGGTAATGTACGCGTGGAATGTGTACATGTTTGATGAATCATATCAGTTATGTCCACATGGTATTGAAGTAATGTACATGTGGAATGTGTACATGTTTGATGAATCATATCAGTTATGTCCACATGGTATTGAAGTAATGTACATGTGGAATGTGTACATGTTTGATGAATCATATCAGTTATGTCCACATGGTATTGAAGTAATGTACATGTGGAATGTGTACATGTTTGATGAATCATATCAGTTATGTCCACATGGTATTGAAGTAATGTACATGTGGAATGTGTACATGTTTGATGAATCATATCCGTGGTGTCCACATGGTATTGAGGTAATGTACGCGTGGAATGTGTACATGTTTGATGAATCATATCCGTGGTGTCCACATGGTATTGAGGTAATGTACATGTGGAATGTGTACATGTTTGATGAATCATATCAGTTATGTCCACATGGTACTGAGGTAATGTACGTGTGGAATGTGTACATGTTTGATGAATCATATCAGTTATGTCCACATGGTATTGAAGTAATGTACATGTGGAATGTGTACATGTTTGATGAATCATATCAGTTTGGTCCACATGGTATTGAAGTAATGTACATGTGGAATGTGTACATGTTTGATGAATCATATCAGTTATGTCCACATGGTATTGAAGTAATGTACATATGTGAGTAGCTGTGGTGTCCACATGGTATTGAAGTAATGTACATATTTGAGTAGCTGTGGTGTCCACATGGTATTGAAGTAATGTACATATTTGAGTAGCTGTGGTGTCCACATGGTATTGAAGTAATGTACATATTTGAGTAGCTGTGGTGTCCACATGGTATTGAAGTAATGTACATATTTGAGTAGCTGTGGTGTCCACATGGTATTGAAGTAATGTACATATTTGAGTAGCTGTGGTGTCCACATGGTATTGAAGTAATGTACATATTTGAGTAGCTGTGGTGTCCACATGGTATTGAGGTAATGTACATATTTGAGTAGCTGTGGTGTCCACATGGTATTATATAAATAATGTACATATTTGAGTAGCTGTGCTGTCCACATGGTATTGAAGTAATGTACATATGTGAGTGGTTGTGGTTGCCACATAGTATTGAGGTAATGTACATATTTGAGTAGCTGTGGTGTAGTTGGTGTCTGTCGCTGTGTCAGTTGTCTTCATGGAAAATATAGCCATGCTTTGATCTCGAGATGAAATGTTATTTTATACTGTGATATTTCGGCTTGTTATCACTTCATATCATAAGTTTATATACTTCCAGAATCTGAGGCATGAATCCAGATGCGGAAACATTCAAGTCCTCTGATATGTACTATGTGGACATGGGCGGATCCAAACTACGGACAACGGCGTTGAAGTATGGAATGTCACAATCAACACAGAGTGCCAACTTGGATGACATGTCATTAATGCCCGTGGAAATATTGAACTTTGATTTGATGTCATGTAACAGGAACCAACAGGGCTGCTCCAACATCCATCATGACTTCTGTGTCATCATTGCATTTTGTATCTTCATGGTGATTGGTTTGTATCAGGTATATGTTTCTGTGAATCTGTGATACGAGAACAAAAGCGAAGAGAAGTGAAGAGATATGGAGCGTATGTGAACGGTAGCTGATACTGCTGGAACAGACTGATACCCAGTGAACAGATGATGGTACTAGCTGAATAGACAATGATACTAGTTGAATAGTGGCTTGTTCAACACTAACTGATACATGCATGCAGATGATATGCGAATATATACAGAATATTGTGTCAAGACAATTCCAGATATTGCACTGAAATGAAACAGATAAATTGTAATTCTGCCGGAAACATTTATAATTATTCAGACATACATCTTTCCCTTCTCCAAACAGACGTTAGAACAGCCATACAAGACATGTCTGAAAAAGTACAATCTGTGGGTGATGTGACTTGGAGTAAAAGTTGGAGGAATGTCTAGTGCAAGCATCCATGCGTCTGTCAATGCAAGACCACTTGAATATTTTGCTGTCACTAGTTGTTGTTAATTTCATTTCCGCAAATATTGTAAGTTCGCTTTCCTTTGAAGACATTAGTGGGATCTCAATGACAACAGAAATGTGATACAGCATGAAGATACTGATTAACCTCTATACCATTAACGCCATGGGAATATGGGGGGACGATGTGGACAGCATGAAGATACTGATTAATCTCTATACCATTAACGCCATGGGAATATGGGGGGACGATGTGGACAGCATGAAGATACTGATTAACCTCTATACCATTAACGCCATGGGAATATGGGGGGACGATGTGGACAGCATTAAAGATACTGATTAACCTCTATACCATTAACGCCAAAGGGAATATGGGGGGACGATGTGGACAGCACGAAGATACTGATTAACCTCTATACCATTAACGCCATGGGAATATGGGGGGACGATGTGGACAGCATGAAGATACTGATTAATCTCTATACCATTAACGCAATGGGAATATGGGGGGACGATGTGGACAGCATGAAGATACTGATTAACCTCTATACCATTAACGCCATGGGAATATGGGGGGACGATGTGGACAGCACTACTGAAATCGTTTTAGTTGTAATGAAACTACTCGATAAACTGCTAGGCAACAAACTTGCCGATTCAGTGGGTAACAGAAATAAGTAACAAAACCCTCGCTGGAGTAGCCAGATATTGCAGTCATATTCAGATATCGACACGACTTGTACCTTTCACTCTAAACACAGGATTATATATAATTAATGAGTTATTGTTCGTATGAGAAATTAGATCTCAAGACATTATGTTATTAAGAAATGTGTTTGTGTTAAATGAAAAGCTAGAAGCTATCCAATCCCCATCATTACCGAATGTCACAAAACTTTCCACCCTAAGCAGTAACAATTTTGACTTGAAACATTAGGTGACATCCGACCTCACCAATATCTGTCTTCAACCATCTTTGATCCCTGCTGTTGTGTAATACGGTCCTGTGCCTCACGGTGCCATAAACACAAGTAATGCGGCAGCGTAGCCTAAAACAGCAAGTCGTACACTAAGAGCTCCCTTGACAGAAGGGCATCAATTCCAAATTTATGTTTTGCAAGCAACTCCACAATTTAGCTCTGTTTACAGAATTTACGTCATTTTTAACATCACCAAAGGCCCACACGTGCGTTTGCTGTAGAATAACATCTCTTAAAGTCTGCATGCGAAGTGAATAGGTCAAAATTCGAACATACTTTTCTAAATTCTGATTATGTTTTCGGATGAGTGTTTCCACGTTTGACCACTGTGTTAATCTCTTACTGACAATAGAAGTACATGTTCAAGAAGAATTACATTTCTTTTATTGCATAATGCACTAATAATAGATTTCAACCGTTTCAACAGGATAGAAGGAAAAACATATGTATTAAAAACTCTATTGAATCACTCAGCCTGTGAGGTCACAATTCGGGTTATGAGAATGTGCGCATTTCAGCTGTAACATAATGGTGCAGGTGTCTGGCTGATTAAGAGGGGGTCGTCTCCTAACATAGTAAGAATAAAATACACCAGGGTTCACCCAAATTAGATGCGTTAATACATATCCTGTATTAGATGTACTTCACTTTACCTTCATTTTTATGACAATATTTGCATACAAATAACAAACTGGCGAGGTGTATATATTAACCTGTATATATCTAAGTGTTCAAATGTCTCCATGTGCATTCTTACTCTCATATGGCACGTCAATAAAAGCGGCAAAAGCCTTCCATCACATTAAATACCATACAATAAAACGTTTTGAAAGCTTTGCGTTTTGAATGAACCAACGTTGCGGAAAAGCCCCATTACGCTCTTTAAAGAATACATAAAAAAGGTATGCTCTATTGATATCTTAAGGTAGAAATGTTGATATTAAAGGCTGGGGGAGCTTGCATGTTGCTCGACATAAAGGGAAAGTTGAAGTCACTTATTTTTGAAAGCTACTGGACAAACCATTTCAAATGTAATTGAAAGAACATCACTGTCAAATAGAATAAGTTTAATCAATAAAAACCTACCTTTTGAATAGCAGAAAGAATTTCGCCCCGACATGACAACAGCAATATATGACCTGATAAAAATATGCCAAAATGTTCACTTTTTGACATACAGGTGCACAGTGTACATTCAAAAGATAAAACTGAAACGTGGACCATTTTGAAAGTTATTTTTTCTCTTCAGGTTTTATATTAAAATATGACCAGAAACCTGTGACGTATGACGAATAGTGGCTGTTCTTTGGTGTTGCCGACTTTACAAGTCGACTCTGTGTATAGTAGTAGTAGAAGCTATTGACGGTTTTAGTAGTTTAGTTTATTGTGTAGTAGATGTTGTTTTTGTAGTAGTTATGTTGTTGAGGTTCATGAAGTAAAAGTAGTAGGTTGTGGTGGTGGTTTAATTACTGCAGTATTGATAGTTTTTTTTGTGCATTAGGAGTAGAGACTGTCTATTTGACACTGATTAAAGTGAGTTACATAACCACTAACATCACTCACCAGATTCCTCCTCCACCCAAACATTAACCAGCTCTGTACATACATCTTGTGTTTTTTTAAACAAAATGAATTATCTCGACTTAGTTGCTTACAAAATGTGTTATGTCAATCTGTTGTATATATATATATGTGTTGCCTCATACAATAAAACAATAAAATGAACCGAATCATTTCGATAAAACTTCTACCCCATCAGAATATTTGAAGATTATTCGGGAACTGTTCTGTGAATGAACTGTCAGTACAAGAAATACTTTACATGAGTATGTTCTTAGCCTTCAAGTAAACTTTATTTTATCAAAGCAGTCTCCGGCAAATGTTTAGAAGTGTGTGACAGACCAACAGACACACGATTATCACATGTGCTTCAAGACACACCAATTACCATGGCAAAAAAAGACAAAAAGAATAATTTTAGGTTTAATCAAATCACAATTTAATCTGAAGGGCAGAAACAAAACTGTTCTGATATGACACCATATAACAGAAACAAGGTACAAATGCTACATGAAATGGTATGTTACCTGTTGAATATCACACAGTGGTACACACAAAAATAGCAATGTGTAAATCTTAAAACATTTTGTAGCATTTTATCTCCACAAGATTACATATTGGCCACAAATATCATATTTGGCATTTCTTGCAATATACATATGACAGTTCTGAAACTGTGTCATCATTTCTGTTTAAATGAAGGAATAGAAACCACATAACACTATGTCCACATTTAGAGACAGAGAGACCAACAATGAATAAACAATGCTGGAACAACAATATCACAACGTGATTCTGCAGGGAACAGAAAGTTCTATCACTGAAATAGTAAGTTATGTATAAGTCAGCTGTGTTACATTGTCTGCAGCAATTTGGCTACCATTTAAATGCACAGAAAGACATATTGACATACATTGGCTTTAAATGTACATTGCGTGCTGGTTAATCATTACTTTGAGTGACATTTGGTTAATCGTTATTGAAATGTGGCTAAAACAAATCACTGCCATGAGCATGAAGACAAAAATCCAAACAAATGGATTCACTAATTAGACTATCATAATAATAAATTAAGGGTGGCAAAAATGTAAACATGCTATATATGTTCTTTCACCACAAGAACCATTAACATATGACAATCATATTTCAAAAGAATTTTTTTTAACAATGTTTCTATTTTTAAACAACTCAAAGGGTCAAGGAAATTCACATCAACATCATGGCATAAATGCTAAACACCTTCCAACATGAACAGGCTTCAGTAACGTCCCATATGTATTGTTAGACAAATAATGTGATGAAAGCTGTGGATCCATCACCATGTTCCCATCACCTAGGGGATTAAGCCACATTATTAGCCACTGTTGAAAAACGTACATGGAGAATATGATTCACAAAGTGTTGCCGACGTGACTTTAGAAATCTTCACCCTACCCTACTCAAACCCCACCTTGATTTTGGGAGTGCAAATATATGACCATCACAGTGAGGTGTCAATTACTGCTTTACAAGAGATGTTTGGTTACACTACAGGTCTTAACTCCCTCATATTCTGCATTCACACTGTGCCTCTCTAGGACAATAAGGCTAGAGCAACAACTATAGTATATACTGTACCATGCATATTGGCACACATGGGTTGGACCAAGTCCTGTACCATGCATACTGTAACAGAAGGGTGGTCCAACTCCTGTACCATGCATACTGTAATAGAAGGGTGGTCCAACTCCTGTACCATGCATACTGTCACACAAGGGTTGGTCCAACTCCTGTACCATGCATACTGTCACACAAGGGTTGGACCAAGTCCTGTGCCATGCATACTGTCACACAAGGGTTGGACCAACTCCTGTACCATGCATACTGTCACACAAGGATTGGACCAACTCCTGTACCATGCATACTGTCACACAAGGGTTGGACCAACTCCTGTACCATGCATACTGTCACACAAGGGTTGGACCAAGTCCTGTGCCATGCATACTGTCACACAAGGGTTGGACCAACTCCTGTACCATGCATACTGTCACACAAGGGTTGGACCAACTCCTGTACCATGCATACTGTCACACAAGGGTTGGACCAACTCCTGTACCATGCATACTGTCACACAAGGGTTGGACCAAGTCCTGTATCATGCATACTGTCACACAAGGGTTGGACCAACTCCGCTACTGTGATGCATACTGTCACACAAGGGTTGGACCAACTCCTGTACCATGCATACTGTAACAGAAGGGTGGTCCAACTCCTCTACTGTGATGCATACTGTCACACAAGGGTTGGACCAACTCCTCTACTGTGATGCATACTGTCACACAAGGCTTGGACCAAGTCCTGTACCATGCATACTGTCACACAAGGGTTGGACCAACTCCTCTACTGTGATGCATACTGTCACACAAGGGTTGGACCAACTCCGCTACTGTGATGCATACTGTCACACAAGGGTTGGACCAACTCCTGTACTGTGATGCATACTGTCGCACATGGGTTGGACCAACTCCTGTACCATGCATACTGTCACACAAGGGTTGGAACAACTCCTGTACCATGCATACTGTCACACAAGGGTTGGAGCAACTCCTGTACCATGCATACTGTCACAAAAGGGTTGGAGCAACTCCTGTACCATGCATACTGTCACACAAGGGTTGGAGCAACTCCTGTACCGTACATACTGTCACACAAGGGTTGGAGCAACTCCTGTACCATGCATACTGTCACACAAGGGTTGGACCAACTCCTGTACCGTACATACTGTCACACAAGGGTTGGACCAACTAGTGTGCCATGCATACTGTCACAAAAGGGTTGGAGCAACTCCTGTACCATGCATACTGTCACACAAGGGTTGGACCAAGTCCTGTGCCATGCATACTGTCACACAAGGGTTGGACCAACTCCTGTACCATACATACTGTCACACAAGGGTTGGACCAACTCTTGTACCATGCATACTGTCACACAAGGGTTGGAGCAACTCCTGTACCATGCATACTGTCACACAAGGGTTGGACCAACTCCTGTACCATGCATACTGTAACAGAAGGGTGGTCCAACTCCTCTACTGTGATGCATAATGTCAAACAAGGGTTGGATCAACTCCTCTACTGTGATGCATACTGTGACATTTCATGAGAAAACATCTGCCACATTTGGGCCATAGTTCTGCTATTGAAAAAAAGAAGTCATACAATATCTTGCACCTGGAATCACACTGGTATTAGATTTTAATTTTATCCAAAAGCACAAAGGAAACAATATAAAAAGCACACCATCAATACACATATATATATATATATATATAGTCTTTTGTGTTCTCTTGTGAAATACAACTTTTAATTACTTTTTCAGTAACGAATGCATTTTTCACAGCAGCAACAGCACAAGCTAAATATGATATCTACTCCATTGGACCAAACAAAGCTCTGGTACTTGAAACACATCTGAATCATATTAATATCAAACACCCATAAAATATTTTAAAAACCAAACAGAATCATTCTTGTTAAATCAAGACTTTAAAATAAAACCAAGCAAACTATTTTTGATAAAATCAAATTTTATGCAAAAAGCATGGTGAGTGAAACAAACCAATTAGCACGTATAATAAGTTAATCACGTGACAATTATCTGTGAGCTCAAATAGGTAACTGAAAACAAAATTAGAGACACCCAACTTATCTATCACAACATGTCATTATCACATTTTGGTTTAGCACGACAGCCGCAAAATTAGGACAGTAGGTATATCCATGTTCACAATATCCAAATACATTATCTCTACTACAACATATCATCAAAGATCATATCGGGCATCATAATCTCCATATCTATCATCATGATAATAAGATCTAACATCATCAACTTCATCATCATCATGATCATCATCATAATAATCATTGCGCTGACCCTGACTTCTCCCTTTTGCTCTTTGGAAATACCAGGAATTGGGTTCAGTGTGGTGATAGTCTTGTTCCTCTGCTCGGACAAACAGCCATGCAGCTCTTGGATCAGGTTGGCCACTGTGATGCATCGGCTCAGCAAATGTGTGAGTAGGAATATACTTGTCCTCTGACCTCTCTACTTCTCGGTCTGCTGCCCTGTCAAACATCCAGTCTGACTTGTGCTCAGCCTTTCTCTGGTGCAATCTGTTTTTCATCATGGCGTCATACCATTCTCCATCCTTGTCAAACAGCTTTTGTCTCTCTTGTCGCCACTCCTTTCTCATCTCTTCCCTGTCCCTGGCCCTTTGTTCATACCATTCTGTCTCATTATGGGACTCTTCCTCCACAATCATCTTCTCCTTTTCATAGTTGTAAGCCTGACCTGCTGCAAGATTTTTTTCTTTAATCTTTCTCTTCAGTTTCTTAACATGCTCCAATTTCCCACGTTTTGTCTTAAACGTACCTTTTTTGTTGCTGGACGGACCCCATTCAAACTGCCACCCATAGATCTTACCCTTGCAGACCGGATTGCGGGATGGAATCAAACTGTGAAGACGGTCATGCCACCAGGCTGACTGACAAATGATCCATTGTACATCAGACCTCTCCAGCCACTTGTATATATCCCAGTCTGTCTGGAAACGGATGAAAAAGTCGCATATATCCTGGAGATTACCCCGAGTCATTTCTAGATGCCTCTCCTCACTCATCTGCTGCATCATTGTCTTGAGGTGCTTGAACTGCTTCCTCATCTTCTGCCTCAAGGAATTGGTCTCCTGTCTGTTGTGTCCTTCCTTGTACATCTTACTGTGTTCCTCCACTGTTTCTCGATGCCTCTTCCGTGACTGCTCCCTGTCTTGCTGGTTCTGCTGTCCATGTCGTTTCTGAGATTGACGCCACTTGCCAGACTCTCTCTTATTTTGACTGCTCTTGAATCCATGTCTCATTTCATCTTTGGGAGTTTTTTTTGAGTTTTTGCTTGCTTCATTCCTTTTTCTCTTCTCCTGCTTCTTAAACCACTTGGTTGCCTTCTGTTTTATCTTATTATGAACATGATCACTGAACTTCTTGACTCTCTCTGTAATCTTACTAGCAACCTTGGACAAAGCTGGCTCATGTTTCTTCCACAGTTCTTCTGACAAATTCTTAACTTGATTCCAGGTTTCCTTGATTTGCTGGCTCATGTTTGACATGGAGCTCTGAGTCCGATTGAGGATTTCCTTTACACTGTCTGACCACTTCCTTTGGGCATTCTGAGGGCCCTCCTTCATGCTGCCCTCCTCCTCTTGATTCCTGGACCCAGTAAACTCGGACCATATATTCTGAAACTCAGTTAAGAATGCTTCCTTGACATCTTCCACTGACAGCATCAGTTTAGTTACATTGAGGAACTCCTTGATGGATGTGGTGTTCATAGAGTTGTTCAATTGTTGGGTGAAGAGCCTCATGCATGTGAGGAAGTTGATGGAGATGTTACATGTAGTGTGAGCATGTTTGTCCTTCACATTGAGGTACAGTCTCTGCCAGGTGTCTGCTTGCTTTTGAGACCAGGATAACTCTGCCCTCAGCTGCTGGATCTCTTCCTCTGACATAGGCAGCTCTAGAGCCTTTTCTAGAAGAAACAAAAGACATTTGTCAAGTCAAGTCGATTTATGTTATCTCCAAGCTTATTCTACCTGAATATGATTACAACATAAATCTGATGTTTTACATCATGATATTAAATAGGTCTGTTTTCATCCTCTTTCCACACATTATGGTCAATGAGCAGTATTTCACTAATGTCACTGAGTTTAGCATGTTTAGGTTATGATTTTCAGTAGGATGGAGGCCATCTTTGCAAGGTCAGAACTGTAAATATACATGTGAAACTGGATAATTACATCTGCTCCAGAAACAGACTCTACCCTCAATTGAACTTGTTGCCTTACAAAATCAAAAGATTTCAATGATGAATATTCCAAAATATCAAACCACCAACTGAGATGTGAGTTATCATGATTTTGCCCTGGAACCATTTGAACAAACTAGTAAACTAATCCCATGCTACATTAGAACGAGAACAAGCTTTTGCAAACATTAACCATCTAAATAAGAGTGGCATCAGCCAAACAGAAAGCAGCTTTCTCAAGCTTTATGGCACTAATTTCAAAGTGGAGTATTGGAATGGAAGTGGATAATAGGAATCTGGAATGATTTCAATGGATGTTAAAGTTCACCAAAGGAAAAGTGAGGTCAACAGTTGATGTCAGCAATATGACTAAAAGGGATATTATATTCTATACTGTTGGAAACAAAGATGCATAATATACCAGAAGAGATGTGTCATTAGATGTAGATGGAATACATCACATATGTCCCTCTGGTGAATACTGGCTATGACATAACAGAGAGAAGTTATTTAAAGGAATTATAAACCACCAGTTATCACTGAGTATAATTCTAAGAAAACTACCTCTGTTATATCAGGAACTATTCCCTCCTACCTTCCCAATTCACCTTGCATCAAGTCAGCGGAAAATTATTACAAAGTTGCATCAAACTTGAAGATAGGGTTCGCAACACAACATATTAGAAAAGTTGGTAGTGAAGAGAAGATCTGTTGAAAGTCTGAAATAACAAATCAATGCGTTCAAATCAATCTGGCATCATCTGCCTTGAGAAACTCACCATTGATGTCATCCTGTGTTGGCTGTACAATCCAGTCATCTTCTTCAGTCACACCCTGCACCCTTGGGAGCTCGCTGTGTACATTCCCAGGGTGAGACTTGTACCGCAACCGACCTATCTCAGCCCTCATGTCTGCATTCTCCTGTTCCAACAAGTTGATACGCGCTTTCAGATCTGTCACATGACCATGACCTTCAGTGAGACATGTTGCTGACGTCACTTCCGACAGCTCTTCCATGGACTCATAGCTATCATCTTCCACACTGACAGTCACATCAGCATCATTGTTGGCCTGAAGGAGATTACGCAGACGCTGAATCTCGGCCTTGAGATCATCATTTTCAACTTCCAGAAGGATCGCCTGTTCTTCAACTCCTCAATGACCCTCTCACTTTCCATTGCCTTCTGATCTGGTAGGACTGTTTTGTACTGCATGGCAGCAAGTCTAGATGTCAGCTCAGCATTGTCATGCTGCAGTTGGTTCACCTCATTCTTCAAATCTATGCTGGTTTGTCGGAGATCTTTCTTGATCTATCAAAGAGGTGAGTAGAGTTTAATGTCATTCTAGGTTCTCATCGATATATTATATCATAAACTTGTTGCGTATCATTAGCTACATTTGCTTTCGAAAAATATGATCAGATAATTCGCCAAATATCATTTTAACAAAGTGTGATATACCATCTTGTACCAAAGTATAGTCACCTCTTCATTCTTCACCTCTTCTGATATCTTGGTGATCATCTCCTTCTCCAAGATGGTCAGCTGATCTCTCAGCTCACTGTTGGTTTTTACTTGCTTTGCAATCAGCTGATGTCTCAGTTTTGTCTCCTCCTACAAAGTTATATTCTGTTTGTCACAACTGGGAGACAATGCATCAGAAAGCATTCCAACAAAATTCTGTATGCTTGTAAAGACATGATTCCCTATGCACAGAACCACTTTCTTCTGATGAACATTTTTAAAACTGAAATTCCTGGCTTTTGTACCTAGTCAAACACAACAACATACTTCACATGCAGGCAGTCACATCTGAATAAGAAGTTACTAAATGCTTCTAACGTAACAGTCCCCTCTCCCTATGACAATCCAGGTGCTACTGTACTGTACTGATGACAGATGACTATCCATCACCCCTATTGTCAGACAGAGGCATATCGATGCACCCTCCTCATTCTGTACCTGTCTCATGTCCTCAGTGTACATCTTCTGTTTTTGACATTGGAACAGGTCCTGCTTCAGGACAGACAGATGATGCTCATGGGCCATGTTCTTCTCATGTTGAAGGTAATGCTCCCTCACTGACCCTGAAACAGCCAAGACACTGTACCAGCAATTGTAATAGAAGAACAACACAAAGATCTAGTATTGTGTCCTTTGGCACACTGATGAAAACATTGACAAGGGTAACATCACTTTCCTACATTGTACTGTGGGGTTAATGATGTACAATCGATACATAAAAAAAGTGTAATAATGTAATGTGTTTGACATGGTAACCAGGGCCACACAGCTAATGAGAAACTGTTTTGTTTCCACATGTAATTATCACACAGAATTAAAGACATCTTCTTAACCAGAAGTAAAAGGATCATGGCAAATACCTATTGAGTGTCCAATCCCGATGCCAATCGCTAGTAGAACTACCATGATGACCATGATGTCCAGAGTCCAGTTGAGACGCTTGTTGGGCTTGTGGATATATTGCCTTGCAACATTGCCAGCAACCAATGGGATATCCCCGATATCATCAAAAGGCTGGTCATCATCCTCATTTTGCTGTACAGAGTTTTGATCACTTTGATCACTTTCAACCCGATCATCAATGCTATGCCCTGACACTGACTCAGTATCCCCATCACCATCTTCATCATCATCTTCAACAACAGGTGCTACTACTACAGGGGGCAGGACAAGAGCTGGTGGGTCAGCCACCACTGGTTGAGCCAGCAGAGGAGGGTCCTGCATTTGTGGATCCTGCATATGGGGGTCCTGCATAGGTGGGTCCTGCATTTGTGGATCCTCCATAGGGGGGTCCAGCACATGGGGGTCCTGCATTTGTGGATCCTGCATAGGGGGGTCCAGCACATGGGGGTCCTGCATTTGTGGATCCTGCATAAGGGGGTCCAGAACATGGGGGTCCTGCATTTGTGGATCCTGCATAGGGGGGTCCAGCACATGGGGGTCCTGCATTTGTGGATCCTGCATAGGGGGGTCCAAACTTGATGGATGCAGCCTGGGGTGGTCCATTACCGGTTGATCATACACAGCAGGTTGTAGCAAGTGCAAGTCCAGTATACTAGGATCTTGGACAGCTTGTACTGTGAAGATATCAAACATCTAACATGTTTCATACAGAGATGTTTTTGAAATGCCATTTCCAGTCAAATCACTTCTACTATAGTCTGATATTTGTAGTGAGTTAGTGAGTATGGTTTTCAATGCTTTTACCAATATTCTAGCAATATCATGGTGGGGGACACCAGAAATGGGCTTCACACATTGTACCCATGTGGGGAATTAAACCCGGGTCTTCAGGATGATGAGCGAAGACTGTAACCACTAGGCTGCCCCACTGCCCCCTGATATTTGTAAGTTACTACCTTCAGAATAAACATTTTATAGACTTTGTAGTATTTTCTCCTATAGAAACATGTTGTACTAGAAAATAACAACACGGGCCATACAAAAATTGACGATCAAAAGTGAAAAAATATATGTAACATATATGAGTCATAAACAGGGTGAATTGGAATTATAAACATTGCTTATCATTTTGAAAACAAGCAATAATAATATGTTATGTACCTGGTTCGATTTGCTGAGGCAGGAAACGGAAGCCTAAACTCACAGATGACACAGACTCTGCCATGATGTCTACAGCTGGTACAGCTGCCTCCATTTCTGCTGCAGTAGGGGCAGTTAACTGCTCCCGAGACACCTCATCTCCTTCCGTATCAGAATTACATGACGAACCAGATGACAGGGCATCAAGACACACAAAATCTGAATCTGAAAAAAAAAAGTACACCAATAGAATAAAACATTAGCAATGTTAGACATTAAGATTTAAATAATATACTAAGCAGCAAAAGAAACGTCAGTTTGGAATTTTCCTTCGCAGAAACGGATAACTGTAAACTCATTTAATGTTTTGAGTGTATATTTTTGACAACATCTCCAATTTACCTGAGCAAAGACATTGGAACCCAGGAATTGGTCTCAAAACCGCAACCTGATCTCGGAGATGGTACGGCGTTTTCCATGTTTTTCATGCAACTCATCCTGCACGTGCTGTTCACAAGGACCAGCCCTATAAAATGCACCCCAAACCTGGTTGAAACATTCACATTACAACGTCAGCAGGATGCCGCGACTCACGACAGCTCAGAGGAACCAGGTGCTAGGAAGACTTGAAGCTGGCCACTCTGCACAAGCCGTTGCCAATCACTTCCAGGTCAATGTTCGGACCATCTACAGGCTGCAGCAACGTTTCTGGGCCACCAACACCACAAATGATCGCCCCCGTATTGGCAGACCAAGGGTGACCACAAGACGACAAGACCGCCATGTTGTGCAACAGAATGTACAGAATCCCTTCATGGAGCCATCCGAAACAGCATGCCAGACAGTGGGAACACATGGAAGACCAATCAGTACTGATACAGTACGCCCACGTCTTAACAGCGGGGACCTCCACTGCCGTAGACCTTACCGTGGACCTATTCTCACCCCTCGTCATCGGCGTGAACGTCTACAGTTTGCCCTACAACACCAAAAGTGGCGATACAGGCAATGGAGAACTGTTCTGTTCACAGATGAGAGTCGGTACTGCGTATCAACTGCAGATGGCAGGACAAGAATATGGCGACGACGTGGCCAGCGTTACTCAGACCAATGTGTCATGGAAAGAGATTCATGGGGAGGTGCAAGCATCATGGTATGGGTTGGAATAGGCCTGAACCAGAGAGTGGGTCCTGTGGTGTTCCAGAACCTTGGTTCAGGGAGAGGAGGTGGCATCACAGAGGTGCGATACATCGACCAAACGCTCAGACCCCACGTCATACCACATTTCGCACGTCACCGGAACAACATTTTCCAGCATGGTAATGCCCGGGCCCATACTGCCAGAGCTACACAGGACTTCCTACAGCAGAACAGTCTCAACATTATGCGATGGCCAGCCCTTAGTCCTGATTTAAACCCAATTGAACATCTTTGGGATGAAATGCAGAGGAGACTGAATAATGTCATACCAAGGCCGAACACAGCCGATTTATTGCGCCAGGCTTTTCTCAGAGTGTGGTTCCAGGTGCCAATGGCCTTCATCAATTGATTGGTGCACTCCATGCATAGACGCTGTACTGCAGTTATTGCCGCTCATGGTGGTCACACTAGATATTGAAGTCAAGAGTCTGAATGGACTGCAAACGTTCACGTAATGTCTTGAAATTCTGCTGAGTTATTCATTGATGTGTCAAGATATTGTACACAAAAAGTGTTTTTGATCTGCTTATTATGTCAATTTCTGTAATGATTTGATTACAGTGCCTATCTAATTTTGTATTCGTACTGACGGTTTTTTTGCTGCTGAGGATATATTAAATTTACCTGGAACTTAAAAATGAAAAACTGGAAAGAATCTTAAGTTCCACATCAAATGTTAAATGTTAATACAGAATACAGTCCTACCGCTAGAGTCACTGGACGTGTCGGACTTGTTGGTGATGTCCAGACTTGCAGCCAAACTCGCGAGGTCAGCACCAGGTGGCGCTACAATCACACGCCCATCACCCAATCTGTGGACACAATACTGACACATTACCTTCACAACTGAATGCAAATAGAAATGAAAAAATCCAATGGTTTTATGGGGTTGGTGGGGTAGCCTAGTGGTTAAAGCATCCACCCATCATGCTGAAGACCCAGGTTCGATTCCCCACATGGGTACAACGTGTGAAGCCCATTTCTGGTGTCCCCTGCCATGATATTGCTTGAATATTGCTAAAAGCGGTTTAAAACCATACTCAGTCACTCACTCACACCAATGGTTTTATGCATGCTCTGCTATTCTTCAGATGCATTTAAATGATCACACACTTTTACATTTTTCAACAGCTGAATACACAACAGTCTCCATCACACCTGATAGTGTGACATCCTTCATCTGATGAGTTGTCCAATGGATACTTGAGCCACTGTGTATCTTCTCCATCAGCTCCCTCATCACCATCCTTAGCAGCTTCATCACTGTGCTTTCCTCTAGCTGCAGTATATACAACATCATCAGCACCTGTGGTCCTGAAACCCGAGAGCGTGGAGACAACAGGAGACTGATCAGCCTTGAGAATCTCAGCATCTGGAACCACCTCTACACCAACATCAGCCTCGGAGTGTTGGCAACTCAGAACCAAACTGTCACACCCTGAACTCTTCATGGAATCAGTGGACAGAGAAATGACCCCATCATCAGAAGCTTCAGCACCATCATCAGCACCAGGATGTGAAGAATCAGCAGAAGCAGCAAGTCCTGGGACTTGTGCTAGGGAAGACAGGGAAGACAATATATTGATGTTGGATGGCAACAAAACATCATGAGAAGGCTCTGGATTCTTTCCATTGTCCTCCTCTTCATCCTCTGATATAATATCAGTAGACTCATCTCCAGTGGAGGCTGCACTGGCTGTTAGTGAGGCACCAAGAAGACCTTCTGCCTGAGCTGGATCTCCCATCTCCTGCCTGGCTTTGTCAGCTAGGGGCCAAGAGTCCTTCATAGCTTCAACCTTGTCTATCTCATCTAGGGAGCTCTGTAGCAGGGCCGACATCTCCGATGAGGCTGAATTCAGAATGACAGAGCTCACATGTTTATTAGGTTTGGTGATAGCCCTCCAACACAACAACTATCATGAAAGTAGTAAGCTCAACAGCAACCTACCACATCATCCCTATTATCACCTTCTGTAACCTTAAAGAGTTTGTTTTTTTAAATCTCACACCAAATCGGCAAGGAATAGTGGTGTCTTAACAAATGTTCAGAATCTAAAGCAGATGTTTTATTCCAATGTGTACACCAGTGTATGAACAAATTACCGATGCTCTTAGGTTGTGAGTCCGTCTCTGTGGAAGGAGATCGGTGTCTTCCAAAGACCACACCCTCATGAGTGACGTTAACAAACTCATCACTGGAACTACTGCTAGATGTCTCCTCTGCCTGTGGTACAAAAATAACATAAAACACTGATATTAGCATCCGTCAACTGATTGATCAATTCTGGTAAGCCATTGAGCAGTGAACAGAGCATACAACCAGTTTGCATGTTAGAGAATTGGTTAAAAAATTAATCACTGAGAACAATGCAGTGGACACAAGGGCCCATACCTGCATGACCTGTGACTGTTCAAATCTACCTGGTTGTGTCCACCTACCCCAATGTTCTCTTCACTAGACACAAGGGCCAACACCTGCATGACCTCTGACTGTTCAAATCTACCTAGCTGTGTCTACCTACCCCAATGTTCCCTTCACTAGACACAAGGGCCAACACCTGCATGACCCCTGACTGTTCAAATCTACCTGGCTGTGTCCACGTACTCCAATGTTCCCTTCACTAGACACAAGGGCCAACACCTGCATGACCCCTGACTGTTCAAATCTACCTGGCTGTGTCCACCTACTCCAATGTTCCCTTCACTAGACACAGGGGCCAACACCTGCATGACCTGTGACTGTTCAAATCTACCTAGCTGTGTCCACCTACCCCAATGTTCCCTTCACTAGACACAAGGGCCAACACCTGCATGACCTCTGACTGTTCAAATCTACCTAGCTGTGTCCACCTACCCCACTGTTCCCTTCACTAGACACAAGGGCCAACACCTGCATGACCTCTGACTGTTCAAATCTACCTAGCTGTGTCTACCTACCCCAATGTTCCCTTCACTAGACACAAGGGCCAACACCTGCATGACCTCTGACTGTTCAAATCTACCTAGCTGTGTCCACCTACCCCAATGTTCCCTTCACTAGACACAAGGGCCAACACCTGCATGACCTCTGACTGTTCAAATCTACCTAGCTGTGTCCACCTACCTCAATGTTCCCCTCACTAGACACAAGGGCCAACACCTGCATGACCTCTGACTGTTCAAATCTACCTAGCTGTGTCCACCTACCCCAATGTTCCCTTCACTAGACACAAGGGCCAACACCTGCATGACCTCTGACTGTTCAAATCTACCTAGCTGTGTCCACCTACCTCAATGTTCCCCTCACTGGACACAAGGGCCCAATCTGCAAGTGCTTCTCTCTCGCTGTTGTCACGAGACATTCCACTTTATTATACCATCAATCTGAAAACATAAAGATTGAATACTGAGTGGATAATGTAGACTTATGTGGAAGTTTATGTAGAGATACATTCAAGTTTAACCATACCAAATCTTAGGAAGAAGGACATGGTTGATATAGCAGTCTCTTCTTATTGTGTCATCAACACAACAGAATGGTTAAACTAACGTTAATATGATTTATTTTTGAGGGCCTGGGTGTTTAACTTTATTGCATTTGCCCCATTTGCGATTGAATTGCACCATTCCAGTCCCTGATAGTGTCTTCAATGCACCTTTCAATCATGTTTCATTGTGCATATAGCACAAGTCCAAAATGATCCCTGCTCACATTACACAGCACCAACTCAATTAGAATAAGATCAGTTATGGTAGAACTCAAAATCTGTGAGTTTACTGCCAGCTTGTTGACAAAAATGTAACTCATATAACAAATATAGGACTGACTGACTGACTGAGTTTAGTTTTACGCCGCTTTTAGCAATATTCCAGCAATATCACGGCGGGGGACACCAGAAATGGGCTTAACACATTGTGCCCATGTGGGGAATCGAACCCCGGTCTTCGGCATGACGAGCCAACGCTTTAACCACTAGGCTACCCCACCGCCCCAACAAATATAGGAAATCTTATGAACACATGTGAATGTTGCTGAGTCTGCGGTTGCTTTGGACAGGTGCCTAATGAGTAATATTGACTCCACACATAATGTACAGGTTGTCCATATATAATCTTCATGATACAGTGTCGTACAAGGAACAAGTGTGGATAAACACTTATCAATTACTTCTTAGTCAGTCAAGAAAACAAACGGCATCACTTATCAGCATGATCAGCTGTCCATCGAAGCAATCTGATCCATGTGTGTGATTACCCTGATTTCCCTGAGACATGAATAGTTAGCATCACCATCAATATACCAGCAAACTATCATCATGATCATCACCTGCAGTCAATTTACTTCAATCATATACAATGATGAACAAACCCCCCTGCAACAAGAACTACTTTAACTTTATCCTGTTTGTTACATACCACTAAATACAGTCTCTAAATAGCAGCAGCACATTGGTGAAATCTGCAGTTGTGAGAAGCCTACCGTAATCCATTATTAATTAATCCAGGCCATGCAACCTGACCGTACCTAAATCACCTGACACAGAAAAACTATCACCTGGCGAAATATGCTTATGCTGACAAAGTCGATATTCATTCCAAGAATAAGAAGCTCTTGCAACCATTATGATGCATATCATTTGTCGTAACACCTCATCAACATCTTAATGAGAATCAAATGAAGTTACCTTTCTGATTGTTTCTGATCTTAAAAGTTATAGCACATATTTGCATGAACAATCACTGTAATTATTTCTGTGAAATAATGGTACATAATATTACAATATTCCATGTTTACAGGTATGTCTATCTGTACATAGATTAAAAATATTATATGATTTGTAGCAGAGATGTAGAAGTGCACTGTAAATCCTACAACTCTACATTTCCTATGTGACACATCTGTAGTATGTGTAGCAGGGACACACACCTTATCAATGCCTTATATATCTTATCTATATTTTCTATACTGGCAGCTATAAGCCCAAGTACAAGTACATATAAATTTTCACAGAAGGCAAGCACATATGTGACAATTATTGATTTGGCAAGACAAATTCATAACTAAATAGTCAGGGCTGTTCTGATTTATTACCAACATTTATATATACCAAATTCTTATCACAGTTTTACAGTGTTATATAATGACACTATTACTGTTACAGTAAATATGTCACTATATTACGAATATCTTAAAAGCCAAATCAAACAATGCCCTGATTGGATTAAACAAGAAACTGATTACGCTAATGAGGAGGAGATACAGTAACATCAGATTTGAAACACCCTGGTTACTTTTGAACTATATAATGATAAACACAACAAAGACAAACTCTGGAAAAATATTGATGTTGTGTTAAGCTTCCGTAGATGCCTACCAATCAAGTGGAGCTGCTATTGATCAGTGAGTGCTGGGTGTCAGGGGCAACCAAGATCAACCGTAGCCAATCTACAGGAGCACCTCAACACATCAGCTCATCTTCAAATCAACACCAGCAAGCTTATTCCAGTGAAGATTGTCTTTCTCTTTATTGAACATTCTCATAATGTTAATACTATGCCGAAGCTATTTATTCACACTAATATCATGTTATATATTTCACATCACTTTATAACTCTTATAATTATGGGCTCATAATCACTGATTATGCTCATTGTATTTATGGTAACCATATTTTCATAATTATATTTATGTTAATACATGTACCATTTGCTTTTCAGCAAATACATTTGACAAAGCAACTTTACAGATTAAAAATACAAAACATACTTAAGTGCATTCTTTAATAATGACAATGAACTGACCCAAGTTTAATACAAAGTGAAGGAATAGCATAAAAACACACACTGAGAAACGACAGGCTAAATCCTCCCCAGAGTGAAATGCTTCTGGGGTTACACTGGCTTTCACCCTGTCTAGAAGCATTTTTATTCGTATTACAGACTTTTCTGTCCGGCCCTTTCGTTTGATTACTGTGTCCACAAGTCAGGTCAACTTATGCCCTATTAGCATGATAAGTGAAAATTGGGTTAGAACTGGTCTTCATTAACCCATGCTTGTAGTAAGAGGCAACTTATAAACAGGATCAGGTAGTCAGGCTTGCTGACTTGGTTGATGCATGTCATTAAATCCCAAATACGTAGATCCATGTTCATGATAACAATCACTGAAATGTCTGGTGACACCTCAACCTGTGTGTCAGACATGCTGTAACATAGTCCACTGCTGACACCTCAACCTGTGTCAGACATGCTGTAACATAGTCCACTGGTGACAGTCTTCAAGTCCACTGGTGACACCTCAACCTGTGTCAGACATGCTGTAACATAGTCCACTGGTGACACCTCAACCTGTGTCAGACATGCTGTAACATAGTCCACTGGTGACACCTCAACCTGTGTCAGACATGCTGTAACATAGTCCACTGGTGACAGTCTTCAACCGGTGTCAGACATGCTGTAACATAGTCCACTGGTGACACCTCAACCTGTGTCAGACATGCTGTAATATAGTCCACTGGTGACACCTCAACCTGTGTCAGACATGCTGTAATATAGTCCACTGGTGACACAGACTCAACCTGTGTCAGACATGCTGTAACATAGTCCACTGGTGACACCTCAACCTGTGTCAGACATGCTGTAATATAGTCCACTGGTGACACCTCAACCTGTGTCAGACATGCTGTAATATAGTCCACTGGTGACACCTCAACCTGTGTCAGACATGCTGTAATATAGTCCACTGGTGACACCTCAACCTGTGTCAGACATGCTGTAATATAGTCCACTGGTGACACCTCAACCTGTGTCAGACATGCTGTAATATAGTCCACTGGTGACACCTCAACCTGTGTCAGACATGCTGTAATATAGTCCACTGGTGACACCTCAACCATGTGTCAGACATGCTGTAAATATAGTCCACTGGTGACACCTCAACCTGTGTCAGACATGCTGTAATATAGTCCACTGGTGACACCTCAACCTGTGTCAGACATGCTGTAATATAGTCCACTGGTGACACCTCAACCTGTGTCAGACATGCTGTAATATAGTCCACTGGTGACACCTCAACCTGTGTCAGACATGCATACCTGTGTCAACCAGACATGCTGTAATATAGTCCACTGGTGACACCTCAACCTGTGTCAGACATGCTGTAACATAGTCCACTGGTGACACCTCAACCTGTGTCAGACATGCTGTAATATAGTCCACTGGTGACACCTCAACCTGTGTCAGACATGCTGTAACATAGTCCACTGGTGACACCTCAACCTGTGTCAGACATGCTGTAATATAGTCCACTGGTGACACCTCAACCTGTGTCAGACATGCTGTAATATAGTCCACTGGTGACACCTCAACCTGTGTCAGACATGCTGTAATATAGTCCACTGCTGACACCTCAACCTGTGTCAGACATGCTGTAATATAGTCCACTGCTGACACCTCAACCTGTGTCAGACATGCTGTAACATAGTCCACTGGTGACAGTCTTCAACCGGTGTCAGACATGCTGTAACATAGTCCACTGGTGACACATCAACCTGTGTCAGACATGCTGTAATATAGTCCACTGGTGACACCTCAACCTGTGTCAGACATGCTGTAATATAGTCCACTGGTGACACATCAACCTGTGTCAGACATGCTGTAACATGCTGTAACCTATAGTCAGACACCTCAACCTGTGTCAGACATGCACATAGTGCTGACACCTCAACCTGTGTCAGACATGCTGTAATATAGTCCACTGGTGACACCTCAACCTGTGTCAGACATGCTGTAATATAGTCCACTGGTGACACCTCAACCTGTGTCAGACATGCTGTAATATAGTCCACTGGTGACACCTCAACCTGTGTCAGACATGCTGTAACATAGTCCACTGGTGACACCTCAACCTGTGTCAGACATGCTGTAACATAGTCCACTGGTGAAAGTCTTCAACCTGTGTCAGACATGCTGTAACATAGTCCACTGGTGACACCTCAACCTGTGTGACACGCTGTATTATAGTCCACTGGTGACACCTCAACCTGTGTCAGACATGCTGTAATATAGTCCACTGGTGACACCTCAACCTGTGTCAGACATGCTGTATTATAGTCCACTGGTGACACCTCAACCTGTGTCAGACATGCTGTAATATAGTCCACTGCTGACACCTCAACCTGTGTCAGACATGCTGTAACATAGTCCACTGGTGACACCTCAACCTGTGTCAGACATGCTGTAATATAGTCCACTGGTGACACCTCAACCTGTGTCAGACATGCTGTAACATAGTCCACTGGTGACACCTCAACCTGTGTCACACATGCTGTAATATAGTCCACTGGTGACACCTCAACCTGTGTCAGACATGCTGTAACATAGTCCACTGGTGACACCTCAACCTGTGTCAGACATGCTGTAATATAGTCCACTGCTGACACCTCAACCTGTGTCAGACATGCTGTAACATAGTCCACTGGTGACAGTCTTCAACCGGTGTCAGACATGCTGTAACATAGTCCACTGGTGACACATCAACCTGTGTCAGACATGCTGTAATATAGTCCACTGGTGACACCTCAACCTGTGTCAGACATGCTGTAATATAGTCCACTGGTGACACATCAACCTGTGTCAGACATGCTGTAATATAGTCCACTGCTGACACCTCAACCGGTGTCAGACATGCTGTAACATAGTCCACTGGTGACACCTCAACCTGTGTCAGACATGCTGTAATATAGTCCACTGCTGACACCTCAACCTGTGTCAGACATGCTGTAACATAGTCCACTGGTGACACCTCAACCTGTGTCAGACATGCTGTAACATAGTCCACTGGTGAAAGTCTTCAACCGGTGTCAGACATGCTGTAACATAGTCCACTGGTGACACCTCAGTCTGTGTGACACGCTGTATTATAGTCCACTGGTGACACCTCAACCTGTGTCAGACATGCTGTAATATAGTCCACTGGTGACACCTCAACCTGTGTCAGACATGCTGTATTATAGTCCACTGGTGACACCTCAACCTGTGTCAGACATGCTGTAATATAGTCCACTGCTGACACCTCAACCTGTGTCAGACATGCTGTAACATAGTCCACTGGTGACACCTCAACCTGTGTCAGACATGCTGTAATATAGTCCACTGGTGACACCTCAACCTGTGTCAGACATGCTGTAACATAGTCCACTGGTGACACCTCAACCTGTGTCACACATGCTGTAATATAGTCCACTGGTGACACCTCAACCTGCGTCAGACATGCTGTAACATAGTCCACTGGTGACACCTCAACCTGTGTCAGACATGCTGTAATATAGTCCACTGCTGACACCTCAACCTGTGTCAGACATGCTGTAACATAGTCCACTGGTGACAGTCTTCAACTGGTGTCAGACATGCTGTAACATAGTCCACTGGTGACACATCAACCTGTGTCAGACATGCTGTAATATAGTCCACTGGTGACACCTCAACCTGTGTCAGACATGCTGTAACATAGTGCACTGGTGACACCTCAACCTGTGTCAGACATGCTGTAACATAGTCCACTGCTGACACCTCAACCTGTGTCAGACATGCTGTAACATAGTCCACTGGTGACAGTCTTCAACCGGTGTCAGACATGCTGTAACATAGTCCACTGGTGACACCTCAACCTGTGTCAGACATGCTGTAACATAGTCCACTGGTGACACCTCAACCTGTGTCAGACATGCTGTAATATAGTCCACTGCTGACACCTCAACCTGTGTCAGACATGCTGTAACATAGTCCACTGGTGACACCTCAACCTGTGTCAGACATGCTGTAACATAGTCCACTGGTGACACCTCAACCTGTGTCAGACATGCTGTAACATAGTCCACTGGTGACACCTCAACCTGTGTCAGACATGCTGTAATATAGTCCACTGGTGACACCTCAACCTGTGTCAGACATGCTGTAACATAGTCCACTGGTGACACCTCAACCTGTGTCAGACATGCTGTAACATAGTCTACTGGTGACAGTCTTCAACCGGTGTCAGACATGCTGTAACATAGTCCACTGGTGACACCTCAACCTGTGTCAGACATGCTGTAATATAGTCCACTGGTGACACCTCAATCTGTGTGACAAGCTGTAATACAGTCCACTGGCCAACTAATAGGAGTTACCAAACAAGTTCTTTGTTTAAATTGTAATTGTTTCAGTGAAGGCGAAAGATGTGTGACACTTAAAGTATCTCTCTCCTGGTTATGTTGAGTGTGACTGTGGGGTGTCACAGCTCCATGTTTGAACAGAATAAAGTGTTTCGAGGACACCACATGGGGGATCTGTATCATCAAGTCCCTGGAGACCATGATAAACTCATGTCGCGGGTGTGACATTTAGCACTGACGACACTGCACTATGTCGATTCAGGAAGTATTCAGGCACACGAGTCATGCTTTGCTACTACATGTGGTAAACTCCACCCAACAATGAGGAATGACAGCATTGCAATCCAGACACTGACATATAATATATACATGTGATAAAGTGGATAAAACACTAACAATACAAATACAAGGCAAGCACCTAAGAAAACATTTGAGCAATAAAAAGTCTTGTTTATTCAAATTCTGACAAAATTGCCTATACTAAGGGATTGAGAGTGTAATTACATACGTTTATGTTCATAAAAGAGACATAATGACAAGATGAAACAGTTGAACTGCCATAGGGCTGGTCACATCCAAGTCTGTTACTCCCAGCTGGTTTAGACTAGAGGGGAGATTCAGCCAACACCTGAATGACCACACACATGGCCACCAGGAATAGGCTTGTCTCATTAGTCTGTTGCCTCAAGATAACTCATGCACAGGCTGTTCCCACAGGCCATGACGAACATGTTCCCAGCCAAGCCCAGTTTGATTCCTGTATTTGTAGCAATCTGTCATTAGCATAGCTAAAAGTAGCTTCACCTGTATCAAAGAATCCTCATCCCCAGAATTACTGAGCATGTTGAAAGACAGAAAAAGAACACATGTGTCAAATAAGATGCCAACTCTCATACTTAACAACATGCTCAAAGCAAATGATCTATTGGTACACAAAGTATCTACTGGCCACCTACCAGAATCTTAATGTTTTTCACACTATTTCTGCAATACTTCTAAAAGAATATGTCATGTGTATTGCAGTTTCGACTATGATCAGCAACAATATGTGTAAGGTAACCATTCAAACCTCTTTAGTTACACAAATTACATGTGACGTCCTATATTCTCTGGGACCATAAGTGACCTGATTCACATATGTTAATGACTATCAGTTTGTTGTCTGTCAGTATAAGCAAGTCAAGACATAACCAGATCACATACATGTACATAATTTCCCCTTGCAATACCCTCTGTATTGACAGAGTGTCATACAAAAGATGTAACATATATAGAGAATCTCACCCAAGTGTCTTCTGATATCAATTATATCAACATCATGATAAAGTTACAAATATCCGAGGCTTGCCGAGGATATTTTTACTTTTATCAACGAGTGTTGATATATTTGATATCAGAAGACACGAGGGTGAGATTCTATTTATCATCCAAAATCACTCTTCATTAATTTTCAATGAAAAATGTACATGTCTGAACATGGTACTGCCATTAGACTTGCAGTGCATCGATGTCATAGTATTGTGACGTCATCAAGTACATGACGTCATAGCATTGTCACGGCATTGTACAAAATCTACTGTCAAAACGATATCTCCTAGGAGATATCGTTTGATCTCACACAAGCGATATCTCCTGTGGAACACAGTTTTGGATGATAAATCTACTGCTCCTCTGTGTAAATGTAATGAATTGACGGTACTGTTGGTATCATATGCAGCTGATGCCAAAGAGTTAAAAACAATAGGTTGAAAACAGAACATGACAACACAAGCAAGAAGTATGAATATTTGAACAGAAAGGATGACATATTTGACATTGAGAATATTACTGGTAAATTAATTGTGCCTGTTCAAGTGCTCATTCCAGGTTGGTGCAGGAGAGGAAATTGACATCTTGCCATATTTCTTCCTCAATGAGAATAACCTTCAAGTAATTGACAAGTTTAAAGAAACAGGTCACTGGTCAAGAATTGATGTGGATAGCTACCCCGCTTGAACTGATAGAACAATTCTTGCCATCTTTGTGTTGTATATAATATCTAGTAACATAACAAAAACAGATATAACTGTTCAAGAAACAACACATTTCTGCTAAACAAAGCTGCATGTGCAACAGCTTGCGTTGGTTGCCCTCAATCACGAACCAACTCGTGCGTTCAATCGAGGAATGTTGTATTATTCATAGTAACGAGTTCACACAAGAACAACACACACTGTGACTCAGGTGAATGTAGTTCTTGTTCTAATTTAACGTGTAACTGTAAGTGAATTTCGGATTGACAATGTCACAGTGCTATGAACCATGTACTCTGGGTAATGGCTATGATGACAGTATTTAGTTTGTTCCAAGGTTACACAGCTGCATCTAACTGCGACGGTAGATAGCGCATTATGGACTGTATACACAAAACATTGAAAGCAAAGTGACATTGACTTAGGCAGTCACAGTATATGCATAGTGCCACGACAGTACACAAAGCCTTGTCACCAGGTAGTTAGAACAATGAACGGCGCCAATGAAAACTGAACAAGATTTTGATTTACCTTATTCAGTCGGTTGGTAACAAGGCAGTTCCCTTGACAAAATAAGACTGACAGCTAGCCTAGATCAAAACAACAACATTCGCTCCAGAGCTAATTTATAAGTTAGTTTCGCATCCGCTTCGTCACACCAATTTATCTTGCTGTGAATATTTTAGCAGAAATTTAAATGCATAGATATATAACAGTTCCTAAAATGTTGCAAACCTCCATATTTTAATATTATGTGACGAAGTTAATACGAAACTTGTGACCAACTTAAAGTCTCAATCCATTCGTGAATCACTTCTATCTTTATCAACCAATCACGTGCCTTGACGAAACCAATCACAGATGAACCCATCAGCGGTCTTAAGTGAAGTAGCACAAGTTTCTGATGTAATAAATGAGAAGTACACGTGTTCACTCTACATCAACTATCGTCATAAGATTTACACTTCCGTTGGATAAGAAAATATGTAAATTAGACGACTATAAAAGTCATCCATTTTTTCTACAATATTATAAATGAGCAACTGACGCCAAATTTTACACTCGCCAATAGGCTACACATGGAACAGCTGCGCAAAATGTGACACTGTGCAGATTACAATGATATTAATGATGAAATAATATGGAAGTATACAGACAGATGAAATCAACAGATGACAACGAAAGGGTTGTGTGGAAATATTGTGACAAGAGTAGAATCATGTTATCAATGACGGAAACATAAAACTAGCCTTGGCCTACTACATAAATCGTTTTTATCTTTATTATAAAGTGCCATTTTGGCTTGGCATTCAGAAGGTGATTTCCACAGAAGAAATCGTTGCCGTTTTTAGCCTGCATTCCAGATAATGAACACCATTCCATGATTCAACGTATGTACTAATATGTTTTCATATATTGGTGAGAGCAAATCCCGATCAATGCCTTTCATGATTCTCATCGGAGTCAGATTTGTTTCTAATATCATTATGCATTACTGTCAGTATTTGTTGGTATACTTTGCGGCGACTCGCTCTTTTAGATTCATGTATGTGATTTTGTACTCTCTGTCATATCACAGCATAACAGTGAGGATCCGGACTAGAAGTGATCTTCAGTAACTCATGCTTGTCGCAAAAGGCGACTAACGGGATCGGGTGGTCAGGCTCGCTACATGGTTGACACATGTCATTGTATCCCAATTGCGTAGATCGATGTTCATGATGTTGATCACTTGGTTGTCTGGTCCAGACCCGATTATTTAGAGACTGCCACCATAGCTGGAATATTGCTGAGTGCACACCACAGCATGTCCAATACTCGCAACTCACATGAGGGGTTTATACATGACTATGGAAGTCTTGATTCGTGGGGATAAATCATTTGGATAAGAGTGAGCAAGTGCTTTACGCCGGCTTTAGCAATATTCCAGCAATATCACGGGGGGGAAGCGCAAATTAAAGAAACGGGCTCCATACATTATATACCCATGTGGGGAATCGAATCCCCGGGCCTTCGGCGTGACGAGCGCAGGCTTTGACCACTAGGCTGCCCCACTGCCCATTTGGATAAGAAGTGATATCAATAGTACTGTCGAATCTTTACGCCTATGTACGTTTGGTATAGAGACAATGACTGGGCAACGCAATTGTTTCAGTAAAACAGATGACAGAATAAACACTCTTTTGTTTGGATTTTCCTTAAAGGTCACATAAACCCTAGGGGGGTACAAATACATAAATCACTAACTGGCATCGTTATAAATGAAACCCCGTCATTAAAACTACTCATTTCGACCTTTAATTGACTTAAATCGACCTTTTTGACAACAGTGCACAATTCTCACCCGCGAACGAAATTTCAACCAATCAGAGCGGCGCGTCTCTGTGACGTCATATGAGGAATAGCTTTGAGGGCCGATGCAGAATTCATCAACATTTTAGGGGGTAAATTATCTTGTTTACAGGCTTGTATAAACCTGAAATCGTGACAATTGTTGTGGAAAGTGAAAGCTATATGTTCTCACAATCTACTGTCATTTAATTTTGTCTCCTGCTTTGCCTAGTTTCCGAGTTACAACTTGTTTTCATAGACGATTCTGTCAAAATCGATTGGTGTCGTTAGGCCCTATTTGTATAATGACTGATCTAAATTGATCCCATTTCTGTGTTTTTACCTCGATATTTAATCATGTCATGTAAACATCTGTTTGTCTGCGTAAAAACAACGTGAGTAGTTATGTATGTGTCGCTATCCGGTAATTTTGAATGGGGAATCCTATGTTAAATTTTTCGATAAAAAGAGGTACCCCAATTAGCGAGCTCTGCCGCGGCGAGCGACAGTCGCCCACTAATTAAACACCTCGCCGCGTAGGGTAAACACCAGTCCCGGGAAGCTAGCGAGAAAAGTACACAGACATCGAGTCGAAAGTAAACAATATACGTACTCGCGAGAACCATAAAACATACAGACATACAAACACCGAACTCATTGTATATTTCGCGATGGATACGAAACAATATCAGTGGGTTATTGTCGCCAAGCCACCACAACGGTATAGAGCGCATTTCGACGACGAAGTCGTGTTGGGATGTAGTCAACGTTGGTATTATTCAAAAGGAGAGTGTGTGCGCCATCTGGAAGAGAAGCTGCGATATCGACCCGTGGACATTCCGGACTCATGGGGAAGCCCGTGCACATTTATATATTCTCGGACAGCGTACAATCACCGTAGTCCTTACATCATAGCGGACAGGAAATGAACTTACCAACAGAAGTGGACGAAATAGACTCTGAGAGAGTAACGGCATATTTGGAATACTATCTATCGTGCGCCTATGCCTTAGTGGTATGGAAATTCATAAAAAAGTATGAGAGGGAGACAGAGCACGATTTCGATACATTTTTTCTTACGTCTATGAAAGCGATTGACGAAGACGCGGTTATTCTGAAGTGGCGTCAGTACGTGGATGGTGATCCGTATCTACGAGTCATCTCTCCATTATATTTTCTGAAATATCAATGTAGAGACTACCGAGACACCAGTATCAAAACCGACCAGTGGATGAACCATATCAAACGCACGGTTAAACGTTGGTGTGTGAAAGTATAATCATGCAGGTTGATTATCATCAGGAATACTACGATCCCAGGAAACCAGGCGCTTTCGCGGGTGAACAAAAATTTTATGCCGCTCTGAAGCATCGTAACCCTAATGTCTCTTCTCATAGCGTACGAAGATGGATGAGAACGCAAGACGCCTACAACCTACATCGTTTACCAAAGAAACGATTTTCAAGAAATAAAGTCATCGTGGGAGGAATGTACGTACAAGCAGACGGAGACTTATGCGACGTTTCTAGGTTAGCGCAAGGCAACGATGGAATTAAATATATTCTCACCGTAATCGACTGCTTTTCGAGGTATGTCTGGGTCCGACCTATGGTAAATAAAGAATCAAACACGACTGCCAAAGCGATGAGGGAACTATTGTCATCCATGGAGAAACCGCCATACAGTCTAAGAACGGACAAAGGAAAGGAATTTAATAATCAAACACTGCGACGGATTTACACTCCATTTAACGTCAAACATTTTGTTACGCAAAACTCAGACATTAAAGCGAACTACGCCGAACGTTTCATTCGTACTTTGAGATCTATGATGTATAGATTCCTCACGTACAAGCATACCCATAGGTACATCGACGTATTACAAGACCTTGTTTATAATTACAACCATCGCCCGCACAGGAGCCTGAGAGGAAGAGCACCCGTGGAAGTGAAACCATCAAACGAAGCTAGCATATGGTTGGATATATACGCGGACAAAGCGAATATCAAACCTCTACGAAACAGCAACTTTGCATTTAAAGTAGGAGACCACGTCAGAGCATCATTGGTCAAGAGAACGTTCGAGAAGGAATACGAACAGAAATGGTCGGAAGAAGTGTTTAGGATACGTCAGCGACAACTCAGAGACAATATACACGTATATTGGATAGAAGACCTTCAATCCGATCCCATTAAAGGATCCTTTTATCAAAACGAGTTGCAGAAATATCCTCACGATCCCAACGAAGTGAATTGGCGTGTTGAACAAATACTCAAAACGAAATACGTCGGTAAGAAAGGAAGTAAGAAAAGGACCAAACGTGTTTTAGTGAAGTGGTTGGGATATCCAAAGAAATTCAATTCATGGATCGACGCTGACCAAATCAAGAACGTACACGTATTGAAAGAATGACGTCAACAACGGAATGGATTGTGACTAAGAGCGACGATAGCGTCGAGTATTTTCCTGAAAATAAACCTTATAAATTTTCAGTGCACCTGAAACAACCACTCAGACTGAACGGACATTGGACCATATCACTACGAGAAGTATACGCCAGAAGGAAGAACGCCAATAAGAAAAGAGATGTTTTGAATGGAATGTTGTATATATTCTGTTCCATTTGCGAACCGATCATAGTACACGGTCAACGTCAACCTCTGTTGAGACGAGTGCAACAGTCAACAGCATCGACGTGGAAGGCTACGTTCTCCGATCCCTACGACATCGGCGTGAGAGTGATTAACGATACCGTGGAGCGGTTGGATGTTTATATAACGGACGCCTGGGGCAATCCAGCCACTTTTCTGACGGACATTTCGTCTATCACTCTGCAGTTGAGACCATATCCTTTAACATTTTAGTGTTATGGATGTCGACGACGCACTACCAAACGCAGCAGACAGGATGTATGTTCCGAATGCAAACACGTGGAAGAAATATTACGGCGATGTAGCGCACGGGAAAATAAACCCTATTTTCACCAAAACAATAACTCCAGAAACAATGTCACGACTATGTCACCAGTATCCGCATCAAATCCGATGATCATCAACTCACCATGTGACATGTCATCTCTCCCGAAGGCGCGTGTCGAACGAGTGGTAGACGTCGCAAGGGATATAAACCTCGTGAGTCCGGTAGAACAGGCAGTAGAACAAGCCAAGTCGGAGATCGAACACAACCCAGACATCGTCTCCAAGGTAGCTATAAACGAAGGTATGATGATTAAAATAAGAGGTCGCAAGCACGGAGGAGGCAGTTGGAAGAAGACCCTTACGAAAGGCGGACGTACGAACAAAATCCGCGCAAGAAGAAACGAAGAAAGCTCCGAGCAGAAAAACGGGAAGACGAGGAAAATATCCACATACGGGAAAAAAGCGAAAACAGGGAAATCGCTCTCATACAGAGATATATTTAGCTAATTATGTCTACCATATTCTCTTCAGAGTCCGGATTTTTCAGCGAAACCCAACCACCAGAACTGGATCTATTTAGTCTACCCCGACGCAAACGGCAGTAGAAAGGACGTATCTACAAGACTGTCGCCCTATTTCTCCCCTGTCCGGATCAGCTCCTATCGAATTTCACATTAGCGGACAAAACAGTCTAGATTACATAGATCTCAGGCGCTCGTCCTTGTACGTCAAATGTCACGTGACCAAAGCAGACGGGACCAACCTGACCCTCGGGGACGAATGCTCTCCGGTCAATCTTTTTCTGCACTCACTATTCTCTCAAGTGGACGTCTGGCTACAGGGACGCCTCATCAATTCCACAAACAATCATTATCCGTACAAAGCTATCATTAAAACGTTGTTAAATACAAACGAAGTCGACGCCAATTCAAGCTGACATCGCAACTATTCGTCAAGGACACGGCAGAAAGCATGGACGTTACAAAGCCAAACTCGACTAACAGAGGAATGTTCGAAAGACACAAGCTTATATCGGAGAGTAAGAGTTTCGACATGGAAGGTCCTATTATGCACGATCTCTTTCAGCTGAGACGCTACATCATGAACCAGATCGACGTGCAAGTGAAACTATACAGATCCCCTCCGAGCTTTCTCTTGATGGCCACCAAACCGGATGAAAATTACACGGTACACATAGACGACATCGTCCTTCGCATCATGAGAGTCGAGGTGAACCCCGGCGTCATATACGGACACAACACCGCTCTTTCTACGACAACGGCTAAGTATTTTTACCCTCGCACGGAAGTGAAAATGATGTCCATACCCAGAGGTCAAGTGGCGTTCACGTACGATAATATCTTTCAAGGCGTGCGACCCAATAAGGTGGTCGTAGGCTTCGTACCTTCCAACGCAGTAGCTGGAGATTATAGTCGAAATCCCTTCAACTTCGCCAACTACGATCTATCTCAGATAGCGCTCTACTGCGACGGTCGAAACGTCGGAGAATCGGGACCTATGAAACTTCAATTCGACAAAACGCGAGGTCAAAACATGATGATGGCATTCGCTAATCTCTTCCGGTTCAACGGGTGTTGGACGGCTGACGGAGGAGGTATCGATTCACAAAGCAGCGTCTATCTAGATAGGACGGATTTCGACGGGGGGATACGCCCTATACGTCTTCCCATTGGAACCCGTCTTCGGACGAAGCCACGAACAATCCTATCTAAATCTACAAAAACAAGGCAACCTCCGCCTGGAAGCTCAATTCGCGACTGCTCTTCCGGAAACGGTCACGTGTATCGTGTACGCGGAATTCGGGGGTGGATTTCAGGTCGATAAAACCAGGAATGTCATAGTGCGATAGAGAGAATGAACAGACAGAAGGAATGTTATGTATACCGATATATACCGAGGCATTAGCTGTATTGTCTCACTACTGTGTCTACCATTAAACCGTGTGCAGCAACGACGATATGACGAGTACCGCGCGAGACAGAGGCGTCGTACGCGGTACTACAGATGATGACGTTGAAGTGACGTCGACGACCTTACCTCTACTCGCCCCGACCACTATTTTCATTAGCGGTGCTACGCAAGCGGGGAAGTCAACCTTCACCAAGAGATTGATAGAAAATGTTGACGCCATGTTCGAAAGAAAAGTAACGAAAATACTCTATTGTTATTCCGTGTGGCAAGATATCTACGACTCATTGGAAAGAAATGCCCGAGAAAATGCACATCATCCGCTCTTAGAATTCCACAAAGGATTACCATGCGAAGAGAGTGTAAATGAATGGGCGAATTCTACTGAACACAAACTAATGATAGCCGACGATCTGATCGACCAAGCATCACGTGACCCGACAATGTGTAAAGTCTATACGACTCTCGGGCACCATAAAGACATAACGGTGTGTCTTCTCAGCCAAACACTCTCCCTCCGTCGCGTATGGAAAGTACGCCAGGACCATATCTTTAAATTCTCATTACATCGTACTATTTAAAATAGACGCGATACCTCTCAAATATCAACGATTGGACGACAGATCCTACCCGGGAAGGTGAAGTTTTTTCTGGATGCGTATGAAAAGGCAACGAGTAAACCGTTTGGGTATTTGATCATAGATCTGTCACCGAGAGGCGACCCGCGCTACCAGCTCAGAACCAACATATTCCCGGGTGAGGTGTTGACGGTATACGAAGCGTCCTGATAATCACCATGTCCCATCCGTTATCATCGGCGAGCGCGTTTCTGCATTTTATCAAAGATGCGCCGACGGACAGACAGCGGAAGTCGATACTGAACCTGATGACCAATGAGCAAATGGACGTACTGAGCGAAGTGTGTGTAAACATCTTATGCGGAAACATCCCAATTCCGCCCTATCTTAAGGAGAAGCTCAGACGCAAGAAAAGTCAGTTGAGAAAGATCGCCGACAGGAGAATAGGACGCTCTACCACCAAACGCCTCCTGTTACAAATCAGACATTTGTTGCCATTAATAATTAGTCTATTGAAGCTTAGATCCGAATCTGCACTCGAAGACGACGCATCAGAACAAGACGGGCACTATGGCACAGGAGATGGTTCTGATTCCGAAGGAGAAATATGAACGAAGCGCTCAACGAGCGATGCGTCCATCTGCATGAGGAAAGAGCGAAAGATAACAACGTACGAGTGGATGACAATGACAACTCAACGCCATCAAGTCATTACGACGAGACTACAACGGAACAACAGCAAACTGGGAAAAAACGCAAACTCCCCGCATGTCAATCGACTATGTATTACCACCCAAAAGCGAAAAGAATGAAGACTCATAGCACCAGCTACCCCAATAGCGTTGGTCATCAACACTGGATACGATATTGAAGGAATACTACACCACGAGCCGAACGGATACATTTTATCAGTGACTATCCTCGCATGTATCACGAATCGACTGTGCTAATACAGTTTGTAAATAGCTCCGTGTACAATCGTAGCGCTACTTCTCTATTTGTGTATATGAGTGGTGTACATAACTTACTATATATTCTGTTTGACCTAACTATGTATCCGTATTTAAGACGTGTATACTTCTCTTTTCCATTGATTGTATACTACTAATGAACAATATCAAGTATCACGAATCCACTGTACGAATAGTGTTTGTAAATAGGACGATGTGAAATCGTGGCGTTACTTCTCTATTTGTATATGTACATAGTGGTATACATATTCTGTTTGAGGTATCCATGTATCCGTAGTTAAGACGTATAGATAGATAAAATAAAACTCATAAACACAAAAGTACATAATAGTTGTATTTTATTTATATAGATATATAGATATACACCAACACCAAGGATATATGTATAAATATATATGAATCCACATTTCTGACCAGACCAACACGTGAGATTACAGATCAACATTATCTGGAAACGGGTTTCAAAGTCAAACATAACGGTCGAGTCGTCACTCCGTCAGACATCACCATTCGTTTCGCGTAGAAATACGACAGTCCCGAGCGCCTTTGCTGATATGTATACATGGTATTATTTCTACTTCTGAAACCGGTATTGACAATCGATCTCGACATTCCATCGCGCAACACGGACCGATAGAGATTCATTAGGTCGTGAACCTTTCTCTTGTTCAACAACGGTAGAACGGTTTCCTGGACACGAGCAGTTGAGCCGCCTCTCTCACGTCGTGATCTGATTTGTGTCGCTTCACTACCACGCTGTACGTGGGTTTGATGTCCCCGATCTTCTCAAACAGCTGTAAATAAAGAAACATAATAATTAAAAAAAAAAAAAAATTTGTGCAATCATCCAATGTTCCTTTAACACGTGCCTAAGAGATAATTGCTCTGATAGAAATGAACAATTGCTGCGAGCGAGCGTTTGTGTTTCATATACCGTTAAATAAGCTAATATATATATATATATATATATATATATATATATATATATAATACATCTTAAGTTCTCCCCTACCCATGCCCGCGCGTGCACACACACGCACGCATCACACACACACACACACACACACACACACACACACACACACACACACACACACACACACACACACACACACACACACACACACACATTAAATGGAGAGAAAAGTTAATATATAATTGTTACGTCCTTACCCTTTCTCGCAACATTTTCCGGGAAGCCCGGGTTTCTCGAGCGTTTGTGACTATAACCGCAAAACTATTGTCTCTCTAATGTTCACGCCAACCACGCTCTCCCCGTGCGCGCGCGCACGCACACACACACACACACACACACACACACGACACATCGTGGAAACATAGTGAAAATAGTGACATTTCATATACCGTTAAATAAAGCTACAATATAATTAACACATCTTAAGTTTTCCCCCTACGCATGCCCACGCGCGCACGTGCACACACACACACACACGCGCACACACACACACACACACACACACACACACGATCCAATGTTTCTTTAACACGTGCCTAAGAGATAATTGCTCTGATAAAAATGAAAAATTGCTGCAAGCGAGCGTTTGTGTTTCATATACCGTTAAATAAAGCTAATATATAATACATCTTAAGTTTTTCCCCTACCCATGCCCGCGCGTGCACACACACGCACGCATTTCACGCACGCATTACACACACACACACACACACGCACACACACACACACACACACACACACACACACACACACACACACACACGCATTAAATGGAGAGAAAAGTTAATATATAATTGTTACGTCTTAAGTTGTCCTTAACATAGGAAAATAGTGACATTTCATATACCGTTAAATAAAGCTACAATATAATTAATACATCTTAAGTTTTCCCCTTACGCATGCCCATGCGCGCGCGCGCGCGCACGCACGCACGCACGCACACACACACACACACACACGATCCAATGTTCCTTTAACACGTGCCTCGCGCGGATTAAATGTAGAGAAAAGTTCACACACACACACATATTGTTACATGTTAAGTTGTATCTACCTTTCTCGCGACTTTTTCCGGGAAGCGCAGGTTTCTCGATGATGCAAATGTATATTTTTGGATGTAGATGATACCTCCATCGATCTTGATTGAAATCTTTCTGGAGATAGTGTCCTTTAAAGTGACATAGGGCACGTTTGGGTTGCCGAACTCGTCGTAGTCATCGTCGCTGTCATCGCTTAACAGGATAACATCGCTTTCGGTTTCGCTGGTAGCGTCATCGTCGAGGTCTGTTCTCTGTTTTTGAGTAAGATTACTCAGCGCGTAGACATCGTCATCATCATCATCATCGTCATCACAGATCACGATATCAGTATCTTGTGAGGAGCATTCGGGTTCGTTCTTCCAGCTCACCGCTGGTCGCTTTTTCGTTTTCTTCGAAGAAGAACTCGATTCAGCTACTTGGGGTGCCTTACGTTTCAAGTTCTACAGTTTGGTTGTTCTGTTCATACTATAAGACCGCGTGTATGTCTAATTAATTAACAGCGGTCGCATTAAAATACTTTTAGCTACGTGTCTATATCGGACGTCTGTGTACTTTTCTCGCTAGCTTCCCGGGACAGGTGTTTACCCTACGCGGCGAGGTGTTTAATTAGTGGGCGACGGTCGCTCGCCGCGGCAGAGCTCGCTAATTGGGGTACCTCTTTTTATCGAAAAATTTAACAAAGGAATCCGCATTCAAAATTACCGGATAGCGACACATACATAACTACTAACGTGCTCCGTTCAAAGGATTAACCGGCAATACATTGATTGATTGCCCATTATTGGCTAACAAAATTACTGTTTTTTAAAGAAAGGCGGACATTATGCAATTAGTTACCAGGTGTGCTATCTTGGGTGACCAATGAGACTATACACCAATACCTGAAAAGATTGATCACTTTTTCGTATATTAAACTGTTAAAAGACACATCATTTGGAACAGTTTTGTGGATATTGATGGATACATTCCTCGAACAAGGTAATGGCCTGATATTGTTCCTATAACTTTAATCTGTTTTAATTTTAATATTTGCATTTTGTTTTTATTCATTTGTCGTAGCATTCAACAGAATCATTGTTTTCGCCGTGAAGTGTAATGGGACAGACAACATACACTAGGGTGTGTGTGCGGATTATGATTCACATTGGCAAACTATAAAATGTCTAGCTATTACAGTTCTGTTATAAATTCACTATAAGTATCAGCAGATCGTCTGCTTTTTATTTAGTTTCAAAATGCATACAAGTATGATCACAAACTAATTAGGATTATAAGACCAAATATAAAGACGCACATTGACTAGTATCTACATACTGGTGAGTGGACATTAACCATGTGAATGTAGCAAGAAATTTATCGCGCAGTATTGTAACTTCGACCCCCACCTCGCTTCCGTGGAAGAAATCGTTATGTTATAAGTTGTGTCATGCAAAATCCGTTTGGTTATGATTCCAATACATATTTAACTACGAGTAGAAAGTAGTTTTGATTTTCTAACTTGATGAAAACAAACTATAATCTCATTAATTCTAACAGACTTTACGATTTTCAAAAAATGGCGGCGCCCTGTCGGGAACATCCGCCAGTCTGAGGATAAATGCTATTTAGATTTGTTTTCACCGAGTTACAAAATCAAAACTACTTTCTACTGGTAGTAAAATATTTATTTTATTGATGGCCAATAGGATTTTGCATGACATAGCGTATAACATAACAATTTCTCTCCTGGCAGCGAGGTGGGTGTCAATATAATACTACATACAATATTATTGTTACTTCGACCACAACCTCACTTCCGAGGAAGAAATCGTTATGTTACAAGTTGTGTCATGGAAAATCTTTATGGTCATCAATCATATACATATTTTACTACAACTAGTAAGTAGTTTTGATTCTTTAACTTCCGTGAAGCGATCTGAACACAAGTAAGATATCGTTTCAGGCTTCCACAACGCTCGCTTCGCACTCACAAACATAACCCATTTAGCACGAACTGCGGGGTCCTGTGGGAATCTGTGCATGGTGACACCATCGCCCGACCCCCTAGGAGCAATTGACGACAAAGCAACGATTCGACATGTCGTCGTTGATGTCGAGAAATCATCAAAATGATGAGCATGTTACACACTTTCTATACAACTAACTGAAAATCGTTCCTCATATGACGTCACTGCAGTGCTCTGGCGACAGAGTTACGTAACCTGTCTGTGGTTTCGTTGGCGGGCGAGAGAGAAGCAGGCGACTTTTGGCCACTTTTAATCGCTCGGTATTAATTAACCACAAGTTTTTAAAGAATAAATTTGGTGTTCCGCATAAGACTAACCACAAATCTTTCATATGTAATAGTTAAAAGAGTAACAAAAAACAAAGTTTAGTGGTTCTTTAACTGTTAAAGGATGATGATGCTGAAAGTCACCGACCCTGTGTCCCCGTTGAACTGATTACACCATTGGGAATGAACTAATAATATTGTTCACACTGTTATCATAGTATTTGACTTTACAACTTGTTTGTGTGATCAATTATACACATACAATCAAATTCATCAAAATGCGTTCTTGTGGGCGTGGCTATCATGTTCTCTCTCCATTCAGCTTGAGGGCCTGGATACGAGTTATTACCTTCCGTCCCTTAAGTAGACTATTTGTTCATATCTTTTCCCTTAGAGGGAAATCATTGGCTTCATCGGCAGCAAACGGAAGAGAGCACAACCATTGATTCGTGATGACCTGTAATGTCCCCGAGTGCACCTATGGCTAAGTCTATATGCAAACAACTGCTTAAATAATGAGATGAGACGTTTAATTTTAACTCACCCACTCTTCGCTCAAGCAGATTTAACAGAAAGTTCTGTGCATGTATGGCTAGAAACAATTATTGTCAATTCTTGAAACAGACAACACCAACCTATCGAACACGATGTCGACAGAGTCAAGTATTCGTGCAATCTTTCAAAGAATTCCATTTGTTAAAGACAGTTGTTTTCGACACACGGACATGCCTTTAATACAGCGACAACTATGAGAAGTCGAAAGTCAACCAGATCAACCCCAAGAAAGGCCAATCAACTTCATAAAGGTCATGAACTTCAGGTTATAACACAAAGGACGTGTTTATTGTATGCACGGTATGTACCCATCTGATGTCACCGTCACAAGGGACCATGTGTTAACCTCAAACCTCACTGACAGGAACATGGATTTATTGCCCCGTCTCATGGAAGTGTACTGATCATGTAGTGGTACTGCTGAAGCTAGAGAACTGATCATGTAGTGGTACAGCTGAAGCTAGTGTACTGATCATGTAGTGGTACAGCTGAAGCTAGTGTACTGATCATGTAGTGGTACAGCTGAAGCTAGAGAACTGATCATTTAGTGGTACAGCTGAAGCTAGTGAACTGATCATGTAGTGGTACTGTTGAAGCTAGAGAACTGATCATGTAGTGGTACAGCTGAAGCTAGAGAACTGATCATGTAGTGGTACTGTTGAAGCTAGAGAACTGATCATGTAGTGGTACAGCTGAAGCTAGTGTACTGATCATGTAGTGGTACAGCTGAAGCTAGAGAACTGATCATGTAGTGGTACAGCTGAAGCTAGAGAACTGATCATGTAGTGGTACAGCTGAAGCTAGAGAACTGATCATTTAGTGGTACAGCTGAAGCTAGTGAACTGATCATGTAGTGGTACAGCTGAAGCTAGATGAACTGATCATGTAGTGGTACAGCTGAAGCTAGAGAACTGATCATTTAGTGGTACAGCTGAAGCTAGTGTACTGATCATGTAGTGGTACAGCTGAAGCTAGAGAACTGATCATGTAGTGGTACAGCTGAAGCTAGTGAACTGATCATGTAGTGGTACTGTTGAAGCTAGAGAACTGATCATGTAGTGGTACAGCTGAAGCTAGTGAACTGATCATGTAGTGGTACTGTTGAAGCTAGAGAACTGATCATGTAGTGGTACAGCTGAAGCTAGAGAACTGATCATTTAGTGGTACAGCTGAAGCTAGTGAACTGATCATTTAGTGGTACTGTTGAAGCTAGAGAACTGATCATGTAGTGGTACAGCTGAAGCTAGAGAACTGATCATGTAGTGGTACAGCTGAAGCTAGTGAACTGATCATTTAGTGGTACTGCTGAAGCTAGTGTACTGATCATTTAGTGGTACTGCTGAAGCTAGAGAACTGATCATGTAGTGGTACAGCTGAAGCTAGTGAACTGATCATGTAGTGGTACTGTTGAAACTAGAGAACTGATCATGTAGTGGTACAGCTGAAGCTAGTGAACTGATCATGTAGTGGTACTGTTGAAGCTAGAGAACTGATCATGTAGTGGTACAGCTGAAGCTAGAGAACTGATCATTTAGTGGTACAGCTGAAGCTAGAGAACTGATCATGTAGTGGTACTGTTGAAGCTAGAGAACTGATCATGTAGTGGTACAGCTGAAGCTAGAGAACTGATCATGTAGTGGTACAGCTGAAGCAAGTGTACTGATCATGTAGTGGTACAGCTGAAGCAAGTGTACTGATCATGTAGTGGTACTGTTGAAGCTAGAGAACTGATCATGTAGTGGTACAGCTGAAGCTAGAGAACTGATCATGTAGTGGTACAGCTGAAGCTAGAGAACTGATCATGTAGTGGTACAGCTGAAGCTAGTGAACTGATCATGTAGTGGTACTGCTGAAGCTAGAGAACTGATCATGTAGTGGTACTGTTGAAGCTAGAGAACTGATAATGTAGTGGTACAGCTGAAGCTAGTGAACTGATCATTTAGTGGTACTGTTGAAGCTAGAGAACTGATCATGTAGTGGTACAGCTGAAGCTAGAGAACTGATCATGTAGTGGTACTGTTGAAGCTAGAGAACTGATCATGTAGTGGTACAGCTGAAGCTAGAGAACTGATCATGTAGTGGTACTGTTGAAGCTAGAGAACTGATCATGTAGTGGTACAGCTGAAGCTAGTGTACTGACCATGTAGTGGTACAGCTGAAGCTAGAGAACTGATCATGTAGTGGTACAGCTGAAGCTAGAGAACTGATCATGTAGTGGTACAGCTGAAGCTAGAGAACTGATCATTTAGTGGTACAGCTGAAGCTAGTGTACTGATCATGTACTGGTACAGCTTAAAGCTAGTGTACTGATCATTTAGTGGTACTGCTGAAGCTAGAGAACTGATCATTTAGTGGTACAGCTGAAGCTAGTGTACTGATCATTTAGTGGTACTGTTGAAGCTAGAGAACTGATCATGTAGTGGTACAGCTGAAGCTAGTGAACTGATCATGTAGTGGTACTGTTGAAACTAGAGAACTGATCATGTAGTGGTACAGCTGAAGCTAGTGAACTGATCATGTAGTGGTACTGTTGAAGCTAGAGAACTGATCATGTAGTGGTACAGCTGAAGCTAGAGAACTGATCATTTAGTGGTACAGCTGAAGCTAGTGAACTGATCATTTAGTGGTACTGTTGAAGCTAGAGAACTGATCATGTAGTGGTACAGCTGAAGCTAGAGAACTGATAATGTAGTGGTACAGCTGAAGCTAGTGAACTGATCATTTAGTGGTACTGTTGAAGCTAGAGAACTGATCATTTAGTGGTACTGTTGAAGCTAGAGAACTGATCATGTAGTGGTACTGTTGAAGCTAGAGAACTGATCATGTAGTGAACTGATCATGTAGTGGTACAGCTGAAGCTAGAGAACTGATCATGTAGTGGTACAGCTGAAGCAAGTGTACTGATCATGTAGTGGTACAGCTGAAGCAAGTGTACTGATCATGTAGTGGTACTGTTGAAGCTAGAGAACTGATCATGTAGTGGTACAGCTGAAGCTAGAGAACTGATCATGTAGTGGTACAGCTGAAGCAAGTGTACTGATCATGTAGTGGTACAGCTGAAGCTAGAGAACTGATCATGTAGTGGTACAGCTGAAGCTAGAGAACTGATCATTTAGTGGTACAGCTGAAGCTAGTGTACTGATCATTTAGTGGTACAGCTGAAGCTAGTGCACTGATCATGCAGTGGTACAGCTGAGGCTTGTGTACTCATCTTGTAGTGGTACAGCTGAAGCTAGAGAACTGATCATGTAGTGGTACTGCTGAAGCTAGTATACCGATCATTTAGTGGTACAGCTGAAGCAAGTGTACTGATCATGTAGTGGTACAGCTGAAGCTAGTGTACTGATCATGTAGTGGTACAGCTGAAGCTAGTGTACTGATCATGTAGTGGTACAGCTGAAGCAAGTATACCGATCATGTAGTGGTACAGCTGAAGCTAGTGTACTGATCATTTAGTTAGTGTACTGATCATTTAGTGGTACAGCTGAAGCTAGTGTACTGATCATGCAGTGGTACAGCTGAGGCTTGTCTACTCATCTTGTAGTGGTACAGCTGAAGCTAGAGAACTGATCATGTACTGGTACAGCTGAAGCAAGTATACCGATCATGTAGTGGTACAGCTGAAACTTGTGTACTGATCATTTAGCACTGATTGGCACTGATCAAAGGGACACAGCCCTTGAGCAGAATTGCATCCAATTGCCTCATAGTTTGGTTTGGGGCTCTTGAATTTGAACCTAATGTCACTGATGAGCTGGCCATAACCGAACCAGGAAATGGAACACCACCAGCCTGATTGACAATCTTAGGTATTATTATCATCAACAAAACCACAAGACCAGGATCAATCTGACATTTTTTGCCACCTATTGCCAAGTCAGGGATGACTCAGTGTGTAATCTAGAGTTCTCTCCCTTTTGTTTGGTACACGAGTCCTGAATTGACAAAATTAACTCCCTTCATCTAACCAGACAGAGTTAAATGATTAGTGGATCAAACAATAAACACAAAACTATCTGAGATCAAACAAATAAAACAATAATGGACACAAACTAGGTTCCAATTCCAAAGTTACGCTATCAGAAAAATGTATGGTTATTTTGAGAATCGAACATGCTTGGAATGCTGGTCCTGGTGATGTTAAAGGCATACATCTTCTCAATCACATTGGAAGGTATGTAAGAGCACGACCTTCAAAGAAAATGTACAGCTACCAGGTTTTTAATCATAGTATATATGTAATTTCAATTCATGGCTAGCTTTGTCCATAATAGCCAACGGCTGAGGAGATGGTGTAAATCCAACTAGGGTCCATGCAGGTAGCAAATTTACTGTAAGTCCCCATGGTCTCTAGTATGGCAATCTTCATTCAGTTGTTGGCGAGAAATAGCCAGTGTATTTATTGTGTCGTTTAGAGAATAATATTTTATGGTTTCTTGCTAGTATAAATCTAAAAAACTGTGATATTCTAGTTATTTTACTGTCCTTTGTTGACAGGTTTTCATATCATTAAAGATTGTTTTTATTAATCTGTAGATTTCATAGTCATGATAAGGTTGAGATATTGCTGATGTGACTTTAAATGTTAACTCACTCACTCACTCAATGACTCTCACAATGATACAGTAACTAACTTTGTTGTAACTGATTTATATACATGGGGAAATAGGGGAATAATCACTTTCAGTAACCATGTAGGACAAGTATTACCCATTGCACATACATTTCTGCATAAAGTGACATTCTTCATTTTTTGGTTCAAATATTTTGGACAACTAATGAAAATGAATGCAATGACAAAACTGTTAATATGGTTTAGATTTATTATCATTTGTCTTAGAGCTCTATCGTCAGACTGAGCTTAAAAAATAACCCAATAAATAACAAAAGTCAAATGGGGTAAGGGGTCATTTCGTGATTTTGACACTTTACAGAGACGTTGTTGTATATCGTAGTCTAAGCTAGTGATGATGGTGATGACCCACTCCCTCTTGGGGTGGTAGTGACCTGGAGTGGGATCAGTATGACTGGTGGAAGGCCAGTGTATATTTGAAATGTAAGTGTCTCTGGACAGTACTATCAAGAAAAAATACTTGGGCCAATAGTTCTACCATCTGAATGCTGTGCTGATCCGTGATTTGTCAATCAAAATGATAACACCTAAGCTCCCAATGCACATGTCAGTACTGATTACCTCAAATTTGCAAAAGCAGCATTAATCGATGACCAGCCCTGAGTCCTGACCTTTCTCAGCTGATGTAACTGGGACATGATTGGAAGACGTGGTATTAAAGGGCCAAGTAAAGGAAGTGGACAAGACTGACTCAAACTGTCATTGGGATTCGGTCCATATCATGCCTATAGACAAATGTTTCACATGGGGGCATGCATGACAGATTAGTGATGAAGGTATCTGAACTGTTCACTGTTTTGACAACACATCCCTCAGTCTCGCTTGGTTGTGTACACCGTTACAATACACCAGCAACATGTTCTGAAGTCATTTTACACTTGGTCTTTCCTTTCCCTTATCCACCCATTACCACTATTTGATAACCCTTTGTATATCTGTAATCATAGTATTTTCCAAATCGGCTGATGGCATGTCATTATGATTTTTTTGGTAGTCTTTTATAAGTTATTACAATGTTCAACTGTTCATGTGATTGTTTAAGAAAACCATGAATGTTTTTAAGCACCTGAAAATCCATAATACTTGGATATGTACTATGAACACTGTTTATTGTAATCCGCACTGAATTTCGCTTGTTTACAACATGATTACCTGATCACAACAGTGGATTTGCTGATATGCTATTTCCTATGACGCGAGGATGTGTGATCGCTTGGCACCTTAATAATATGGGTGCCACATATTATCCCGTAGTTTAACCAAAACCACAGTATCGCGAAGGGAGTTATTGTTAGGGATGGCTGTAAGCCCTTCTTTTTTAAGAGAGTGTAATAATTTATCACACACACAACATACATAGTATCTAGCTATTGCAGTCAACTTTATAAAGAAAATCAGACTTTCAACACATAAATTAAAGCATGTACTGTAATAATTTTAAACATTCTGTACATGTATTTGTCCCCTGTAAACCAACTGGAAGAGACATCCTTAAATCATACACACAAAGCATGGTCTACATTTGGTTGTTACTGAAGGCTTGTTGAGCATTCCACTGGAAGTCAACAAATTCAGGCATCTTCGATGAAATGTGAGAGTGATTTCTCCACACACTTCTCAGTCCTATGATAACAAAGCCAACATGGTAATTTCTGCAAAAGACAAGATGACACTGCAAAATGTTTGTGTATAAATATCAAACTTCAATCACAACAGCTTGTTATGTCTCCAAACCAGTCACCTGACAGCTGAAATTGTCAATATCTGTGACATATCAACCCTGCTGTTTTGATTCAAGATACGTACGTGTGCCAAGTCAGTCATTCCACCTTTACATTTGTAAGCAGCACTATTATCTGTCACAGGCCAGAGTTATTGTTCATTCAGCCAGTACAGTACACTTCATCATGTTCATGTTCTCTCCAAGTCAAATGCAGCCTTACACTATGTTCACAGGCCATGGTATCAAGTGTCCAGTGTCAATCCCTTGGATTTTTTCACTTAGTCTTGATTGCCTTTTAAAACACGTTTATTTTCATTTATAATAATATTCAAAGTCTTGATCAGCAACATCTGGCTGCATTTGTGCTAGAATGAGAACCTGTGAAGCAACATTCTTGCACTGGATGCCTGTTTCACACAGCAATAGTAGGGTTACAGCTCGAAACAGAGACAACCAACAGTTCCCGTATACCATCTGAGGACATGTGGACTCCATAGACTGCAGCTTCCTTTGATTGAGTGAATATCTCCCATGTGAGAAGGAAGCCTGTCACAAGTCAAGTGGTTCACCAAGACTGAGCAAGAGCTCCTCCATGGCTGGGTCAGCTGCCCAGTTGATTCCACTGCCCAGAATAAGACCTTGCAGTGTGTGGCGCTGAATCACAATCTTCGTCATCTCACCCTCAAGCTGTTCCTTTTTACTGAAACAAACAACAAATCTACCCTTGGTCTTGCTGGAACATGTATGTCTAGAATCATTAACTAGTGAAATCTTCCATATTAACTGTAACTCATTGGTTTGTGGCATGTTGGTGGGGCTTGTGCTGTTATTGCACAACATGTGGTTACCAGTGTGTAGGCCTGCATCAACTCCACCACAGTCTGTACAAAGCAGCAGCGACTCACTAAGAAGTTGTCCAAGCACAACAGTAAGCCATACAATACCTCTGGCCCTCCTTGTGTTTGCGGAAATCATCAGCTTTTTCTTCAAGAAGGTTTTGTCGTTGGCGGATCTGGTTCATTGACCTTCTGTTTTGAACCTTCATCTCTGAAATAATATGACAACCTCGGTTTTGGCCAAATACAAATCTGTTTCCAAACCTACCCTATAAGATATAACAATACTTCCTTCATTCACTAATGAAGGGCAAGAAATAATTGTGATGCAAGACACTTCAGCATGTTTATTAACACCCGTCAGCATTTCATTATGTGCATGTGCCAAGTGTCCTTGTTATTGGAGTTGCTATCAGTCATAAATATCATCATAATTGTCAACATTAAACAATGACAGACATATATAATTCATTGAAAAACTGATGTGCTAGCAATGCTCATTTGAATATACTTGGAGTTCTCTAAATTTATAATCTCCAGATCTATGACATGTGGGGGGGGGACAACATTAACTTCACACATTTCTTAGTATTACAGTACACAATGGAAATAACAAACTTAAAGGGGTCACTAGTTGTAGTGTGTTACAACTGAAGTCCATTATAGGCATTTCAGCTAAAATGACAACAAATGGAATCAGTGAAAACAGTACAAGATGCTCACCAAAGTTTTTCTCGCGGAGTGTTTTGACCTCTGTGCGGAGTGTCTCGAGTTCTGCCTCCTCCTTCATTATCTGGGAAACAAGTTTGCTCTGTTGCAGCACCATATCCTCCAGCTCCCTGAAATACAGACACTTCTTAGTGTTCCCTCCCGGAATTAGGAGGGCACTGTGCCCTGCCTTTTAAATTTATGCCCTGCCCTTTGACTTGAAGAAAGTTGTGAACAAATCCTTGGCCAGAAAAAAAGAAAACTCTAGACTGTTGTAGCTGTGTTTTGTGAAATTGTTAACTGACTGACTGAGTGACTGACTGAGTTTAGTTTTACGCCTCTTTTAGCAATATTCCAGCAATATCACGGGGGGGGACACCACAAATGGGCATCACACATTGTACCCATGTGGGGAATCGAACCCGGATCTTCGGAGTGAGACGAGCCAACGCTTTAACCACTAGGCTACCCCACCGCCCCTGAAAATGTTAACAAATGTGTTAACAGATTAATGTCTTGGAATACTTTTTTTCAAATTCAAATTATATTATAACTCAACATTTTATGTCCTGAAAACACATACCACATTTGGTTTCCTTATCTATAACGGTTTCTGAGAAATTCTGTCCCCATTGAGGATACCCTGCAGGTTATACTACACTAAATGAGAATCGCTTGCTCACTGAGCGAGAAGCGTATGTAAACAAATGAAGAGATAGAGACATGTGACAGCTGTGATTGGATGAAATAGTGTAAGATGTTTGTTTTTAAAAGCATATCCAACCAGCAATTAAAACTGACCACAATTTTAAGTATTCAGTGCTGTCATTTTCATCACCATGACTTATGCTTATTGTGTGTACAGATATTTTCCAGTAGGTGAAATTTGGTGCGGAACTGGGGTTGATGTGTTCCGCTTCCTGTCCTCGCAAAACGAGCCGGACAAGTTGGCCTGATATTGTGTTTTATTGTAGTTTAAAGGCCAGAGTGTACCCATGTGTACATGGAATGGCTGTTGATAGCTTGTCTATTTTTAAAAATTATAAGGTTACTATAGAAGTCTATGGGAAAACATTTGGTGGTGTGTAACCTGCACCAAGTCAAGAAATGCATGACAAGGGCCATAACTCTGTAACAAATTGTAACACGGTTTCCGTTTTCCTGTAAGTACATCTAACATTTGGTTTCCCTATCTATAACGGATTCTGAGAATATCTGTTCCCATTGGGAATACAATGTACTAAGTCAAGAAACACATGACAAGGGCCATAACTCTGTAACAAATTGTAACACGGTTTCCATTTTTGAACTCCATCAAGGCATTCATGTCCTGAAAACACATGTGAAATTTGGTTTCCCTATCTATAACGTTTTTTGAGAAAATCTGTCCCAATCATCTCGGACGTAAGGATGGAGCTCAAACCAATATCCCCTCCCACTTGTGAAGGGGGATAATAATGTGGTGAAACAACTGTATCGTAAGTCTGGTGTGGGATTGTTCCTGTCAGCAGAGACCAAGTGGTCTCCTCTTCGGGCATTCTACCAAGTAGGTCGAGTGACTGACCCAGAAACATAATTCCCTCAACTTCTAGCAAGCAGCAACATTCCATTTGTTATGTCGTATCAGACTATGACATCATGCAGCATCTTAACAACTTACAATTTCCTTAAACTGAGTCCTAATAAGCCAAATATTACATGTCATTAATTTGAATTAATTCCCTATTAGTTTGGAATATTATGCAGTCTGATATTGTATTTTTCATTGTTTGACTTTCAGGCCATGAATGACAGCTTTATCGTCTCTTTTGACTATAGGCTGACTTAAAGATAGTGAGACAAATACCACTGATGCACAACAGTAGAAGTTAGGTATTCTAAAAGAAACATTGTCAGCAGATTCTGCCAGAGCCAAGGGCTGCAACTCTGCATAGCAAATGTGGCATGAGCCAACACTTACCATCCCAAGTAATGACTGAAAACATTGCAGGAGTGTCCATAAAATAGATATGCCTTCATACTCTCAGGCATTTGGCACATTCTGTACAGAAATAGCCCAGGCTAATGAATAGGATTTCTAATTCAAACTCAAAGGGCAAACTTGTCTGTTATGCAAGCTATTCAAGGATAGTTTCTCACTTCTTCACTGTGTCATCTACTTTTGTGCCATCTGTGTCAGAATCAGTGGGGCCAAACAATTCCTTGGAGAGTGCAGTGCCCAGCTGGAGCCTGAAACAGGAATAACACTTCATGGTATGCCTCATTATCTCATGAACGTATTCTGCTTCAACAATGCACCATGTTAACATCAATCCCATCATTGTCACTGACAACAGACGATTCTTTATCAGCAGAGTGCGAGAGTTATTCACAACCAACTTCAACATCTCCAGAAAACTCATATAACTTGATGTCTGAAAGGATGTTTTGATAGACTGTTGCATTTTAACAGTGTTTGGTCTGCAAAACTGATGAAAGAGGATGAAATCAGAATGTAAAGTGCACAGGGGGACAACCTGACAATACACGTTACCTGCACCAGCAATGGTTTACCTGGCTACAGCAAATTCGATCCCTGAAGTACTATGACATACATCCTCACTTAATATGTAGAGTCTACTATTTCTGTCTAATAGCACTCTTACCTTTTCAATGTGAGTTCCCGTAAGGCCAGTTTGGAGGACTCCGACAGAAACTCCTCCTGTAGTTTACTGATCCTGTTCACCACACCATAACAGTCTTAATTACTGTCAGCTTGTTCATCAAATTGGTCATGAACTTTCTTGAGATTAGTTTGGCATTTTGATTCCTACAGCTAAAACAAATACCAGTATACAATCGATCCCAGTATCTCGAACCTAGAGGGACTCTGTCGTAATGTCATATCAAACTACAAAGTAAGCATTATATATAGAGGTCCCTATATAGATCCATGGTAAGATGATTGTATACAATATGTGTTTACAAAGGCTTAACTGAAATGTTTATATGGGTACATGTATTACAATTAGGATTGACAAAAGCTCAGTGAGTAGCAGGTGTTCTTGGCATTTACACAACCTTCAAATATATATTTTTGAAACAATGTCAGGGACAGATGTTCACCTGACAACATAGTAAGCATGCATATACACTGAAACGTTGTGTTCCTAAGAATTAAAAGTTCCCTCCCTTATGTGGATCACTTCTAAAGGCCTTTCAGTGACATCACAAATGTTTGTTTGCACTAAATGCCATGACTACTGTCTTGGAACTAAGTTATACAATGTTGTAAGTGATCTCTTTTCTGACTTCATTTGTGGATTCCATACTTATCCTGAAGAATTGCTGAGCTAGGTGAAATGCTCATTTGCACTTTTCGAATTTTAGAGAAGATATGAGTGGACCCTGTGGACCCTGTGTCCCATACCTGTGGTACCTACTAGTGTTGTTGGAGAATGAAAATTGATATTTTATACTTATCCTGACTCATGCTTATATGCTTATCGCCTTTCTCTATGTGAATGGTAGTGGAACACTTGAATCCCTTGTAGTTCCCTGAAGAGGACGTAAAAGTTCACTCACCCACGAGTTACTTTCCTTTTCCCGTGCAAACTGTCATGTGACCTGCCATGCATGTCACTCTCTCCTGAATAAGCATTAGCACCTGGGTAACCCGAGTGTCTTCAGCGGGGGAATTTGGGAGGGCTTGACACCATGAGTCAGGATAAGTATAAAATATCAATTTTACTTAAAAATTACATATTTTTCCTTATCCTGACTCATGCTTGTATGCTTCCAGAATCCGATTGAATAGGTCGTGGGTCAAGCCACTTCGTGGATTCATCAGCTGTCCTTAGATACGTCCTGTATCTCCCCCATGGGAACTGCGTAACGGCACTTCCTAGATCCTATTCTTCCAACTTCCGCTGTCAACTCGGGGGGACCACATCTTGTCAAACTTCTCTAAGACAAGTGAATCTCTTAGATTCATGTGGTTTTTAGATATACTAGTATCTTCTTCTTACTAGTTATCTATAAACAACCCATAGATTATGATTAAATCGTTACCAAAATGAGTTGCGACCCTTTAACGTACAGGTAAGCTTGTTACCCAAACTCATGCTAGTTTGGTCTTAGACGGTGCACATGAACTTTCAACCACAACTCTCCAGAGTGAGGGTTATCAACAAGTCAACGTGATAAAGGGTGAGATTTCAAACTCAGCACCAAAAAAACTGGAATGTGAGCTGGAGCAGGCTTGCTGATCTCGTTGATCCCTGCCGATTTTTGTAAAACACCACTGTCGAGTTGTCTGTGTGAATCGTCAGCATGCGGTTGACCAGTAGGCTTGACCAGTGTTGAATGGCGTTGATCACTGCTTTCATCTCCAACTGGTTCATGTGAAGATGTTGTTCTTGTTTCGACCACTTCCCTGATGCCACTTTGTTGTCGAGATGCGCTCCCCATCCTTGTAGTGAGGCATCTACGTAGAGTTGTGTGTCGCAGACCGGCTCTTCTAAATAGGTCCCAACACAGACATTCGACTTGTGAGTCCACCATAACAGGTACGTCTTGAGACTGTCTGGTATGGAGATCAGGTCCGCTTTGTCTAGGTGTCCTGCCAAGAATCGCTGCAACAGACGTAATTGTAGTCTTCCTCTGAGAGTCAGATCCTGCGCTGAGGTGAGTAGACCGAGCAGCACTGCCATGAATGTAGTGGTAATGGAGAAATGACTGCTTCTGGAATCATGGCTTGAATCTTGACCCAACAATCTTCTGGGACCACAATACGACTCTGTGTTGTGATGAACCGTATTCCCAGGAACTGAAGATCTTGCTTTGGTTCCAACTCTTACTTCATCAAGTTTACTAGCCATCCCAGTTGTGTGAGCAGTTTGATGGTGAAGTCTAGTTGCTGTCTGAGTTGATTAGCTTCTTGATGAACTTGTATCCCGTCGTCCAGATAGAAGGCACTGCGTAACCTCGACGATGTAGATAGGTGATGATGGGTTTGGTCACTCGTGTGAATAACCATTGAGCCGACGACATTCCAAACGGTAGGACGCTCCATTGGTAGTGTGGACCTCTGAACAGGAATCTCAGCTACTTTCTTGATTCCCGGATGAATCGAGATGTGTAAATATGCATCCTGCAGGTGTATGCTGGCAAAATAATCTACTGGAAGGACAAGTTGTCTGAGTTGAGGCAGGTGGATCATCTTGAATCTCTCTGGCTTGAGTAGATAGTCTTGGTTGTATCTTTTCATGTTGTATATCAACCTGAACTTCTCTTTGGAATTCTTCTTGGGTACCAGGAAAATTGGGGAGTAGAAGCCGGGTGTCAGATGATGTTGATCTATCACTTCTACGGCGTTATTGGCCAATAGCGAGTTGATGGCTTCTTCTAACTTTACTGTCTGGTCGTCTGCATAGCTGAAGACTACCGGGTAGAGGGTCAGTGGTGGTGTGGCCTTCAGCTGCCTTCTCGCAGTACTTGTGAGACGTAGTTGTCCTCCAATATTCCCCAATTTTCCCAGTACCTTTGTAGACATCCACCCACTGTCGACGGTTGTACAGAAACGGCTGGGGGTGGAAGCGTCCAGTCATTCCGAACCCCATCTTCAATGTCTTGATCCTCTGAAGCCTCCGGGAGTACGCCCTCTCCCAGAGTTGCCTCAGATAGTAGACGATGCCCAAGGACCTCTTAGTAGTGGTTGGGTAAACCTGTCACTCCAGGAACATGTTGATAGTAGACCTTGTCTTTGTAGTAGAGTGAGACCTGCTGACGTCGAGGCCAAGTGATCAGACATGAAGTGCTGGTCCTTTTTCTGAGATAATAGTGCAGACAAGATCATCCTATCTTCCTCCGTCTTGGGGTTCTGGAAGCTGGATATCAACATCTCGTTGATCGCTCTAGATCTCGCCAGGCCAAAGAACGTTCTTCTAGTTGTGGTGTCGAGTTGAGCAATCTTCTCGTCTTCCACCTTATAAGACTTGTTCTGGGAGTCGTTGATCAATTTCATGTTATCATCCAAGTCCGGCGCTCTCATGAAGGGGTCCATGTGATGCAGAGGGAACCTCCTAGCATTGAATGTAGGCAGATGTTGATTCTGATGCCGGGCTGCTTTCTCAAACGCTGCACGGAGGTTAACAGACACCTTGGAAATCGGTTCAATCGGTGGAATCGTGAGGGTGGCGAAGTCATCATTCCACATCTTGTAAGTGAATGCTGCATCAGATTCCTTGGAGGGGGAGTCCAAGTCCAGGCCATTAGCAATCCACGATGTGACCTCTGCTTCCGAGAAGACGAAGTCGCCCTCTTCCTCAGATAGTTTCGGGTCCGCCGAACCTTCCTTCCGCGAACCTCCCTTCCATGAACCTATGTTCCGTGAACCTTCCTTCCGCGAAACTTTCTTCTGTGAACCTTCGTTCCGCGAACCTTCCTTTCACGAACATTCGTACGAACGTGGCGACGCTGATCTGTGTGTATGGGAGCTGCGGGATACTGATGTAGAACGACTGGATTGCAAGGGGGATCTCCCTTTGCTGACGTTCTTGAACATTGAGGGTTCGCCGAACATCTTGTAGTCTTTTCTTCCATGATAACTGGGTCCGCCGAACGTGAACGTTCGCTGATGTTGTCTTCGGCCGTAGGCTTGTTGGACGAGGCTGTAGATGTCTCAGGAACAGGTTCTCGCAGGGCCGAGGTTCGCCGAACGTTTTCTGTCATCGTAGGGTTCTGCCGTGCAACTCTCTTCGGCGAACCTCTGCTCCATCATCGCCATCATCTGGGTCGAAGTTCTGCGTTGTAGGCCGGAACTGATGCGGTGTAGATGAAGCGTTCAAGAACGCTGAGGCGTCATGTGCGTCTACTTGCCACTGCGATGATGCTACGCTGTTGTTGTCTATGTTGACAGACGTCTGCGTTGCTGAAGGCTGGTCTTCAAATAGTTGAACGGCTGCCGAGGTTGCAGGGGACAATCGTCTTGCCGTGGAGGTAGACTGCGTCGATGATCTTACTGGTACTTCAGGCAGCAGTTTCGGGGGTCAGCATAAACGTCTGCTTCGTCAGGAGGCACAATGTCTTCATAAAACGACCTCTGATGCGTTGTTTTACTGGAACGAGTTGACTTCGACGAAGTTCTAGACGAAGATGACTTCTTCTGCGCCGCAGACGATGAGGACATCTTTCTCTTACTCCCCGCTGGCGTCAACTCGGTAGAAGCAGGTCGGCTAAGTCCCGACCAGCCACAGACGACTGGCCCTGTAACATACTCGGCAAATCACCTGTGTTATGAATTACAGCAGTAGTTAACAACATACGGTTACCGGCGTTATCTCCAGATTTATTACCAGTGACTTGAGATGATTTCCTCACCCGTTCCATCGCACGTTTATAGATGTAAGACAAATAACGATTAAATTGCCAATCTGGTAAATTTATACAATATCTGCAACGCAAGCTGGAAGAACATGGATTAATGCATGACGAGCATTGGGGGTGAGGATCAGCCGCTGATAACCGGTACCTGCAATCACTGCAAGATTTCATCAAATGTAAAGAAACTACATTATGATGAGAAAAAGTGACAAAATATGAATAATTTTTTCAAAATTTTGGAGGGGCGGTGGGGTAGCCTAGTGGTTAAAGCGTTGGCTCGTCACGCCGAAGACCCGGGTTCGATTCCCCACATGGGCACAATGTGTTAAGCCCATTTCTGGTGTCCCCAGCCGTGATATATCAGTCAGTCAAAATTTTGGCATACAATTAAAGTTAAATATAACCAGAAACCATACACAGTTTAATTTGGATAAAAGGATCTAAAAATCAAAGGATATGGTGCCATATACGGGACTCCAGTGCTCGCCCAATCGGATGGAGAGAAGGAAAGAGTGACATGCATGGCAGGTCACATGACTGTTTGTGTGGGAAAAGGGAGGCAACTCGTGGGTGAGTGAACTTTTACGTCCTCTTCAGGGAACTACAAGTGATTCAAGTGTTCCACTACCATCGCATAGAGGAAGGAGATAAGCATATAAGCATGAGTCACGATAAGGAAAAATATTTCATGATGATATGCAATCATTTAGATCAAGCCTCTCTACAGAAGCGGAATTCATATGCAATCAGATAGGGCTGTAAAAATGCATCAAACTATCGATGGATCACAATTGTTGAGTCCCTGATAGCAATTAATCGATGGTAGAAATGAAAACTTATCTATGCATCGATAGTATGTGTTACTATAGATAGTTTAGTAATTGACTTCCATTGATAAATGTGCAGTGAATAATACAGGAAGTACCAGATTGGTTCACTTTGATTTAGAGTTATCCACCCCTGTTACCTCTTAAACAAACTTGATCTGGGTTTCAAGTTTCTTGTCAGTTATTTAAAGAGACTGAAACTACTTCAACTTGCAATAGTATGTTGCAATAACTTCTTTGAGTGGCATTTTAGAAGTTGGGAAGTACAATATAGAACAAACTTTATGGATAACAACTTCTTTTTATTCGTGAGTGCGACGTTTCGATACAGATTCTTCTACCGTTGTCAAGCATAATGGAACATGAAGAAGGGGGAAGTGTATATATACTGGATGTAACATTGTAACAAAGAGGACAACATAATTAACATAATTGGCTAGGCACAAAGCTGATAAAGCCAGAGAGTAGACGAAGGACAGGCGTGGAAGCCAATGATGTACAAATAATAATGAGATGTTTATACAGCAGAGTTTATACAGTAGATTGGGCTTGGTGGATGAGAGCATTATAAGCGGATGGAATGAAGTATCCTTGGTCTCGGTTGATGGTGGGCTTTTGGCGTTTGATGTGGATGGCTTCGGTGAGCTTGCGTTTAGTGAAGTCTGTTTGTTTGTTAGAGAGAATGGTGATGTCAGACCACTCTGTTTGATGATTGGGGCTTGCTTTGATGTGGTCGGAAATGGCTGATTTGCTGTCGGAATTGGTAACAGAGGTCTGATGTTCTTTCACTCGGGTGTTGATGGGTCGGGAAGTCTGACATCACCATTCTCTCTAACAAACAAACAGACTTCACTAAACACAAGCTCACCGAAGCCATCCACATCAAACGCCAAAAGCCCACCATCAACCGAGACCAAGGATACTTCATTCCATCCACTTATGATGCTCTCATCCACCAAGCCCAATCTACTGTATAAACTCTGCTGTATAAACATCTCATTATTATTTGTACATCATTGGCTTCCACGCCTGTCCTTTGTCTACTCTCTGGCTTTATCAGCTTTCTGCCTAGCCAATTATGTCAATTATGTTGTCCTCTTTGTTACAATGTTACATCCAGTATATATACACTTCCCCCTTCTTCATGTTCCATTATGCTTGACAACGGTACAAGAATCTGTATCGAAACGTCGCACTCACGAATAAGAAAAAGTTGTTATGTTATCCATAAAGTTTGTTCTATATGTTGCAATAGACTAATCGTTATCGCAATAGTTGTTTCCCCCTGAATAGTCACCCCTACAATCAGAGAACATTGAAAAGTGCAAGGATCATTTTGAACCAACGGACTTGTGCCATATCCACATTGAAGTATGAAATGGTGCTTTGAAAATAACATCAGTCTTTTATGGTGTGCATTAACTGCAAATGGCACAATTAAAGCTAACACTCAGGCCCTTATAAAAAGCAAATTATAGTAAGTTAGTATAACCATGTTTATGTGGTGTTGATATGGAAGTACAGACCTCTTGATCATCCATTTCCTTCTTACGTAGTCCTCTGGTTCTCGTGATGCAACATTCAGCTAAGCAACTAAATGGTTGAATTCTGTTTTTTACTTAAGTTTAGTGTGCATGTAACTACATGTACATTCTATGACTTCAGCGAATTGAGATGTTACATGTTCATGGTAATGACTTTATATTCAAATAAATGGATTTTCTAGTAAAACTAAAGGTTGTTAATGTTGTGAATGCCAAGTTCGAGACATAGGTACATAATTCTATAGTACAGTTGAGACTGTAATGAGATTTTATACCTTTCTCTTGCTACTTCAACATCTTTCGTTAGTGGCACATCTGTTTTATCTGAAAAAACAGAGAACATGTTCAAACCAATAACTAATGAAATCCAGCAACAAAATACAGCAACTACAGACACTGCTGCCACTGTATCTCTGTGCTGCTCCATAATAATCATTTCTGACTACTCACTACAGACCAAAAGGTTGTTCCACAGTGTAATACAAATAAATTACTATTGCAGAACATACTGTACTTACAGCCCTACCATACTTTTAATGAACTGCAATCCTAAGAAAACTGCAAAACATTTTCCCATAAAAAACCATGCCTTTCAATGCATGTATTATCCCTCATGTAACTTTAGATATTAAAATCAAACAAATGTTTGGTAAAAATTGATAAATTGATAAATTTTAAACACCTGCTGTCTAACAAAATATACAGGATATATTGTTGCACAATATAAAATACCATTATTTTCATTTATGAATGAAAGATTGCTTACCTGCTTGAATCTGACTGAGTTGGTTAACCAGCTGACCATCCAGCCAGTTCCTTGTGGCAAGAATATCACTGACCGTCTCAGCTGGGATGCTGTGGTCAGATGAAGTGGACTCTACCTCCACCATGTCCACAGCTGTACCATCTTGGGGAGTCTGCTGACTGACGCTCATGCTGATAATCTGTAACAGAGTTGTCTACTCAAACGCACATGCCCACCACAAATACAACAGAATTAGTATGAAAGATACTGAAGAATTTGCCTCAGTAATTTGTGTACGACTAATGTACTACTACTACTGATGCATTAATCAGCTATTATCTGTGTCATACAACATTACAGATGGATAAGTTAACACTCTTTTATATCTCATTATGCTCAGTAGAGACAGAATTTACACAGATGAAGGTCTACAGCAACTGCATTTATTCCTTTTCATGAACACCTTGGAGTGGTATGAGCTGTGTTTAGTTCAAGGAAAGACTTCCGCCCATATCCCCGCTTAAATTTCATTCTAGTCAAATCATATCACCTGAATATATATCCCCTATCTGATAAGGATGAGTTTTAACATGTTTCTTTAATTCTTAAATTGTATCTGAACATATTGAAAGACATATTCTACTTCTAAAAATGCCATCCTTAAAATTTAGGGGGGATACGGGCGGAAGTCTTACGTAGTTCAATACAGTAATTCTGACATTTACATTTCATGCAATATAGCAGACATATTTATGCATAAATGTACATAATGTGAAAGTGACTGCGCGCAGTTCCACACTTTGCTATTTTCTCAATAGTAGAGGAATATCATGGCTTGGACACCAGACTGACTGACTGACTGACTGAGTTTGGTTTTACGCCGCTTTTAGCAATATTCCAGCAACATCACGGCGGGGGACACCAGAAATGGGCTTCACACATTGTACCCATGTGGGGATTGGAACCCGGGTCTTCGGCGTGACGAGCCAACGCTTTAACCACTAGGCTACCCCACCGCCCCCTTGGACACCAGAAATGGGCTTCATACATAGTACTGTGCTTTAAGCATAATATCCAAGTATGGAAAAAGCGCAACACAAATACACTATTGTTATTATTACTCATGTAGGAAATTGAACTCAGGTCTTTGGTGTGATGAATGAATGCTTTACCACTAGGCTACCCCACCAAACACATAAGATGGAAAGGTGAGAATCAAATCAAAGCTACATTTGATAGAAACTCAACCGTTTCATGTTGAATTAAGATTAGTTGTTACTTCTGTTTAATCATCAAAGAAAAAGAGAGCAAGGAGAAAATCTCAGAAAATACAAAGTTTCATAATATGAAAGCGCATAGGCTTGGTCTAGTTACATACTACTTGAAAAAAATAGCTATCACACAGAATTTCTTCGTGGCTTGTATCAATAATTTGTGTGCTTTATCATTGATGTTATTGTTAATATTATCCCTGGATACGTGTGAGAAAACAATTTCTTGTCACAACTGGTTGATTGACAAAGTCAAACGCTGGAATAGTAGAACATGTTACGTGCGTACATAAAGAATATTGTTAATGTTTACCAGTTGACTGGCGTCAATAATCTCAAAATTGTTCAAGATTGTGCACAGACACAACTGTCACACGCCATCCAAATATATTCGCCATCCCGCGCCATATTTCGCGGGTTAGGCCATTACACCGGAAGAGGATACAAAACATACATTAAGAAAATCGTAACTTTTCACCCTGACATGAGGGTTAAGCATTGTCTGTACTATGACTAAATTAGTGTTACTTTTCATTTTACTAGGACATATTTGCTTTTTATCCACGCAAATAACTGATAATCTAGAGTTTACGATTACCTTTACCCCGGTACTGAATGTGTATATTCCATCACTCTTCCGGTTCCGCTGGCGGCAAGTTCAAAGAAAATAGTTGCGGTTTGTGTAAATTCTTCTTAGTAAGAAGATCTTGTATTTATGCGTTCAAACTTTGTAGGAATCTAATTAATTTCAGCTTGAACCTTTAGAACATTTGTATTCATTCTACGTCATCTACAATTGCATTCATCCTGTAATCGATTAAAAGCATTGAACTGTTCCTCCCCATGATGAGGGTTTGTTTCCGAATATGGTCAACATGGCACAGACGTATCGCGTTTTGTTTCTTATTAGATGGTCTTTTACATAACAGAATTTCTTTCAGGTGTGTTTAAGTGAGTGAGTGAGTTGGGTTTTACGCCGCTTTTAGCAGTATTCCAGAGGGGATACCAGAGATGGGCCTCACACGTGCCCATGTGGGGAATCGAACCCGGGCTTTCGGCGTGACGAGCGAACGCTTTAACCACTAGGCTACCCCATATGTGTTTAACCCCCTGGCTGCCACATAGACTGACTGACTGACTGAGTTTAGTTTTACACCGCTTTTAGAAATTCCAGCAATATCCGGGGACACCAGAAATGGGCTTCACATTGTGCCCGGGAATGTATTTGAGCAAGACGTGTTGTACTGTGCCGAGTGTATTTGAGAAAGACGTTATGAAAACTGCATACATTCGTCTAAAATGTACGTCAAACAGCATCGGCGTTACTCACAATGTTCAAAATCCACACTGTAAAAGTTCATTCATTTCCCGTGATGTCTATGTAAATATTTTATGGCATTGGCTTCATTATGCATAAGAAATAGCTCGTCAAAAATGTAGAATATGTGATTTTTACAGAATTTCCACGGCAGCCATTTTTTGTGCATTGCTCATTGATAACTAACACTAACTAACTCACTCACTCACTCAAATGATGTGTTTATGCTGTATATCATTTTAGGGGAACGGGCATTAGTGGTAGGAGTAGTAGTAACATACTACTGGAGTACTCGTCCAAGAAGACTTATCTCCCCACTCACTCCACGTGTAGTTGTTTCAGCCCCAACATGGCAGAGCAAATCACGCTCCAAAGTTTAAAGTTGTATTTAAACTTGTCTCATTTATTCATACCTGTAGATCATACAATTACTAATCAGTTTGAGAATACATCACAACATAGTACATGGTGTTAATTACGTAAGGACAGGTGCATTGTTTATTTCTTATTCAATGAGCTTCAAATGTAATGTACGCATAACATTACAAGACTTGGATAGTCAGATGAGATCATTTTTTTTAAAAGAACACACTTCAATAGCTGATAATTGTATTCTTCCTGAAACGAAGACACAGTCTTCAAAGAGTTACCTGTGCCAGTAAACACTACTCTGTGTATGAACAATATTAGTTACATGGTACTGATACTTAGACCTCCACTGACACTTTATCCACAAAGCATGGAGACTGTTAGCATGATATAGTAGAATTCACATAACCTTCTGATAACCAGTTTTGTATCATACTACACCTCTCAGTGTTGCATGATGTGGAGTAGGCCTGTGTACCTTATGCCTTTCCTGATTGGGTTAAACTCTTTGTTTATATTGACAAATCATTTGAATCATTTCATTTCTGCCTTACTGTCGCATAAATACTATTATTTTTGTATGTTGTTTCAAAAAAGTTTTATTATATTGAACATGCAATGAATTTCAGGATTACAAACTATCCGTTGTTGTTGTTTTTGTTTGTTGTAGAAACCTCTGATGTGCAATGTCAAGGACATATGAACCTGCAGCATTGAGGCTTCGTTCACAGAGCCAGGCTAAACTAACCAATCACTACACAACTTTGAAGCACTCAACATCCAACGGGTCAGTCAACATCACAGATACCCCCGAAGTCCCCAGCACACCAAGTCAGAATGGAATTACCCATCTGAGACAGAGGCTACAAGACCATTTGGATGGAAGAGGCAGTGTGGAGGCAGAAGACAACACAAGTCCAGGCCTGGCCAGACTCAGGATGACTCCAGGTATTGAGATGGACAGGCAATAGGGTTCCAAAACATTTCCATTTCAGAGGGACATAATTTTCAGTGGGTTCCTTAAGGCCATTTACAGTTCCAACAGAAGTGTAACTTCACTGGAGCTTTAGACCAGCAACTAAAAACACTGACTGATACATGATGGTTGCAACACAATTGACTCAGGGGTGGAAATAACCCATTGCCCGACGTCCGAGTCCAGTGTTTTTTTCTGTCGGGCAAGCACATTTGTATATCACGCTGTACCAGTGTCCAGTTGACATTCCAATGTTAATTATGTTGTTTACTTAAAAAATCACCAAGAAAAATCGGCCGGTATAGCGGAAAATTATCAGGGCAAGTGATTTTACATGTGCCACTGTACCGGAGTACACTAGCAATTTTAAAGTTATTTCCACCCCTGTGACTTTACGACTACCTGAATTAGTGCACACAATGTGCTACTGCTGAAATGTAAAATTTTTCCTTATCCTGACTCATGATCTTTTGCTTATCTCCCTTTCCCTTTCGAATGGTAGTGGAACACTTGAATCCCTTGAAGTTCACGAAGCAGACGTATAAATACACTCACCCACGAGTTACCTCCCTTGCCCTTTCCCGCGCAAACCATATCATGTGACGTGCCCATACTTGTCACTCTCTCCCTTTTCGCCCAAGCGGATGGTTGGGCGAGCACTGGAGTCCCGTATACGGCATATATCTTTTTCGTTTAGGCCTATTCTTCTAAATTATGCTGTGTATGGATTTGGCTATAATCATTATGTAGTATTCGTTTAAATTTGTAGAAATTTATTGACTTTGAGTCGTATTTTCATCGTCATGTAAACTTTGTTTACATTTCATGAAATCCTGCAGTGTTTGTAGGCACAGGTTATCCGTGGCTGATCCTCACCCCCAATGTCCTTCGTGTATAAATCCATTTTCCTCCAGCTTGCGCTGTACTCATTGTATTGATTTATCCAATCTACAATTTAATCAATTCTTGTCTTAAGTTTATAGACGTGCCATGGATAGGGTGAGAAAGGCATCTCAAGTCACAATTGATAAAACTGCAGATCAGCCTACAAACCGTATGTTACTTGCTACTGCCGATGTTCATAATACTGGTGCTATGCTTAGTACGTTACAGGGCCAGTCTGCTGGTAAGGGGGCCAAGAAGAGATCGTCTACATCTCAGTCTACGCCGTCCCAGACTAAGAAAAAGACGTCATTCTACTACGCAGAAGAAGTCTACGGTTACCAGATCGGAGGGCAAGGCTACGCCTGCGAGCTCATCTACGCACCATAAATCCTTCAATGAAGAGATTGTACCTCCTCACGAACTAGACATATTTGACGAACCCCCTATACTTCTACCTGAAGTATCTATGAGATCAGCGACGCAGTGACCCCCTATACTTCTACCTGAAGTATCTATGAGATCAGCGATGCAGTCGACCTCTACTACTACGAGATCGTCCCCTACTACTGTCACAGCAGGACAGCTCTTCGACATACTACCTCTTACTTCTCGGATTGGAGTTGAGGCACAGAACCCATCAACGTTCGCGAATGCTTCTACAACACCACAGCAGCGTCAACCTATGCAGAACTTCGACCCTGGGGAATTTATGACGCAATTCACCAATCAGATGATGGCCATGATGGAACGTAGATTCCAGGAGGAATCGAAGGCTAGGAAAAGCCTCCCATCTACCGACACCGTGCGCAAACCCCTAGGCCTGCGCGAATCTACTCCTATTAGATCTACACCTGAAGGCTACGTTCGCGAACGTACACCTTAGCGAAGGTCTCCACAGTCGGACGACTCTGTCATATTGGAGGATAGTAGAGGTTATGCACTACCTAGGTTCGCGAACCCTCAGCGTTCGCAAACCTCGAAGGATCCTGCTCCTACACCTAGCCACTCTAGGTTGAGATCTCCTATCTCGCACAGACGTTCGCGAAGCTACTCACCTCAAGCCAGACGTTCGTGAAGGGATAGCTCACCTCACAGAGGTTTGCGAAGAAATGGATCCACAGAGAGAGGTTCGTGGACAGAACACTCTCAAGATAGCCGTTCGCACATGGAGGAATCCTCAGTTACAGGTTCGCGAACCCAAGATGAAGGTTCGCGAAGGGATACAGGTTCGCACAGGGATGAATCATCAAGACATAGCTCTCATAATCAGGAGACACTTCAGACTTAGTAATGGACTTCGTCTTCCCAGACTCAGAAGTTACAGCATGGATTGCTAACGGGTTGAACTTGGAGTCTCCTTCTAAGGATAGGAATGAAGTCTACACTTATATGATGCAGGATGATGACTTCGACTCCGTCACAATTCCTCCGATCGAACCTATATCCAGCGTACCCTTCAACCTTCGCTCAGCCTTCGCGAAGGCTTCCAAATATCAGAGCCAGCAACTACCATCTTTTAATAAGAGGAGATTCCCCCTACAAAATATGGATCCATTTATGAAGACGCCTGATTGGGATGATAACATCAAACTTGTGAATGACTCCCAGAATAAGATGTACAAAGTGGATGACAAAAAGCTATCGCAACTAGATACAGCTTCTAGGAGATCCTTCTTCGGATTGGCCAGGTCCAGAGCCATCAATGAAGCATTGATAAATAAATTCCAGAATTCCACGACGGAAGAGGATAAGATGATATACTCTGCCCTCGTCACACAAAAGAAGGATCAATTCTTTTTGTCGGACCATCTCACATCAATATCGTTGGGACTCACCTTAGTACGCAGACAGGGACTACTGGCGTCCTGCTCTTGGAATGATAGATTTACTCAACCACTACTACGAGCTCCTTGGAAGGTGCCTACTATATTTGGAGGTCTCTTAGATGATGCAGCTAAGGAAGCTACGCACGATTCCAGAGAGGTGATGATGATTAAAACCATAGATACCCTGGCCAACGTCATCTGCCATACTTCTCAGAAGTATAGCAACAAGTCCAAGTATTCAGGAATACAGAAAGCTAAGGACAAGAAGTACTCCAGAGGCGGAAAGGAGTCTTTTCGTCGGCCATCCGGAAACTACAGAGGAAGCTCAGGAAGAGGCCGCGGCCCCAGAGCTTCCAGAGGAACTAGACGTTGATATCAGGGTTCGGAACGACTGGAGTCTTCCACCCCCAGCCGTTCCTGTAAAACTATCGACAGTGGGTGGACGTCTACAAGGGTACTGGAAGAATTAGGGAATTTTAGAGGACGACTACACCTCTCAGGTACTAAGAGAAGGATACAAAGTACAACTAAAAGCCACACCTCCGCTAACCCTCAGCCCGATGGTCTTCAACTATGCAGAGGAACAGGCAGACAAATTACAAGAAGCCATCAACGCACTACTAATGAAAGATGCTGTAGAGATAATAGATCGGAATCATCTCACTCCAGGCTTCTATTCCTCAATTTTTCTAGTACCCAAGAAGAACTCCATGGAGAAGTTCAGACTGATTTACAACATGCGCAAATTCAACAAAGACAACTTACTGAAACCAGAGAGGATCAGTATGATCCACCTACCTCAACTCAAACAACTCGTCCGTCCAGCAGATTACATGGCCAGCATAGACTTGCAGGATGCATACCTTCACATCCCGATACATCAGGAATCAAGAAAGTATCTACGATTCCTATTCAGAGGGCAGCACTTCCAATGGAACGTCCTACCGTTTGGAATATCTTCGGCTCCGTGGCTGTTCACACGAATAACCAAGCCTATAGTCGCATACCTTCATCATCGAGGTCTTGGACCACGCAATGCCTTCTACTTGGACGATGGAATTCAGGTTCACCAAGATGCCAGTCTACTCAAACTACAACTGAACTTCACAATCAAGTTGCTCACTCAACTAGGATGGTTGGTGAACCTAAGGAAGTCAGAGTTGGAACCAAAACAAGATCTACAATTCCTGGGGATAAGATTTATCACAACTTGACTTGACTCGCACAGGAAGGTTACAACTAAGACCGCTGCAACGGTTCCTGATAAAACATCTAGACAGCATCGACCCTATCTTGCTGCCGGAAAACCTCAAGAGGTATCTACTGTGGTGGACACACAGGTCGAACGTTTGCAAAGGGACCTATTTACAAGAGCCGGCCTTCGACACACAACCTCTACGCAGATGCCTTGATGCAAGGCCTTGGGAAAGTGGTCCAAAACGGAACAACAGCTTCACATCAATCTGCTAAAGATGAAAGCAGTGATCAACGCCTTACAACTATGGTCGAGCTTGCTGAACAACAAGATGTTGATGATCCACACTGACAACTCCACAGTGGCGTTCTCCATAAATCGGCAAGGATCCACAAGGTCTCCAAGCCTGTTGCAGCTCACATTCCAGTTGTTCCAGATCACGCAGGAAGCAAACGTCTGGATAAAGGCGTATCACATACCCAGAGCCAAGAACGTACTGGCAGACGCTCTCTCAAGACCACTACACCCCGTCACATACGGAATGGATGCTCCATCCAGAAGCGTTTCGGAACATAAGGGAGATAGGATCCCCTTGCATAGACCTGTTTGCCACGAGGTTCCAGTTCGCACCAGTTCAAGATCCTCAAGCCTGGGCAACAGATGCACTGAGCAGGACTAAACGGCTACGCTTTTCCACCCCCGATACTACTGCCAAAAGTACTGTTCAAGATCAAACAGACTCAGACGCTACAACTGACTTTGGTTGCGTCCTATTGGCCAGCGAGAGCATGGTTCCCAGACCTAATAGAAGATCTAGGAAACCCAGTAATCAAGCTACCAGATTGGCCGAACCTACTAATACATCCGCACACCAAGCAAGTCCACGGAAACCCAACAGTGTTCCAGCTACACATGTGGACCGTATCAAAACGTGCTTGAAGAAAAGAGGATACTCCGCCAGAGCAGCCAAAGCAGTAACGCTAGCGTTACGCAGATCGACTCGCAACCTATACGACGACAAATGGCTGAAGTTTGAGACTTAAGCAAGGCAGAAAGGCTTCACAGTGATGATAGCCACTCATCCTCAAGTGGCGGAATATCTATGTCATCTTAGACAGATCAGACATCTGAAGGGTTCGACACTATCTACATACCTCGCTGCAATCAGTACAGTGATTACCATGAAAACAGACATCAAGTTGACGAAAGTACCAGAATTACTTGCTCTGCTGAGATCTTTTAAGCTGGAGGACCAGCAAAAGAAATTCAGAGCTCCAGCCTGGGATCTAAATGTAATTCTGCGTCATCTTACCAGTGATGTCTACGAACCGCTAGATCAGATCACGATCGAGCTGCTAACACAGAAGACGCTGTTCCTGCTCGCGTTAGCCACTGCAGCTCGCATATCGGAAATACATGCGCTGGACTATAGTCGAACCACATTCGACAGAGGGCAACATAATGCAGTTCATCTAGGACTTAGATGGGACTTTATTGCCAAGAACCAACTACCTGGTCAACCAGATAGACAGTTCCACATACCAGAGCTGTCTACAGTACTCGGCCCACAAGATATAGAGGACTTATCCTTGTGCCCAGTCAGAGCCCTGAAGATATATCTTCAAAAGACTGAGACAAGGAGACAAAAATTCAAGCGCCTATTCATCCCATTATCAACAGAGACTTCGGCAGAAGTCTCAAGAACGACCATATCGTTCTGGATGAGAGCCGTTATATTGAGAGCCTATAAAGCAGCAGGACTAGAACCTCCTAGAGCTTCCAACCCACACGAAGTCAGAGCACTGGCGTCAACACTAGCTCTGCACGGATATTGCTCTATACCGACAATTATGGAGGGCTGCTTTTGGAAGTCGGACACAGTGTTTGCCAACCACTACCTCCGAGACATAGCCACTGAAGACGTCTCAGGCATTCACCAATTTGAGCCTCTCGTTGTAGCACAGCAACTAACGGTTCCTCAAAGGTGCTGAGTTGGAAAATCTCACCCTTTATAACGCTGACTTGTTGATGACTTTTACTAAGGAAAAGTACTAGTTTGAAAGTCCATGCGCACAGTCTAAGACAGGCTAGCATGAGTGACAAAAGATCCTGTACGGAAGTAAGACAAGAAGTGGTCCCCCCGAGTTACAACGGAAGTTGGAAGAATAGGACCACGGAAATGCCGTTCGCAGTTCGCAGTTCCCATGGGGGACAGCTGTTGAATCCAGTGGCTTGACCCGCCAACTTTCCGTCCGATTCTATAAGCAAAAGATCATGAGTCAGGATAAGGAAAAATATGTAATTTTTTAAGTAAAATTGATATTTTATACTTATCCTGACTCATGACGAACAAGACCTCCCAACCTCCCTGTTGAAGACACTTGAGATTTCACAGCTGATCCAAGTGCATGGGCGGAAAATAAGGAAAGAGTGACAAGTATGGGCACGTCACATGATATGGTTTGCATGGGAAAGGGCAAGGGAGGTAACTCGTGGGTGAGTGTATTTATACGTCCGCTTCGTGAACTTCAAGGGATTCAAGTTTTCCACTACCATTTGAAAGGGAAAGGGAGATAAGCAAAAGATCATGAGTCAGGATAAGTATAAAATATCAATTTTACTTAAAAAAATTACATACTGTTCACCATGTAGTTCCACAGTCACAATGTTATTTTTCTATTTATGTCTCTATCAGGTCGCATATTAAGGAAGAAGCAGGAAGAGTTGATAAAGAAGCATGAGGAGGTGCGTCAGCGTGCAGACCAGCTCAGTGTGGGGGGAGGTGTCGCACTCTGGCCACAGATGGAGAGGATGAAGCTGCATTCAGGGGAGACAATTCAGCTTGTCCTGACATCACTCGGGCTCATGTTAACAGTGGTGTTTACTTTTTTATAAGTTCCACGGTAAGTTTAGGATTGAACCATTGTACAGTTTCTGATACACTGACAACAGTTTTTCGTGAACACATTAACAACATACACATTTTCAAATGTATGTATCGGCTTCAGGTTGTTCCCTGACAGATTTACAAACCTACACCTGGAACCTGAAGACATTCCCCACACATCATGTGATTGACATTAATGAAGGGCAGGAGAGGTTCAAGACATCTCTCATTTCCTGGCATTCAAAGTACAAGACTTTACTGGTGAGTCACACTGTACTGGATGGGATTGAACTATGTTTCATATCATCCAGCACTACATTTCTAAACCTTCAACTCTTGCAAGTAGTTGTGTATTATTCAGTGTTAAAGTGGAGGGTTTGGCCCAAGCGGTATTTAATACATAATGTAAATCATGAAATTAATGCGTCACAAATTTAATGCATGTGCGAGGGTCTAGTCTAAAACACGTTCACGAAATTAATGCAAGCTCAGGAAACTGATGATAAAATGTGACACCCTGAATCTTTGATGTTGCTCATTTTCTTTTCACACTTGTTATCTACCAAATAACCTGAATTGAGCTTGTTAAGCAATGAATGGAAATGAGCTGACGATGTTTTGATTATGCTGCCATGTTTGATCACGTGATTGCTGCCTAAATTGTTGTTATATTCTGTATTGTTATGATGAATGCTAACCTGAAGACAATAAAGATGACAAGAGCATTTACGTTTTCTGTCTTATATTAAGTTCTCATGGTCAGACTGAAATGCGTCTTTATAATAATGCGAGAAGAGTACAGACGCATTTTTCTCGTAAATAAAATGCCCGCATTAATTTCATGATTTACAGTATATGGATGATATCAACCAAGTGTTTACTAGTTTGTAACTGCTGAGCCTGCTTCACAGCACATATTGATTGATGGGTTTTGTTTTGTATGTAATGCCTTAGTTAAATGGTGATAGACACAGGATGTTTGTGTTCACAAGTCTGACTCGTGTGTAATTTGTTGGTGGTATTGTATCAGGTGCTTATTAGGAGGTCTTAGTTTTGAGGGAGAGAGAGATGTATATGAACAACATTCTGTTTTCCAGACATTGATACACAAGAGATTTGACATGACATCCTCCTCTGGTGTAGACGTCATGTTTCTGTGTGGTTACCTGATGGGGCTGGCAGTCTTGATGTACTATCTCATTGATAATATGTTTGCAAAGAGCAAACTGTCACCTAGAAGAATAAAGAACTGGTGAGTGTTTGTCACTGAGGGACAGAATCTTAGCCTCGCTTCTACTTGAAACTCTGACTTGAGTTATGTTGTTTTGTCAGAGTTTTGTGCCATAAGCCTTCTCAGTATCAGAAAAACAGGAATTCATTTGGATTTCTGGACTGTACTGTTGTCTGTTTACAGGCACAGTGACTGTACTGCACGTGGATTACTGTTGTATGTCTGTTTACAGGGATGAACCTACTAACTGTGATAGGCACATGGAGTCGGTACTGTTGTATGTCTGTTTACAGGGATGAACCTACTAACTGTGATAGGCACATGGAGTCGGTACTGTTGTATGTCTGTTTACAGGGTGTGCCTACTAAGTGTGATAGGCACGTCCGTGGACTGTACTGTTGTATGTCTGTTTACAGGTTGTACCTATTTCTGTGATAGGCACGTGGACTGTACTGTTGTATGTCTGTTTACAGGGTGTGCCTATTTCTGTGATAGACACGTGGACTGTACTGTTGTATGTCTGTTTACAAGGTGTGCCTATTGACTGTGATAGGCATGTGGACTGTACTGTTGTATGTCTGTTTACAGGGTGTGCCTATTGACTGATAGGCACGTGGACTGTACTGTTGTATGTCTGTTTACAAGGTGTGCCTATTGACTGATAGGCACGTGGACTGTACTGTTGTATGTCTGTTTACAGGGTGTGCCTACTGACTGTGATAGGCACATGGACTGTACTGTTGTATGTCTGTTTACAGGATGTGCCTATTGACTGTGATAGGCACTTGGACTGTACTGTTGTATGTCTGTTTACAGGGTGTGCCTATTGACTGTGATAGGCACATGGACTGTACTGTTGTATGTCTGTTTACAGGGTGTGCCTACTGACTGTGATAGGCACGTGGACTGTACTGTTGTTGCACTGGTTAGTTTTGGCACACCAGCTGGAGTTTGCCGTAGAAAAAAATGTCCACCACCTCTCCGAAATACTGGTAGGTTAATTTGTTGACTTGTTTGTTGACTTGTTTAAGAATGGACTTAACACATCCATAAATGAAAATAACAGTCCTGTGCATTCTGTATGTCCTTAGCTTCTGTCGCAAACATGCAAGGCTGTGCATGTAAATTTCTTTTGTAATAATGCACATATTTATTACTGTTGTCCACACAGCCCTGTAAGACTGTGCAATATGTCGTAAGTCAGATTGTTAACAAACAGATTGTACTTTTGTATTTCTTCATGTTTTATTTTTTTTAACCATAATCACCCATCAGTTCGACTAGCCAATACATTCCAAACAGAGACCCTTATTACCAAAGTGTCATCCAAATAAATAATAATATTGATGTATGCTGGTTTTGTTTGCACTGCAACATAATGGAAATCTGTGTTCTCTTTACATTATATTGTTATACATATATTTGTAACACCACTGCAAAAGAGGTATCTGAAAAACACGGTAGGTAAAACTGTCAGATCATTTTATATCACCAGTTTATTAGATTTCCCCAGAATGTCGGGAAGAGAAATCTCCATGATGTGATGATACACCAAACCTTGTGTAACAAACTTTTTGTAACTTGATACTTACAATATAAACCATCTGTTGATTTACATCTTTACAATGTCACAATATGTTGAAAATGGATGGAAGGGTCAAAATGTCTTATTACATTCCTGGGATTGATTTCGCTGTATCCAGGCAACACTAGGACATGTAAAATATTGCTAGTGACAGCAACTTTTATTGTCAAGCTGCACCCAGTGCAGGTAACTTTTTGCATATGTCACTGTGAGTATGTCGGGTTGTGTCTTCTTAATTGAAAAAGAAAATAAATTTATGAATGAAAACCCAATCTATCAAAACATCCTTTCAGACCATAAGTTATGTGAGCATTTCTGGATATGATGAAGCTGGTTTTGAATTTCTCTCTCACTTTGACTAGTCTGTTGTCAGTGACGATGATAGGATTGCTTTTAACATGGTTCAGACAATATTTGATTGTGCAACCATATTAATTCATGTGGTTGCACCTGGTGGATGTAGAGAAAAAAACATGAAACTGTACCCTGTATTTTAGCATTACACAGCAGACAAATACAGCCAGTTCTGCAGAGCTAACAAAAAGAATCAAAAAGGTCTATTGTAAACTGATACTTGTGTCATTTTATAATAAATTTATCCATTTAATATTAAACACAGATGAATCTAAGCTAAACATGCATGTGCATTGACTCTCCTTGTTGTACATCCTCATGTGCTCAGTATGATTTCTTTTTCCAGGGTGACCTTGTTGACACTGACCTTGACCTCCCGGTATTTCATACAGTGCTGCTGTATTGGCGGACACGTTGCTTACCACCTACTACGCATGGCACTTTGTCCATTCTGAGTGTGCTTCCTGTGCGGGACGTCATGTATTATCTACAGTACTACAGCCTCCCAGTCATTACTGTGCTTGTCACACCAGTGCTCAGACTCTTGGTAGCTCTCTGTCAGGTATACAGGATATAGCCACTTCTTACACACTGTTGCACGAGTCTCACAATTCTCTCACACATCTCACCGGTTTTTTCATGCAGTTTACTGTAGTGTTGGGAATTGGTTAAAATCTCATAATTGATGATTGGTTCATTACAACCGATCAATCATCGAAAATAATTGGTTAGCGTCATTTATGAAATTTTCCTGGTTATTTTTGTTAATGCACAAAAAATAAAGAAAATACATGCAGTTCCTTGGGGTGATTTTTGCAAATTGCACATCTTTAAAGGATGACTAGTATGTAAGGAACATAAATTTCTTTTCTTGTCGTCTTTAAAATAAATTCAGTTGTGACTTGGAACGAGCATGTCGTGTTCATGAAATGTAACAGACAAAACCAACCGTGTGAAAAATATTGTTAATGCAAAAAGTGTTCCAGAATTGTTTGTGTTCGATTATGAGAAAACATGATCGATTGCTTTGTCGTGTAGTCATTGCGACCAGTCTTCAATTTTTCAATTAATCGGACCACCACTAATTTACTGTTACTGTTATCTCATTATCTCAGTGTTCTGCCACATATTTCATGCAGGTCACTGTTCACACATCTCATGTAGTTCTTTGTTCTCACACACATCTCATGTAGATCATTCTTCTCACACACATCTCATGTAGATCATTCTTCTCACACACATCTCATGTAACTCACTGTTCTCACACACATCTCATGTACCTCATTCTTCTCACACATCTCATGTAGCTCATTCTTCTCACACATCTCATGTAGCTCACTGTTCTCACACATCTCATGTAGCTCACTGTTCTCACACACATCTCATGTAGCTCACTGTTCTCACACACATCTCATGTAGCTCACTGTTCTCACACACATCTCATGTAGCTCACTTTTCTCACACACATCTCATGTAACTCACACATCTCATTTAGCTCACTGTTCTCACACACATCTCATGTAGCTCACTGTTCTCACACACATCTCATGTAGCTCACTTTTCTCACACACATCTCATGTAGCTCAATGTTCTCACACACATATCATGTAGCTCACTTTTCTCACACACATCTCATGTAGTTCACTGTTCTCACACACATCTCATGTAGCTCACTTTTCTCACACACATCTCATGTAGCTCATTGTTCTCACACTCATCTCATGTAGCTCACTTTTCTCACACACATCTCATGTAGCTCATTGTTCTCACACACATCTCATGTAGCTCACTGTTCTCACACACATCTCATGTAGCTCACTGTTCTCACACATCTCATGTAACTCACTTTTCTCACACACATCTCATGTAGCTCATTCTTTTCACATCTCATGTAGCTCACTTTTCTCACACACATCTCATGTAGCTCACCTTTCTCACACTCATCTCATGTAGCTCACTGTTATCACACACATCTCATGTAGCTCACTGTTCTCACACACATCTCATGTAGCTCATTCTTCTCACACACATCTCATGTAGCTCACTTTTCTCACACACATCTCATGTAGCTCACTTATCTCACACACATCTCATGTAACTCACTTTTCTCACACACATCTCATGTAGTTCACTGTTCTCACACACATCTCATGTAGTTCACTGTTCTCACACACATCTCATGTAGCTCACTTTTCTCACACACATCTCATGTAGTTCATTGTTCTCACACACATCTCATGTAGTTCATCGTTCTCACACATATCTCATGTATCTCACTTTTCTTACACACATCTCATGTTCATTGTTCTCACACACATATCATGTAGCTCACCTTTCTCACAAACATCTCATGTAGCTCACTCTTCTCACACACATCTCATGTAGCTCACTGTTCCCACACACATCTCATGTAGCTCATTCTTTTCACATCTCATGTAGCTCACCTTTCTCACACACATCTCATATAGCTCACTTTTCTCATACACATCTCATGTAACTCACTTTTCTCACACACATCTCATGTAGCTCATTCTTTTCATATCTCATGTAGCTCACTTTTCTCACACACATCTCATGTAGCTCACCTTTCTCACACTCATCTCATGTAGCTCACTGTTATCACACACATCTCATGTAGCTCACTGTTCTCACACACATCTCATGTAGCTCATTCTTCTCACACACATCTCATGTAGCTCACTTTTCTCACACACATCTCATGTAGCTCACTTATCTCACACACATCTCATGTAACTCACTTTTCTCACACACATCTCATGTAGCTCACTGTTCTCACACACATCTCATGTAGCTCATTCTTTTTCACACACATCTCATGTAGCTCACTGTTCTCACACACATCTCATGTAGCTCACTGTTCTCACACATCTCATGTAGCTCATTCTTCTCACACACATCTCATGTAGTTAATTGTTCTCACACACATCTCATGTAGTTAATTGTTCTCACACACATCTCATGTAACTCACTTTTCTCACACACATCTCAAGTAGCTCATTCTTCTCACACATCTCATGTAGCCTCACTTTTCTCACAACATCTCATGTAACTCACCTTTCTCACACACATCTCATGTAGCTCATTCTTCTCACACATCTCATGTACCTCACTGTTCTCACACACATCTCATGTAACTCACTGTTCTCACACACATCTCATGTAGCTCACTTTTCTCACACACATCTCATTTTTCTCACACATCTCATGTAGCTCACTTTTCTCACAAACATCTCATGTAGCTCACTGTTCTCACACACATCTCATGTAGCTAACTTTTCTCACACACATCTCATGTAGCTCATTCTTCTCACACACATCTCATGTATCTCACTGTTCTCACACACATCTCATGTAACTCACTTTTCTCACACACATCTCATATAGTTCATTGTTCTCTCACACATTTCATGTAACTCACTTTTGTCACACACATCTCATGTAGCTCATTCTTCTCACACATATCATGTAGATCATTCTTCTCACTAATCTCATGTAGCTCATTCTTCTCACACATCTAATGTAGCTCACTGTTCTCACACACATCTCATGTAACTCACTTTTCTCACACACATCTCATGTAGCTCATTCTTTTCACATCTCATGTAGCTCACTCTTCTCACACATATCTCATGTAGCTCACTCTTCTCACACACATCTCATGTAGCTCACTGTTCTCACACACATCTCATGTAGCTCATTCTTCTCACACACATCTCATGTAGTTCATTGTTCTCACACACATCTCATGTAGCTCACTGTTCTCACACACATCTCATGTAGCTCATTGTTCTCAAACACATATCATGTTGTTCATTGTTCTCACACACATATCATGTAGCTCACCTTTCTCATACACATCTCATGTACTTCAATCTTCTCACACATCTGATGTAGCTCACTTTTCTCACACACCTCATGTAGTTCATTGTTCTCACACATCTCATGTAGCTCACTGTTCTCACACACATCTCATGTAGCTCACTGTTCTCACACACATCTCATGCTCAGCTCACTGTTCTCACACACATCTCTCATTTTTCTCACAGCTGACTGTTCTCATCTATAGCTCACTGTTCTCACACACATCTCATGTAACTCACACATCTCATTTAGCTCACTGTTCTCACACACATCTCATGTAGCTCACTGTTCTCACACATCTCATGTAGCTCACTGTTCTCAAACACATCTCATGTAGCTCACAGCTCACACATCACATAGCTCATGTAGCTCACTGTTCTCACACATCTCATGTAGCTCTCTGTTCTCACTGTTCTCACACATCTCATGTAGCTCACTGTTCTCAAACACATCTCATGTAGCTCACACATCTCATGTAGCTCACACATCTCATGTAGCTCACTGTTCTCACACACATCTCATGTAGCTCACTGTTCTCACACATCTCATGTAGCTCACTGTTCTCACACATCTCATGTAGCTCATTGGTCTTACAGACATATCATGATGCTCACTGTTTTATTTGTTTATATATTCTATAAATCATGTTGCTAAATTTTTTTGCCAATAATCAAGTTTGTCTTTTCAAAGTAATGTTGAAGGTTCAATCTGTTCTGTTTAGTCCCTGATCAGGCATGAAGGACATGCTGTGTAACAGTATAAATTGAGATTTGTGTTGTACCAATGTACAGTAATAATAATGACTTAACGGGAGGGTGTGTAATTTATTCAATAATTTGAAGATATAAGTATGTAATCAGTGCATAGATGGATAACTGCAGGTTCTTGTTGGTGTTAAGTGATAAATATAGGATGAAAGGTTGTACCTCACTACCACCCCATACACAAGCTATCAGCTCAGCTGCTGGTATATTGTACAGAGATTTCTGAGCTTCTCTTTTGTATAAATTTGTGTTATTGAAAATAAAAGGTGTATTTTCATTGATATCAGTTTGTGCTATTATATTCATAAATGAAATTATAAGAGTGAGTGAGTTTGGTTTTACGCCGCTTTTAGCAATATTCCAGCAATATCACGACGGGGGACACCAGAAATAGGCGTCACACATTGTACCCATGTGGGGAATCGAACCTGGGTCTTCGGCGTGACGAGTGAAGGCTTCAACCACTAGGCTACCCCACCGTCCTGAAATTATGAGAAGAGGCATGGTGTATATATATATGGATGAAACCTTATTTATCGAGTACAGTGATGCTCAAACAACAACCACATGTACTTTAATAAAGATGTATGTTAATATTTGTTGTGTAAATAATGTAAACATAGAGAAACTTATTTCTTTTGCCATGCAGCCTCCATTAAAGAACTATACGCCCATGTACATGAAGCTGTGGTAGAGGCTCAGTGGGAGGCACTGATTAGGTGAAGCTAGTTGCATGCTGTGACAACATGCTGTGGCAGTGTCAAGTCATAATGCACAGCAGGTTCACAGCTGTGGGTTGTGAAGTTATCACTGTAATCATGTCTGGTACCTTGGCAATGATAGGCATTCTGAACAATGGTTGATACACAGCCTGTGTTATGACAAAGTCAACTCTCTCCTGATCTCCATTAAATCATTGGGTGAGGATACATGACACTAAACAATATTGTTTGTGATCATTAGGGACTTGACTAGGATATGTTTGTTGGGTTTACTTGCTGTTGATGTCTGTTCTGTGACCAGACTTACAGACTTGCTTTCCTTGCATACAGAATTGCTACCTGATAAACACTGATCAGCAACTTTAGACATTTTGAGCTATTATTTCCATGAGGATTTGCTAGTTTGAACTCTTGCAAAACCCTTAACATAAAGGCAAATGTGACAATAATCTGTGAATGTTTCCTTTTATCCTGGAGTAATAATATATTCAGAAAATATAAATATAGAATATTAGTTTTATCATGATCAGTAATAGCTTTGAGAAACACACCAGTTTAAAGTGATACAAACTCATCTCACAAACATACTATTCAAAAATGTTTAAGTTACAACTACATAATTTAAAAGATGTTTCTAGATAAATCCTAGCCTACGGTAATAAGTACTCATCTCTTAGACACACCTTTAGTAAGACAAAAGCTGTCTACACTGTTTAATAAATTGCTTTTATAAATTTTATAAGGTAAACATGTCCTCACCGATATTAGAATAACAGTAAGCAAACACTTCAATTTAGGCTCCTTAAGATTTAGCCTAGAGTAAGGGTGTCTATTGTAATACTATAATCATCCAAGCATCCAGTTAAATGTCATACTGAATAGTTACCTCTGATAAACACTGGTAAGCAACTTTATGAATTTTGAGCTATTATTTCCGTGAGCATTTGCCAGTTTGAACTCCTGCAAAACCCTTAACATAAAGGCAAATGTGACAATAATCTGTGAATGTTGAATGTGAACATGGTATTTACCCACAGACTGACAGTCTCTAGAGGAAGGACAGTTCAGCATCCTGATAACCTGGCACACTGTGATATCTACTGTCCTTACCCAAACGTGAGATCTCTGCCTGGTACCAGCACAGGGGGTATAACCACATCAAATAGGACCTAAATACAAGTTGTTTTGAACGAACAATGGACAAACCATGATGGAGGGCGCAGTGGACCAGGGTCCGTTGATGGTGTGTTCAAATCCTGTTAGTTCGTGATTATGGTCCTCTTTTTGCCAGCACCATGCCACATGGTTGTAAATTGCAATAAAAATTGCAGCTTTCCTACTCTCCTGACACTAACAGTCATACAACCAGTTGTTTCTTGTAGGGAAAACTGTGGGTGTCGTCTCAGGACGCCGACCTTTCGATTTTCCACTAGTCTCAGGACGCCGACCTACGGTTTCTTTTGAAGGTTAGGTTCTGATTAGGCGTAATTAGGGTTGCGGATAATCTACTCTAGATGTTTTGATAAGGTGAACTCGTCTCTCTAGGTGAACATATCGCAGTGGAACGCAATGGAACCACCACAACTCAGATGGGCCAAGAACTAACAACCACCTGGAAGGGTGGCATTCACGTCAGAAGAGTTACGTCGACAAAGCTCACCCAAACATCTTCAAGCTCATGCCGTTCCTGTCACGAGAACAGACCAACACGGAAAACAAGCTGGTCCAGTACGCTGCTGGCCAGAAGCGTCAGTCCAAGAAGAAGAAATACAGGGACTTGGAGCGACGACTGACTGACTGACTGAGTTTGGTTTTACGCCGCTTTTAGCAATATTCCAGCAACATCACGGCGGGGGACACCAGAAATGGGCTTCACACATTGTACCCATGTGGGGATTCGAACCCGGGTCTTCGGCGTGACGAGCCAACGCTTTAACCACTAGGCTACCCCACCACCCCTGGAGCGACGACTGGATGACATCCGTCACCAGCTCAGACAAGGAACACTGTCCGTGAAACAGTTTGCTGATTCAGCATTCCACCTGTTGCATTGGGGTTACAATCTGTAGATCAGTCTCGGTGAAAAGAAGTGTGCTCTGTGTATCATGAATACGCATCGGATATGCGATGTATTTATTAAAAATGTCACGTATTTATTTATGTGTGCCATTGTTAAAAACTCCGTTAAAATCTGACAACTGAGTTTGTTGATGAGTGCTTCAAGTGCGGAAATATACTGACAAAAATATAAACTGTTGTCGTCTTCTCATTAGGTGTGCTATCATCCGCATAATTCGGATTATCCTCTTCTAACAACTCGTTGATCCTTCATTGTCCTCGTGGGCGGTGGGGTAGCCTAGTGGTTAAAGCGTTGGCTCGTCACGCCGAAGGCCCGGGTTCGAATCCCCACATGGGCACAATGTGTTAAGCCCATTTCTGGTGTCCCCCGCCGTGATATTGTTGGAATATTGCTAAAAGCGGCGTAAAACTAAACTCAGTCAGTCAGTCATTGTCCTCGTAATCCTTTATTTATTGGCAAAATGAAACTAGTCTCAGGACGCCGATATTTTTTTTTTCACTCAACCGTGAAGTTTGGTCGAAAGGTCGGCGTTATGAGCCTGAACCAAATTAAGTGATTAAATGGGCATTTGATGATCATAGTTGATGGCTTGTTAAAAGATCAACAAGGAAAATACTGACCAGAACATTACTTTATCCAGTCATATGTAACACAAGTCCACTACCAGTGAGACCACCGCCATGTGTTACCTGGCTTGTAAACGCCTCACTACCCAGAAAGTAGAGAGTGAATCAGTGTGATTTGAAATCCATATTCCAGATATACTACTCAAAGTTTGCAAAGGATCAAGTTTTGATGATATGGGGAAAAAAACATCCAACAAATATAGATTGATGTATCCTGGTACACAATGATTGGCTAGCCCCAAAAGGACCTGTTTCATGATAAACGGACAGTGTCATACAGTCACACCATGCACGATGTGTTTGAAAACCTGTTTGAAAGTCCATGCATGACATAATCTCCTTCAGCTTCACCATGACAGGTGTATCCTTCAGGCATGACATTCTGGATGTGTACGTGAGACACTATGTTGGCACCATCGGACTGAACTTCACCATCGTGGACGGTAACGCACGGTCTCATCATGACATGGTCATTGATGACCACTTAGATTATGAGACCAATGTCTGTATCGAACACGTGGAACGATCTGCAGTTTGTCGCCTCACGACGCAATTCTCTACAGGAATTTGGCAATGCTGTTACTGAAGACTGGAACAGTCTCATTGGCTGTCATCGATACACTAAAAAGTAGCAAGAGATGACAGTGAGAGGCTGTGATCGCTGTGTTTGGCGCCTGACGAGAATGGTTTAACAATTTGACTACCCCACCGCCCTTACGTTCTGTCTCTGAACATATTTAAGCCGGGACACAGAATTCGCAATTCATCGCAGCTCGTATGTTATCACTGTAATGTCACCACGGATTTAAGGCATGACTGGATAATTGGGTTTTGGGTCTGTAATCGTGTATTTTACGGTAGTCACCATGAACACACAATTGTTTGCACATCTGTTGCGCAACAGGTTGACGATGTGACACCCACACTTAGACAACAGCCTTAGCCACATACACAATTTAAATATTTAATACATCAACGATATATTATCCTATAGTACCTTTTCCACCAATAAACGGTTTTAGCGGGGCAAACCCTGGAGGCTTGTATATAGTTTTGTGTCGGCCAACATTATAATCCCCGAGGATATGGACATTGACTGGGAGACATTTCACAAAATATTCTTCCAAGGAAAATTGAAGGTAACCAGCCTCAGGTTATACCAATATCGATATACCTGTCAATTAAACCACGTGCTTCTACAATTGTTATTGTTGCTCGCGGCACCTCTCAACCCTGTTATCTCAAACATGAACACTACAGTAAGCGATCGATTTGTAGTGCAGACAGGTCTATTTCCCTATCTGCATAGATGTTATACATATCTAAACTGCGTATCTTATGGAAGTGAACATCGAGTATTAGCATACAAATTAACTGTAATTATCAAATAAAGACGCCAGTTGGGTGTATTGAAGTCGGCGTGAACAAACACGGCGTGTAGGCGAGCACACACTGTGAACAACAGCTCCAGCACGTCACTGCACGCTGGCTCGGGTCGATACAGGGATGTTCCGTGCCGGCTGATTAAGCTCACATCTCTCCTGTCACCGCACACAATTAGTTTAATAAACCTGTTCAGTGTATGACACTCAAATAACTTAACGTTGACAAGCTGCCCTCACTTTCATCCGTCTCCACAAGCCAGCTGTAAACCAAGGAACCTTTAGGTTGATACAGTAGTAGACTTTAAGAAAACCAAGAGAGATCCCATCGATTTTTCATTGACAACTTTGGAAGCGTCATCTCCGATTGGTCGTTGCCAAGGCAACGGGCTGCGTCAAATATTCATTAATTCCGTGTGGCTCTTCCTCCATGCGGCAGAACCCTGTGGTTGTATTACTGTGATACTGTTAACGAATCGCGCTAACCTGCACGTAGCGAGGACTATATAATCTCTGGCTGTATTCGAAACATCTGTTTGTCAGTTGAAGTCACAAGATTACCTTTATCTCGGATTATTATTGTGGCCAATCGGTTTCAAGTCACTGAGGACAGGTGAGTGTATGGCAAATCTATGTTGTAAATAATGTGATGGAGGTGATGTTGTTTGTGTTGATTTCTTAACTCATGGTGTTGATTTCAGTGTGTGTATTATGAGAATATGAACAACATATTGTGACAGATTGTCCAGGTGGAGTTGTAGGTTTGGGACAGAGGGATATATAATGTTGATACTCCACCATATGGGATCTTGTCTGACGTCTGTTATTGCTACACATCAGTTCACTGTTTCCACTGGGGGTAGTCCATGAAAAAGACGTCTATTTGGCTTAAGAATGTTCTTGATAAGGAGAATTGACAGCTTTTATGTCGTCAAATCATAACAATGGGTCAGTTATCAGTTACAGTTGAACTGAATTTTCATTTCTTAGTTTCATTTCGTGTACTGTGATACCGAGCAGACAACATGGCACGTATGGCTACAGTAATGATAAAAACAACAGTTCATTGTTCTTTCACAATTTCTTATTTCCTTGTTTCGTTTTACTTAATATGTTCCCGAATAAGACAAACAATAGTTATGGATTTATCTAAATATATTTCAAATGAAACTTTTACTTTTTTGGTTTTGTTATTGATTACGTGAAAGACCTAGTTATGATGTTAAACCTTCGTGTTGTAAGCATTCGGACTAGAGTGTTCAGAAACACACAAACCCAGAATGTCAAACTGAACTCGACGTCGACATTTAAAACACTGGTGTCTTCATAAATCCTAGTCCTAAAAAGGGAGCAGTTGTTATGATAAGTGAAGACTGCGCGCGCGCGCGTGTGTGTTTGTGTTTGTTTATGTATGTGTCTGTGTATTTGAGGCAAGGTGGGGTCTGGGTGCTTAGCCTTTAATGTCACTTTATGAAGGACTATGAATTCCATTGTATAACCCACAACGAGGATGCCGTGGGACAACTTTCAATAACCCTGCGCCAGTATTAACCCTGTTGATTGGCAACAACTCCTGGACAAAGAGCAAGACTATAAACAAAGGATGCCTTGTTGCAAACATTAAGTACAGGCATGGTATGTAACTAGATGACGGAGTGCATGCAGTCTAGTAGCACTGTCTGGCTGGTATGCTTCCAGAAGTAAAGTCACTGTCATCACATAAGGAATCTAAAGTGAAAGTCAGGACATGATTGCACAAATGGAGTAGTCAAAATGTCTATTTCATTCAAGTTTGTTGGTATAGTGTTATTTCGTGGACGGAATTTTCTGTGCGTTTTTATTGTCTTTTTGATTCGATTGATTGTTGCCTCGCTTGATATACATTGTAACAGTTTTCTTTATAAATTTTGCACACTTTCTTTGTAATCTGAAGACAGTCCTTTGGGTTGCATTTTAGAAGGAGACGCTTGACAACGGAACAACAATCTGTATCGAAACGTCCCACTCACGAAATAAGAAGTTGTTATCCATAAACCTTATCTATATCTAAAGACAGTGGTGTACATGATTCTGGATAGTGTTTATTTTGTAAGCATATTACGCACATGGATGACCATCTCCATCATCATCACTATATACTTTAACATAACCCCACGCTGGCTTTACATAGTAGATGGAGCAGTCAATATCTTAAACGCAAAAATACATGTTTGAACAACTAACTTGTGATCAGGCCTGCGCTCTGAAGCAGATTTGACACTTAATACGAACTGGGGGAAAACTCACTCTCTGTCCTTTGATATCTCAAACCGAAAGTAGGACCCCCAGATATTCTTCACAATTACATATAGAATGTCATAGTCCTCTCCGACAACCAGTCCGTACTTGTTCCTGTGACACACAACCATCGCTTGATTGCAAACATATATACATATTGAAGAGTGACACAAGAACCAAGTTCCCCGCAGTACAGGGACAACGTCACCATCGTAGCTTGCAATGTTGTATTGGTAGTCCTCTGTCTGAGAGATATACGTAAGATGTTCCACGTATAGCCACCATTTCCAAATGCAACAACAAACTGAAGTGTTTTCACATGTACACATCCCTGTATCATATCTGTGCAATATAAGTGAGAAGTGGCAGCACTGAAGGGTTAATTTACCCAACACAAACGATGGCACATCACAGCGGCACTATGTTTTCTGTCTGACATACTGTAGCAGTAATATGAAAACAACATAATATATAATGAACAGTTCCACTCATCAGTCACCATGGTACCATCACGAATGGCGCTACTGGAGGTCCAGCATCGGTATTACCTTCAGAATTAAATACTATATCCACAGTCTTTGAAGAACGCTTTATGATATTCCAATCACAGGTTTATTGTCTTTGAGTCTAGAGAGATACACTGATACGATGAATGATAAGACAATGATTGCATCTAACAGTTGAGTCGTGATAACCACTGCAATACGTCGTTAGTTTGACCACCTCCATTGTTTCCTCGGCCGGTGACAGTCAACATCCTAGTATCCTCCATACGTACTACTGACGTGTGTGCTCTGTGTATTCTAACCATGTCTTCTACCGATCTAGTTCATCCGTGTGTTCTATTGTCAAGGTGTTTGTTTCAGCCCAATGGCCTTGGTGGTCGTCAGTCTAGTGTTGGGACTCTGCATGGGGGGCCTTGCAGCCCCTGCCCCCAACACGTCCAAGCAGATCGACCTACTCATGCCCCACGTACAGCCTAAAGTTGTAAGTTTAACTTGCATACACTATATAAACTCACAGAACGGTCTTAGTCACTTTACACATGTAATATGTTATGTAACACAACTTGTATAGCACGAAGAGCTCATTATATTAGCTTGTAAGAAACGTCCCGTTATGACGGCCATGTGGGGTAAGCAATGTTAACACATACTATCCTCAAAAGTATACAGTGTGGACGTTTGCCCAAAGTGGTGTAACAATCACATCATTTTGGATAGAAACCATTTGACATGCAGTGATTATTGCATTGTTTCACTAATTATGTGTCTCTGCATCCAGACGTTGCTAGTATGGATGGAATATTAATGAAATACAAAATTCACACTTATGCTCTTATGAGAGAAGTCAAAGACTGAGACTTGGTTTGACACAACAATATAATCACGTTGCATTGGAATCGGATATTAACACTGTCTCATCCTCAGCCGGACACGTACCTCTGTCACGGAATGAAGCTGAATTCTTCGGAGACATACATAAGTAAGTAGAAACAAATCCAGTGAGTGAAATCAAGTTTTCTCTTCTCTAAAATATCAAAGTTTTAGCTTCTCAAGACCGAAGGTCCGTGTGAGCTTACAATCTGAATACCGCCTGCACGGCCTTAGGTCGTCCTTCTCTTGTTTTCGAACTTTGAGATTGTATCCTGGGATTGCATAGCAGGACAATAGAACCTGGAATCCTCCTCAAAAGCCACATGACCCGAACAACCGACACGTATCGGGGATTTGTAGAACTCTCATACGACCTCGATTTGTTGGTACAGAAATTCTGTAAAATAGCAAGTATGGAACAATATTGCTCAAACCATGGAAACTGTTCCTGCTTAATCACAGAAACCAAATAGCCAGCTGGTTCTTGTTCGTCTGATACAGAGTTCTGTACATTCAACCTTCATCTTACCAACAACTTATAGAGCTACAGTGCCTTGCGCTATTTTACTTGTTCGTTTTCCTCCGCAAAAACGGCATACAAGGCGCCCTCTGTAACAAGTCGATTATTCCATACCCCATATGTTTACTGTGCTTTTAAGTACCCAGTATTTTCAGAAAACTCCAAACATTAATCTTCCCCTTCTCGTCCCCCAGCTGGCTTCATCCCCAACGCCAACATGAACATCGCCCATCACATGCTGCTGTATGGGTGTATGGAACCAGGGATGAAGAAGCCGGTCTGGTAGGTATCAATCTTGTAACTGTAAACTGGTGGAGTTAACGGTATAAGGGTGCACTACATCAACTCGCACACTTCACTACATCAACGTGTACCCTTGCACCCTTCACTACATCAACGTGTACCCTTGCACCCTTCACTACATCAACGTGTACCCTTGCACCCTTCACTACATCAACGTGTACCCTTGCACCCTTCACTACATCAACGTGTACCCTTGCACCCTTCCCTACATCAACGTTTACCCTTGCACCCTTCACTACATCAACGTGTACCCTTGCACCCTTCCCTACATCAACGTTTACCCTTGCACCCTTCGCTACATCAACGTGTACCCTTGTCCCCTTCACTACATCAACGTGTACCCTTGCACCCTTCAATACATCAACGTTTACCCTTGCACCCTTCGCTACATCAACGTGTACCCTTGCACCCTTCCCTACATCAACGTTTACCCTTGCACCCTTCCCTACATCAACGTGTACGCTTGATTTATTTAAGCGGAGTATGATGATAACACGTGGAAATCTGAAGGAAGTCAGCAGGAAAATACATAGGAACAGAATTATATTGATATTGATTCAAACCAAAATATTAACCATATTCTAAATATTTTCAAATCCAAGTACAGTTATTATGTCTCTCCCGCCATCACAACACTAGAGAAACGGGCAATGCCACCTACATGGTGCCCGCGATCAATACAGATATACTGCTTGTCAGCTGGCCAGTATTGGGTTATTATTATTGAGAATAGATGTATGCCAGAGAGTCTCTCCAGGGTTAATTTCCGACAGTTTGGCTAATAAAGCTAGTTATATGTCACATTCCAGGAACTGTCGTATACAGACTAATCAATCTAGATTTTGCTCTTCCCTAGCCAGTTGGAAGCCGAAATTGTCATATTTCATCAAGATTACAAAAAAACAATAACATGTGCATGGACAACCTAACCCAATAAACATAACTCTGAACCCAAATATATTACCCTTCATATGTTAACACCACACGTTGTGTTTGTTTAGTTGTTTGTTTAACGCCGTGCGCTGTAAGGTTACAGCTACATGGCGGTGATCTGTCAATAATCGAATCTGGACCAGACAATCTAGGGATTGACATCATGAACATCGATCTATGCAGTTGGGATACAATGACATACATCACCCAAGTCAGCGAGCCCGACCACCCGAACCCGTTAGTCGCCTCTTGCAACGAATATGAGTTGCTGAAGACCAACTCCAACCCGGAGTTTCACGGGTTACCACACCAGTGGTGATGTAGGTCATTGGCGTCTACGTAAACGTCTATCACCTTCCTCACTTTGACCTTTACATAAAGACGAAACGTTATACTATAGTCGTGATGCACTTTCGTCATTTTTGTCGCCATCAGCTATTTTAACAATTTACAGGACGTAGTTACCACTTCCTCGGGTTATAGGACGCGACACTGAATGCCAAAACGTAAATGTCAGTGTACATATTTCCATAGTTATAAGCAACAGTTAGTGCAAGCGTGATTGTCGTCTGTCAAAATCAGCACCCATGTACTGGGTAGTTGTACGTTAAGTATGTCTTCAGAAATAGTTCTGTGTATGTAAGTATCGATAAACGGAATTTCACTATTTCAGGAATTGTGGCGAGATGGCCGCCAGCTCCTCGGAGTTTGATATGGCTCCAACCTGTGCGTCTGGACCGAAGATCCTGTACGCCTGGGCAATGGACGCTCCAAGCCTGACTCTACCTAAAGGTAGGTATTATCTTGTTTCTGCATGCATAGGCAATGTACAGCTGGCTTGTCCCGCAGACAGATACCGTCCACAGTCGCACTCCTTGTATCACACAGAACTTCATCACCCAGTTTGTCATTCCGTCTGTTACATATACATACAACTTGTAAATACTTCAGCTCGTTTGGTGTATATCTGAACGTTATCTGTATGGGAAAACGACAGGTATTACTTCGAGTCTGATTTTAGAGAAACACCGCCATTTCAGTTGTACTTGTTAAGTGTCAGAAGTTATGGGACTAGTCTGGAGCACTGATAAAAGATGAGCCAACAGAAAATTCCAATTTCTCAACACAAATATATCTTTAACAAGCAGAATTATTTTATACACGATAGACTATGCTAAAAATGCTGAACAAACAGGAACACTGGATACACGATAATATACGCTAAAATGATGAACAGACACATTGGATACACGATAGTCTATGCTAAAAATGATGAACAAACAGATACATTGGATACACGCTAATATACACCAAAATGATGAACAGACCGATTAGATTCATGATAATATACACTAATACTGGTGAACAGGCACATTGGATGCAAGATAGTTAACACTAAAATGAGTGAGTGAGTTTAGTTTTACGCCGCACTCAGCAATATTCCAGCTATATGGCGGCGGTCTGTAAATAATCGAGTCTGAACCAGACAATCCAGTGATCAATAGCATGAGCATCGATCTGCGCTATTGGGAACCGATGTCATGTGTCAACCAGGTCAGCGAACCTGACCATCCGAAGCCGTAACACTAAAAATGATGAACAGGCACTTTGGAGACACGATAGTCCACAGTAAAATGATGAACAAAGAGACACATTGGATACACGCTAATATACACTAAAATGATTCACAGACACATTGGATACACGATAGTCAACACTAAAATGATTCACAGGCACTTTGGATACACGCTAATATACACTAAAATGATTCACAGACACATTGGATACACGATAGTCAACACTAAAATGATGAACAGACACATTGGATACACGATAGTCAACACTAAAATGATGAACAGACACATTGGATACACGCTAATATACACTAAAATGATTCACAGACACATTGGATACACGATAGTCAACACTAAAATGATTCACAGACACATTGGATACACGATAGTCAACACTAAAATGATGAACAGACACATTGGATACACGCTAATATACACTAAAATGATGAACAGACACATTGGATACACGATAGTCAACACTAAAATGATAACCAGACACATTGGATACACGATAGTCAACACTAAAAATGATGAACAGTCACATTGGATGCACGATAGCCAACACTAATTATGATGAACGAACAGAACAATTTGGTCATTACATCATTTCATCACTACACGTTGGATACACGATAGTCAACACTAAGATGATGAACAGACACATTGGATACACGATAGTCTATGCTAAAATGATGAACAGACACGTTGGATACACGATAGTCTACACTAAACATTATGAACAGACACTTTGGATACACGATAGTCAACACTAAAAGGATGAACAAAGACTTTGGATTCACGATAGCCAACACTAAATTATGATGAACGAAGACAGCCATTTGGACATTAAATCATTTCATCATTACACGTGCACGGACATCTAACATCATTTGTTAAACCTCATCAACGATTATTTGATTCAAATCAACCATAATCCCGAACAACTTCGTCGGAACATAAACTCTGTGTATTGTATTATCCCATCGCTCATCGGTGGGTCCTTGTTGTGTGAGATAACGAAGTCCTTGTGTCAGCCTCCGTGCCATTAAGACCATGAATAAACCAGTGTTTGCTCTCGGCCCAGGGACTTCGCCACCTGAATGTTCTCAACACTGGGTTTCAAACGCGGCCTATTCATTTGGCACAATTTCAATCTGCCCAAGTAGACAGAACCTGCTTGGAACTCCCAAAGCTATTATCCACAAGCCTAATGTCTTATGTTCGTGTGTTCAATCCTTCTGAATATTACATTCAGCCATTTTGTTCTGTTCCTGACCCATGAGAATATTCAAATGAAATGGGAACCTGGGAAGTGTAATGCGTTTATGAAACACTGAAGCATATAAATCCTTCTTGGATTGTTGCAAAAAAGGGAAAAATATGTTACGTTTGACCTCTTTCTTCCACTGGCATCGTTTATTCATAGCTTTCAGCCAAGGAGCCGCGTCAATTTACACAATTTTCAAGGGGGTGCACAAACTACATGTCTAGACAACCAGTTGCCAAACTTACATTTTGAGGGGGGAAGCCACGCTGGCTGAGTGGGTTAGATTGACCACCTTGGGTACTGGTGATTTGGTGCCTCAACCCCCCAAAAGTAGCTGAATTTGTACTTTACCGAGAAGTGTTATCCCAAATATAAGTTATGTTACATTTGACCACTTTCCAAATTGCATCGATGTATCCACACTTTGAGAAAATACAATTTAGGCAGTGTATAAAAAATATTGCCAGTAGTTTGGAAAACAAAACCAAATGTCACTGTGTTTGCAAGCATCTGTATAAACGGACACTATGGTACTCATAGGACATCATTCTCTTGTGATATTGCACATCCGAATACAAGTTATATAGTGGAACAACAGATCTAATTATCATGTGAGAACCGTGACAAGATGGATATGTCGTGCCAGTGCTTGGTGCTGTGTTATTGTCAGTTGTTAGTGGAAAAGACTGACTGACTGAGTTTAGTTTTACGCCGCTTTTAGCAATATTCCAGCAATATCACGGCGGGGGACACCAGAAATGGGCTTAACACATTGTGCCCATGTGGGGAATCGAACCCGGGTCTTCGGCGTGACGAGCCAACGCTTTAACCACTAGGCTACCCCACCGCCCCTAGTGGAAAAGAGGAGAACTGAAAAAATTACCTATACATTTCTTGGAGGCGAAGACTCTATAGGATAACAGGAGCACTGAACAAGCTGAGTTGCATTTGAAAAGAAGAAATGTATTTGAAGAAAAATGTTAATACGCGAAAATTGTGAATTATTCTCTCCGTCGATATGAAGATGAAACGTCACACGAAACAGTTATAGTATGACCAGAAATTATTGAGAATTTAGGAATATGTTTAATTGGATTTCTAGTATAAACAACCTTGACCAGGTATCAAGTGCTTGGTTTCATTAAAGAGAGACAACTCCGTTAATCCTTTTTCATTAGTTTGTGAAGAGTTATCCCCTTTGTTTACTTGCTCGCAGACGACATTTTCAGTGATCCTCAGTATGGATGATTTAGAGAAGAGGAAGTTGATTTTAGAGTATTATAACAAGGACATCAGATCAGCTAGTGATTTCAAGTAGAACAGGCATCCCTTTGTCCACTGTTTATCGTGTTTTGAAAACTATTGCAAATGGATATAGCATTGAGCACCAGGGAGGCGCAGGTAGGCCCAGAAAATTGACTGTCGGTGACAGGAGGCAGCTTGGTATTCTTGTTTCTAAAAACAAACGAAGGAGTTTAGAAAACTGAAGGGTGGATATGATTGATAGAGGAACTGTGGCTGTCTGTAAGTAGACAATTAGAACTGAGCTGCATGCAATGGGTTGGCAGAGAAGTCGATGAATTCCATCACCGATCATGAAACCGGAACAAAAGGAGCGAAGGTTGAACTGGTGCTTACAGCATAGAAATTTTAACTGGGACAATGTGATTTTCTCAGATGAAAGTTCTGTGTGGCTGTTTCCTAATACACTGAAATTCTGAACCAAACAAACTGAAAACCCTTTGTATCAGCGCCCAAAGTACAGTCCGAACTTGTTGGGTGGCATATCTGTGTTAGGGGCAACGCCCCTCTGTGTATTTGAAGGGAATATGAACAGTGAGCGGTACACATATAATTTCGAGGGACAACGACCCAAAACATCGTTCAAAGCATTCAAAGGCCTGGTTTTGGACCCAAAATATGACATTATTAGATTGGCCAAGCTATAGCCCTGGCCTAAATCCAATAGAAACTGTTTGGGGACTTATGAAGGAAAGTGTCAATAAGAAAAATCTGACAAATATTGCTGAAATGAAAGAAGAGGTGGTCCGATATTGGGACAGCATGGACCACAACTTTCTAACTTCTTTGATCAGTAGTATGCCCCGCCGCATTGAAGCCTGCAATGTTGCTCATGGTGACTTGACACAGTACTAACTGTTCATCTGTCTTTGAATCTGGAGTTATGTTCTGCTAATATACACATCAATACGTGAGTAATGAGTGAAAAAAATATAAAAATTACAATTTTAAATTCTCAATAATTTCTGGTTGTACTGTATAGCATATTGTTACAAGAACGAATAGACTGACCGGAGAATTAGGATTATTTCAGTAGAATATGGATGTGCAAATGTGTTCAATCAATGTCAGCAACGTGATTAAGTTGTATGTATTAGTCCCAATGACTGTTTAGTAACTGATATTACTTATACATACTGTAGTTCCGCTACCGGTTGGCTATTCATAAACTGTTCAATCATGAGTATATATTAACACGTTGTGAGACAGGAAGCAGCTGGTCGTCAAGTTATGAACCGTTATTTCTGTACTTCTGTTTTCCACCAACACTGGACATGAGTGAGCGACGTGTGCGGCATCCCTACAAAGCTGGGTGCCGATCCACAAAGCGTTCGTAAAGTTACGACCAGTCGTAACTCTATATCTTGTCATAGGCTTTCGAATGACATAGTGCTACGAACGTTTTGTGGATCGGACCCCAGGTCCTGCTCTTACATTTGAAAAAATATATAGATGTTGCTGTAATTATTTGGCACATCGCAACACTAAGCCATTGGTCAGTATTGATACAGTACTTAACGTTAATGAGGTGTTGGCACTTGTTACGAGATACATGTTGCCTTTGGATTATAATAACTGCCATTTTTGTTATTATTCGGTTATGTGTGATATCATTACATACAGTAATATACCGGGGGTAACCAAATGAG